AATTATTTAAAACCTTAATAATATTAATTTTATTAAACTTTAAGGTATTTAAATTATAAATTATAAATAAAGCTATTTATAATAAAATTATTATATTAATAAAAAGTAAAATTTTTAAAATATTAATTTAAGTTCTTAATTTATTATTAATAATGAATTATAAGGTTTAATTAAAGTAAGGCTAATGCTTTAATTAATAATAAACAAGATTAAATTTTGTTTTTTCTTAATAAATTTCTTAAAATTCCTTTCTTAATTTTAAATAAAAGAAAATAAATAATTTTTAAGGTTTAAAAGTACTTTTAAAGTAAAAGTAAGTTTAAAAGGGCTTTAAGCTTAAAAGTATAATATATATATTATTATAATTCTTATTAAGATAATAATAAAATAAAGAAACTTAAAAGTAATAATATCTTTAATTAAAGTAATTATTTTTAAAGAATTTATTTTTAATATTATTATAAAATACTTAAATTAAAATTTAAAAAATAAAGGTATTAATAAATATAATAAATAAAATAAACTTAATAAAAAAATATTTTATTAAAAAATAAAAATTATAAGATTATAATAAAAAAAGCCCTTTAAATTTATATTTAATGCCTTGCTTATTAATATTATATTAAATTTTTAATAAATTAAATTTAAGTTTAATTAAAGCTTAAATAAAGTTATACTTTAAGTTTAAGTTTTTTATATAATTTAATTAATATAAAAATATATAATATAATGCTACTTATTAAATCTATAAGTAAGTAAAGTAAGTATCTTAATTTTGCATTATAACCCCCTTTACTTTAAACTTAAGGTTATAATAATAATAATAAATATTAATTAAGAATTTAAAGCATTTTTAATTAATATTAAGTAATATTTATAAAGTTTAAATTTATTATTTTAATCTTAAATTTATATTATTATTATATTTTAAATATAATTTTTAATAAAAAACTTAAAATAAGTTTAAAGCTTAATAATATATTAATATATAATTAAGGTAATATTTTATTTAAATATTAAAAGTATAAAAAGTACCTTAAAATTAAAAAATAATCTTAAGGTACTTATAATATTATTATAAATTTAATTATACTTAACTCTTTTTTATAATAAGTTAAAGATAAATATAAGCTTTAATTAAAGCTTTAAGCTAATATATAAAATAATTTAGCAATATTTAATATAAAAATAAAAAGAAATAAAATTAATAAATAATTAACTTATAACTAACTTCTTATTTTTCTTATTATTAATTAAAAATACATAAAACTAAAATCATAGCCTAAGCTAAATTATTAATAAAAACAAGCTACCTAAATAATAAGGGATAGATTTTGCTAAACCCTTTTAAGGATAACTTAAGGAAGAGCTTTAACGTAATAAAAAAAAATAAGAATAAAAAGGAACTAAAAAAAGGAAAAAGATAAATATTTTAAAAATTCTTAAAAATAAGAAAAGCTTAATTAAAATATTAAATATATAAAAAAAGAGAAGAGTTAATTTCTTAAAAGAATATCTAAAATAAGCATAAAAGCCAGCTTTTTATAGCTAGCCGGAATTCAGCGCAGTATCATTTCTCACATAATTCCCTGCACCCACCAATAATATATAAATTAATATACTTTGCATTACCTTTAGCATTTAGCTTATATTATTTTAAAAATTTTAAAGCCTTAATAAAGTTAATGGTTATAAAGAGTTAACTTAATATAAATGTAAATAAGGCATGGCATTGCTTAAAATCTTTATAATATTATTTATTTACTTAGCTATTTATAAGCAAAGTACCCTTATTAATTATTTATTATAATACCTTACCCTTTTACTCTTTTATAGCTATATATTGCTAAATATTATTATAGCTTAAAAGCATTGCTTTAAATTTTTTAAGGATATTCTTACCTTAAATAAAAGTAATTCTTAGCTATATAAGCAAACCTTTTATATAAATCTTTTTAATAAAAGTTATAATGATTTAATAATTAATAAAAGAAAGGTAATTTATAGCATTTATAATATTTTTATAATAAGCTATCTTATAATTAACGCTAAATTCTTAATTAAAAGTATTATATATATTAATGCAAGCAAGAAAGCTTATACACTTATATAAATTTATAAAAACTTAATCTATATTAACTTACTTATCCTTAATTTTATTCTTAGCAAAACCCTTCTTTAAATGCAACTTTACCTTAGCTTTTATATATTACTTTTGCAAGGTATATATTTATATTACTATAATTATAATTGCCTTTTAAGCCTTATTAATAAAAATAATTTTCATTATATTATTTATATTATTAGCAAAATATTTATTATAATGCTAAGCCTTAATATAAATAAATTTATAAATAATTATCTTTTCATTAAGCAAGATCTTTAATAAAAGCAAATTACTTACTTTTTTCTTTCTTATTTTAATAAATATAAATTATTATATAGCATAATTATTATAATAAGCAATCTTATAAAATAGGTTATTATATAAAAACTTATATAAATATTTCTTATTAAGTTTATATTATTTATATTACTTAGTTTTAATAGCGCTTAGTTTAATATTAATAGGGTAATATATAAGGTATTGCAAAACTATAAAGTTAATAATTATATTAATATTAATACTCTTTAGCTAAGATATTATGCTTAAGTTATTATTTTAAATAATTAGGGTAAGTTGCAAGGGGTTATTAATGGTAAGCTAAAAGATAATATATTATTATAATTAATTAAAACTCCTTATAAGCTTATTAAATTGCTTGCTAATATTAAGTTAAATAAATAAGTAACCCTAAAAGCTTAATTTCTTAGCTTAAGTAATAATATTAAAAAAAGTAAATGCTATAATATTATTAGCTTATATAATAAATATTAAGAGAGGTTAATATAAAGTTGGTATTAATTAATGCAAGTATATAAGCATAATAACTTATATAAATCTTTAAAAAAAGGGGAAAAAGTTAAAATAAGAATTAATATTAATTAATACAAATTATTATAATAAAAGTTATATTAATTAATATTAATTATTTAATATAAGGTTAAATAAATAATAATAAGTATTAATAAGGAAAACTTAAAGTTATTTTATTTAATAATCTTAAATTTATATTAATTAATATTAACTTAAGAATTAAACTAGCTAAGCATTATTTTTATTTTACCTTACTTATTATTATTTAATGCTTATAAATATACTTTATAATTTTAAGGTTAAAAATCTTATTAAGTTTTATAATGTTTACTTTAATGGCCGTTAAAGGGTAAAAAAGTATAACTTAGCAATATTGCTTTTTAATTTATCTTTAATTTTATATAATATTTATATTTAAAGGTATTTAAGGCTTAAGTTTAGTAAATTTTATAATATTATTTTTAAAATCTTATTAAGTTAAGTAAACTACTTTATTATCTTTATTCTTAATTTTATAAATAAGTAAAAAGCTATAATTTAAGGGTAAGTTATACTTTATTAACTAAACTTTTTTTTTAATAAGATTAATTTTTATTTTTTTAATAAGGATCTTAAAGTATTTAAATAAGTTTAATAAAGTTATAATAATAAAAAGATTATTATTATTATAAAATGCTTTAAATTATAAAATATTATTATCTTTAGCTAATTTATTATTTAAAGCGCTAGCTAATTAAGTTAATTTCTTAAATTTTAATATCTTAGCTAATTTCTTAAAAGCTTTTAAGGAAAGCATAAGCTTAAATTTATTAGCCTTAAGGAATAGCTAAATGGCTAACTTACTTTTTCCTTAGGGTTATTTATTAAGTAAATTAAAAGTTATAATACTATTTTAGTTATAGCTTATACTATTATTATAGCTTATATTATTATTATAATTATTAATTTTAATATTTATATAGCTTTAACTTAAAGGCATTAATAATTTTATATTAAAATCCTTAGCTAACTTATTAAGCATAATATTTTTTAAGCAATAACTTAAATATAATATTACCTTTTAATCTTTAAGCTTTATAATTATAACCTTTACTTTCTTAAGGCTTATATTATTATTTTATACTTTCTTAATTTTTAAATAATTAGCATTAATTAATATAACTTAATTTATATACTTATAAAATTAAAATAAAGGGTAAAAAATATAAAGAAAAGGAAAGAAATAAAAAAAGGGTAGAAAGTTAAAGGTTTAAATATCCTTAGAGAAAGAATTTTATTGCTTTATAAATAAATCTTTATTACTCTTTCTTAATTAAAAAAGATATTATATAACTTAGCTTATTAGCATTTATTTATTAATGCTAAGTAAGGTTTCCGCTTACTTAGTAATTATTAGTAATATTAATAATAAAGCTTATTTATCTTTATACCTTATATAAATAAAATAATTTATTATCTTAATAATACTTTTATTAATAATTTTAAGTAATTTAATTTAATAATTAGCTTTAATAAATATAAAAAAATAACTTAAAAAAATATTAATTAATATATAATAAGTATATATTTAAAGTAAAATACTTAAAATATTTACTTTATATAAATAGCGGGGTAGCTATAATTTTGGAAAGCTAGCTTTTAAGGTATACCTATATTTTAAAGTGCATATAGCTAATTTCCTTATACTAAGTGGGCCAACGCTGGAAGCTGGGTGGGCGTATTGTAGAAGCTAGGTGGGCGTACGCTGACTCTCTTAATGCCCATTCCTGAACTTGTCTTTGCGGGTCTTAATTGGGCATTTGGATAGTGTAAGATCAAATACTCAAGATACTCCCCGACCTCTGTCACATCTCGAGATACAATCAGAAGGAAAACACATCACTGTTCTATTTCCACAGAGCTGCTTTGAGTTAGGTAAAGGACGGAGGGTAGTGTTGCTCGATTAAAGGGTTAGGGATTCGGAGGCGCCCTTGGCTTTGCTGACATTTCATGGTGGTCTTGTTTACCTTTAATAGTGACTTCTAAACCTTGGAGGACTTGTTCAGGAAATGAAAACAAATTGAGCTCATTCTCACGAGCCACGATGCCGGATCAGACCACAATGGAAGAGCAGACACTTCGAGACGCAGAGCTCGTCTATAACTACCACCGCACGCGCATGCCCCTCCCCGCCAGCGCAGACGCCGTCTTCTGCCTCTGCAGCCTGGACCTCCGCGTCGCCCACCGAGCCGCACAGCTCCACCTCGACGGCTACGGGCGCTACCTCATCTTCTCAGGCGGTGCCGGGAAGCTGACCGAGAACCGCTTCACCAAGCCGGAGGCCGAGGTCTTCGCCGATATCGCGCGGGCCAAGGGCGTGCCGGAGGAGGCCATCATCGTCGAGCCGCGGTCGACGAACACGGGCGAGAATGTGCGTTTTACTCACGCATTGCTGCGTCAGCGAGGGCTGCTCGAAGGAGAGGGCAGGATTCGGAACTTCATTCTGGTGCAGAAACCGTACATGGAGAGGAGGACCTATGCCACTTTTATGAAGCAGTGGCCTGGCATTAATCGAACAGACATTGCGGATGACGAGAAGGTCAAATTCAGCGTTACGTCACCGCAACTGGAATTTTCGGAATACCCCGACGAGGGTAATCCGCGGGGCCTGGTTATCAACATCATGGTTGGGGATCTCATCAGAATTCGAGACTATCCTGCCAAGGGATACCAAATAGAGCAGCCCATTCCCGGAGACGTTTGGGAGGCTGGCCAAAGGTTGATCGAGGCTGGGTTTAATGGGCATCTTCCTTAGTTTCGTGGGATGCAGGTTGTGTTTGGACTGTTGCAAGTTTTGGAACCCCTAGAAGCGTAGCTTAGACGGACATGGTGCAGTCAAGGACATGATCTGTGTGGAAGAGAGCGTCTGTGCCCACACACAAGGTCCGAAAGTAGAACATTTACGAGAGAGTAGCCTCTGATTTAAAGAAAAAGCTTTGACCAAATCCTGAAGCGATAGCCGCCAGTATAATTCCTTGTGATATATACACCGCATTAACAAATATCTTGCTGCTCCACTCTTTCGAAATAATAAAAAACCCCATATCGACAAAAGAAGACACGATTACAACTCAAACCAAAAACACTCTCTATACTTCAAGCCTCCTCAAAAAAATCATTTCCAGTTGGTATTGACAGCCACGGAAGTAGCACAGCTGCGCGGCACCGTATACGACCTGTTCGGATCGCTCTCCCAAGTCGCGGTCCCGCTCGACGCAACGTTGACGAACTTGTACTCAAACGTCTGTCCCGCCGCCAGGGTCACTGTGGTCGTCCACAGGTTGTTGGAGCTCGTGTACTGCGCGGCGGACAGCGCGGGCGCCGATGAGACGTCCCAGTTCCCGAGGGCCGGGATCGATCCCACCATCTTGATAGTCTGGCCGGGGCTCGTCTTGACCATCTCGTTGAACGTGACGGCGACGCTGTTGGCGGCCGCGCAGCCGGCGCTCGTCGTGGTCGCCGCCGCCGAGCTGGTGCTGGTGCTGGTGCCCGTCGGGGAAGAGGGAGGGGTGCTCCCGCCGTCGCTGATCGCGACGTCGGCGCAGGTTAGGTAGACTTGCCCTGTCTGGAACGAGTTCCATCGGAACGAGAGGATGGTGTGGTTCGAGACGTATTCGGGGATCTTGATCTTCTTCGTCACCGTGTAGCCGCCAGCTATGGTGGTGAAACAAGACCCGAGAGCCGCGTTGTCGACGCCCTGGCACCCTCGTCGGCTGTCCGCCTGGAACGCGTTGCATGTGAACCAGTCGTTCCTCCAGCAGGCCTGCCCTTCGGAACAGTCGGGGCTGTAGTCGCAGGTCTGGCCCGACACGTCGGTGCACTTGAGTGTGCCGAGCTGGAAGCAGTCCTCGGCGGCCTGCTTCTCTTCGTCGGTGGGGAGGTACCCGGGGGTAGTGAACTTGTCAACCAGCTCCTGGTCCTGGCAGATTCGGTAGCTGAACATGCCGCCGTGGTCGCCGTTGTTGTCGACGCACCATTGGACGTCAACGGTCTGGCCGGGCGCGTATGTTGCCACAGGGGAGTTGCCCCAGTTGTCCGACGGCTGGTTGTAATCGACACTGACCCTGGCATTATAGCCACAAGGACCGCTGCGGCCGACAGTGGCGGCGGTGACATCTGGCCATGCCTCGACGGGCTCTCGAATCGTGCACTCAGGGCAAGTGTCTATTCCGGCCTGTGTGCGGTGTGTGAGCAAGTGCGGACCAGAGGTTGAACGTGGCTCATACCTCAGAACCAAGCCGGGTGCGGCTGGAGGGGATGGTCAAGTATCCATGTCCGAAGGCGGACTTGACAAAACTGGCCAAGGCCAACGCAGTTGTTGATTTCATCTCCGAGGGATTGAGTTGGGTCGCGTGGGATCACTGTTGTTGTTACTTCGTGAGAAACTTGGATTGAACCCTCGATGGCTGAATGACAATGCCTTCCATTTTGACTTCTGAGTAGGTATATCACTGACTTTATATACTCAGTGTGGCCCCAACTTAGGGTTCAGACTCTTGACGCATGTTCTCGTGAAGCCACTATTCACGATCCAGACTCAACCATCTCGCCGAATACTATCGGCCCAGCTGACCAAACACCGCCGAAATACCCCCAAGCGAAGCGGCCCTACCCGCGCTCGTTTCCCCGGACCTAAGCTGGTCCCAGGTGCGGGAGTATGCCTCCGGGGCACAGTTTCGATTAGTGCCGGCTGTCATGTCTCGAACTGGAAACCAGCGCGGGGTGAGTAGGGCCGTGATGCGGCCGTCATCCGATGCATGCCACGCCCCGATTGACTCGGCCCGCATTCTCGACCGTTCGGACGCAGCCGCATATGGGGAAGCTCGTAGGCTTAAAAAGGGTACGCGGCACCCAAGGTAATTCCCAGACCAGAGTTTCGTGGTTGACAGGACCCAAGGCGGCATCCCGACCTGCAGATCAGTTGACCTATCAGAGTCACAGGCCAAGGGCCAAGGCACATGTGTCACGACACCCTCGAGATTGAAAAGAAGGCCCGAGGATGGCTTGCTAGTCACATATTAACGGCCGTCGTGGTAAATGGTCTTGTACGCAGACAGGAGGTAGCGGCTGCATTCAGATTGCCGAGGAACGACCGCTCTCACGCAGGTTGTGAACACCTGGGCTGAACATGCCACGGGCAGAATCGCCATGTACCGTTTGAACTCTTACATCACACATGCTCAGTGGCTGTTTCAATGAGATTCAAATAATAATGCCCTGCCATACTCGTTTGCCCACACTTTGGCCCTTGACGCGGAGAGCTGGTGAGGACTAAGGCCATGCGTTTACACAGCCCGTGGCAATGCCCTTCGACGTACTCCGAAAGTCTGAAACTGGCAGTGGATTGGCAGTCAGGTGTAGTTTCCAGAACACGAGAGTGACATAATTAGCGATTGCCATGAAGGTCCGCACCGAGATCCTCTTGCGGCGTATCGGCGTCTCTTTCTCGGCGGAATTCTTTTGACGTGGCGTGGCTCTCAAAGCCGTCACTCCGAAGCGCACGGCCAGCCCGTACTTGTTCCGCAACCTCTTCATCAAATGCCAACCACTACCGAAGCGAGTCATGGACACTTTGGGCTCATGCCTGATGGCTGATCATCTGCGGCCAGGACATCTGGGCCGCAATTGCTTCTGAACAGGACACTTGGCACCGACGCGAAGCTTAAGGACCGAATAGACCGGTCAGATGAGGGTCTGTGACGAGGGCATCAGCCAGTGATGTGCGCGTATTTACCGACTTGCGAATCACAGCGGCGAGAGTCACGATGCAAAACTCCGCAGCTATACCAGCGATGTGTCCTTGCGCCACCGGCACGTATTCAAGGTGGATGTGATCGATCGATCAGTCAAGTTCAATCACTTTGTCTCGAAGCCATGGCCGGGAACCTTTCAATTGCTATATCGAAGCTTTTGGATCCAGTCGGGTTGTCACTTGAAGAGGCTACAACTGAGCCAGAGAAACGCTGCACTCAGTCGGTTGAAGACCTTTTCCAAATTGCCTCGCTACCTTAGGAGCCTGCCAGGAAGTCTACAGCGCTGTCCCTCCACTGCTTAGCAGTCGACTTCTTAGAAGGCGGGTAGATTGGAACAGATATTCATGGTCACATCGAGGAAACACTTTCATCCTTGCACAACATAACAATTGATGTACTTATTAAGCATTAGTGACATACCCACCAGATCACCATGAACAATAGAAAGCAGGCTTTACAGTAGAGTAACTTTTAGAATCCCGTTTCATTGCGTGATTCCGAGGCAGCCTGGATTGTGCCAAACACTCCCACAATGAAAACATGTTTACGTATACAGCAGCGAGATTTGGCAGCAAGCCTGCATGAGAGCGCCCAGGGACCCTCGTCACCTGCCACGCCGATGGCATCTGGAGTAACAGATCAGTATCCTCTGCCCTGGTCCCAGTGAGTGCTGTCTGGCAGTGTCCGCGCCGCCGTCTCCTCAAGCAAAGCCCACGGACGAGCTGCATCCTGCAGCTTCAGGAAGCAAAGCGGGAAGCTAGCACGCACATGCCTCTCCCCTTAGGGCCACCGGGTTCCGGTAGTCCGTGATGGCGGTCCGCGATATGGCGGCTGCCAGCTACACGAGTATGGATGACTTTGGGGCTGGGGTGAAGTGATCTTTAGTTGGGCGTTGCTGAACGGCCTAGCTGGGGATTAATTGTGGATGACGGGATTGCGGATTGCAAAGCGATCATGGTTCTATGCAAGTTGCCCTTGCAGGTTTCATTACTATGCTACGAGCCACAGTTGCGCGCCAACTTGCAGTATTGGCCAGGTACACCAGCAGCCATCGCCTCGTGCGTGTGAGTGTGGTGTTTACCGAACTTGATTCCCGTAGCACTGGCCAAACGTCGATTCAACCCAGACGCCAGGTCGAGCCCAACTCCATTTTCTACTTCCGTATTGCAGGCAAGAACAAAGGGGCGAAACGCACGAGAGGGGCAAGGGGCCAGCCGAGGTCAGGGCTCCTGTTCTCTTCCTGGAGCTGAGTATGGAGGCAACGAGGTGGTCATCATCGAGGTGGGACGAGAGACGGCATGGGGAGGCTGAGATGTGCTTAGGCCCAGCAGGGCGTCTTGCATCTCTTGGACTGCGGCGGTGATGGAAAGAGACCCCTTGGAGCGGACCTTCAGGCTCCAGTGGAAATCGTCCAGCTTCTGCTTGAAGAAGACGGCCTCGGCGCTGCTTACGCTGGTGGGCGGACAGCAACGCGGCGAACATGCCGATGAGGGCCAGGCTCTTGGGCGCGGCGAACCACCAAAAGCTCTGGAGGTGCTCGGGGCGTAGCTTCTCCACGAAAGCCATTGCGTGCTCGAGCCTGGTCTGGGCAGCATCACGGCAGATGGTTTGGATGTGTTCCGGGTGTTCTGGAGTCAGGCCCCGGATGATGTGACGGTGGATGATGATCTCGGTAGCGTAGTAGGAAAGGTGGAGGTATCCGTTCGAGCATAGTTTACGGGCTTTTACGTTGTCCATTCCCAGGTCAGGAGAAAGGGTACTTGCCCAATGCTTCAGCCTCAGGGCGATCGTCTTCACCTGCTCCAGCAGCCCGACGACCACGTCAGGAGGTTCGTTACGTTGATAGGTGACCCGACACGGCGCGTAGAGGATCGAAAGGGCGTCGGACATGATCTCAGTTAGCTGAGCCAGACGCATGAAGAGGTGTCGACCCTTTTCAACCTGGGCGCTCACTTCTGCGTCGTCCTCGTCCGCAGCTGATTCGGGAAAGTCAGTGAGATGGAGGGGCGGGGCCCGCCAGTGGTGTGCAGAGACGTGAGAAGGCCGACCATGGATCAACGCACCCCACTTATCCTGCATGAAGACGGCCCAGGTCAGGCGGCGGCGAACCCCCTTTTCCCAGTCAGGTATGTCCCAGGGCGCGCAATCGACGTGCAAGCCGAGGTCCTCGGACAGGGCGACCATCTGGCTGGTCAGAACCCAGGAGTCGCCCCCCGAGCGCTGGAGGAGCAAGAGGCCGGCCTGGACGGCAGACAGCTTGGGCCGTGTCATGGCCCAGGTGAGGGCCTGTGTCGCGATGGCGACCAAGCGGTTGACGGGCGGCTTCTTCTTGGAGGCCAGAGCAAGATCGTACTCCCACCAGTCGATGGCGAGGGCGTAGGCGGCAGCGAGGAGCAGGGGTGAAAATTCTCTGTAGCTCCGCTGATACTTCTCGAACCAGACGCCCTTGTGGAGGATGGGGTAGCTCGGATGGACGATGCGGAAGTAAAGACTGGCGAGAGCGGGGCCGTGCGGACGGATCAGGGCCTCAATGGTGTCGAGAACATCTTGTTGTCCGTCTGGAGAGTGATCCGGGCGCTGGACAAACACTGTAGAGTCATCCATCCGACGATAACGGATGTGCTGTGGCTCAGGGGAAGGCGATGTGCCCTTGCGGCAAGGAACTAGAACCGATGTACACAGAGTTGGTGGTCTTGTGCAGGCCCAAGGTTCTGTTCAGCAGTGACGCCGGTGACGTTGGTGACGGTGGTGTTGCTGTCGTCACCGGTGGTGACGCTGGAGTCGTGGCAGGCGAGGCATGTGTCGCAGATGCTGCCGGCGCATCCCCGTCAGTGCAGTCGCCAGTCAAGAGGGTCCCCGCTGCCATGCGAGACTCGACCTCTTTGTTCCTGGGTGGCGAGCACACCAGCAGGACTGCCTTCTCCATGATGGGGGGCCGTGTCGTGAATGCGCCTCAGCTGCCTGCGCCGCTGGGGCCGTCTGCGACTCTGGGGTCGCTCGATGAAGGTGCATGGGCGTTGATGGAAGGCACACAAGAAGCACTTGTCGCTTCCAGGCTCCCCTGCGCATCGGAGCTTGCGTTTGCGGCAGACATCACACGGGCCATCGAAGTCGGACGCGGCTTGTGACGAGGCGGCGGCCGCCATTCTCTGTCGTTTCGCAGGGAGGCACTCGGGATCTCACGGCGCTCGTGAATGATGAGAAGTAGAATCTCCAGGCTGCTTCGCCACATGCAGGGCCACTGCCACTGCTCCCAGGACTACTACACTGACCTCGATCTGCGTCCCAGATGGGCGCGGTCCTGCCCACAAGCTGGTATCCCCCGGGCGAGTCCGTTGCGTAGATGCATGTGTACTGTCCACGGATGCCGACCGAGTTTCGAGGAGTGTACGACCGCGACGGGTTGTACTTTGTGCCGAAAAGTCGATGCCGCGGGTCCAGGGGCACCGAGCAGGGTGAGCCCATGAAGACATCCCCCAGCCCGAGCACCAAGAAGTCGCCGCTTTCTAATACCTCCTGGATGGCCCCGATCCCCCCGCCGGGAAAGTTCAACTGCCGCAGGAATTCCACGTTATGGGGGAGGTATGGGGCCGAACTGCGGATGGTGGCTATGTAGCGGTCGACTGCAGCTTGGCTGACACTATCATCAAACACAAATGGCAGTCTGACTCGGCGGGATGGAAAGGCGATCGGCAGGTTTTGCTCTAGTGCGGCTACCCGTGTCCTCAGCTCTTCGACGGCGTCCCTGGCGGCTGCCTTGGTCGTCCTATACATGACGAGTAAGGTACGGACTCCAGGGACCAGCTCTTCGACGTTTGGTATCGGCGACAACTCGTGCTTCTGGACGAGGCTCATGATCCGGAACGTTTGTCTTAGGTTGAATCCATCATGCTGTCCAAACTCCAGCAAGAGCGCCCGGTCGCCAAATGGCCGACAGACGACCCCGTCTTCTCCATCAACGAGGGGGACCACCTCTGAGGTAAGATAATCTTGGGCCGAAGCACCAGATGGCTCAGGGGATGGATCCACGGGAAGCTCTCCAAGTTCATTGATGGCTTCGTTCAGGCGTTCTGACTGGTCAAGCGCCCAGCTTCGATAGACCGGTACTACAGTAGTTGGATCTGGTCGCCAGGTCGCATCTCCCCAAATTTCCACATTTCAGCCGAGATGACGGTGGCGAATACTACAAACCCTCCGAGGCTGGGTCCATCGCCTGTCAATACCACAGCGTCATCGCCGGTGAAGCTTACGCTGCCTATCGCGTATGGGCTGTCATGTATTTTGGATGGATGCAGACCAGCAGAGCCACCGTCTGCGCGCGCCCATTCTGGCGCAGGCCCTTTGAGACCGACCCCCGACCGATTGCTGTTGTAGTGGACGGTCCAGAGCGCCGTGAAGAGCTCTGTGTAACTCTCTGGTGTGAAGAACTCGGGACAGCCGTGTGGGCTGGGCATCACAGCAACCTTCCATCGCGGCTCAGCACCCCCGGGGATTGGAAGACTCGGGAGAATAGCTGGCGGGGGCGCCATCGCTGCATCCACATGCCTATTTACCAACCGTAAAAGGTCCCCATACTGCAGTATTCGTCCGTTGTGACCTCCGAATCATCCAAGGGGAAACGTTGACCGACTGCCATACACCTTGGGCACACGAAGACCTCCACCTTGGAAGGCAATGTAACAACGGCATCCAGAAGTGGGCTGGCCTACGGAAAGCGTCTCGCCCTTTCGGACCTGGATCGCTTTGGCAGACTCAACCCTCTGCCCGTCAACTGAGACATGAGCCGGAGCCCCGGCCACAGCAACAACCGCATCGCAGTGGAACAGCAATGTCGGCCCCTGAGTGGTACATTCAAGTCCCGCGGCGCCTTCTTCGTTGTCGACAAGCCTGTTTGCCAGTCGAAGGGAGTAACTGTCCATTGGACCGGACGAGGGAATGCCCACATGCCAGTAGCCGGCTCGACCAGGGTAGTCCTGAATTGTCGTTCCTGGGCCCGGCTCGACGATTTCAACGGCGGTGGTCTGGTATTGAAAGGTGTCCAGTGTTTTTGTGGTGAAATTCCCAGCCCTGAACTCTGGTGACGCGATGGTTTGGGCAACATAGTCCACGTTGGTCTCGACACCGGTGATTGATGTCGAGTTCAGGGCATCCGGTAGCCTGTCGACACACGCTGGCATCGGCGTGACGCACATGAAGCGCATGCTGCGCTTGGCAATAGCCCAACACATCTTCCAGGAGATCCGGCCAGGCGTCGTCGCGCCTGCTGGCCGAGGACGAGCCGCTCCGCCAGTGGATGGCGTGGAAGACGGACGAGGGCTGGAGCGGCGCCCTCCACTCCTGCGACGCCATGTCCAAGTGGCCGGACTCAGGTGAGCCGGACGAGACGGGATTCGCACTGGCTCATGGCGGCCAGGGCGTGTGGCCGTACTTGTCGGAGCGGCCGGACCGGCTGTGGCGTTTTGCGGACATGATGCGCTTGTTCTCTCGCAGGCCGGGCCTGGAAGCCCACCACGTTGTCAAAGGATACCCTTGGGGTGACCTCCCTCACGGCGCAACAGTCGTCGATGTGGGTGGTTCTCACGGTGTCTTTGCGTGTTCCATCGCACGCGAGTTCCCGTCGCTGAACATTGTTGTCCAGGTGAGGATGCCCATTGTGATTCGGCCCAATGATCGTTTCACGAGCAGGTGAAAACTGGCAATGGTAACGCAGGATCTTGACGAAGGTGTCATCCCAAGTTCGGAGAAGCAGAGACCAGAAGAGCTCGCCGACCGAGTACACTACCAAGTTCACGACTTCATGACCAAGCAGCCAGTGAGACACGCTGACGTGTATTTCTTCCGGGCGATATTCCACAACTGGTCCCATAAATATGCTATAGAAATGTTGCGGAACCTCGTGCCGGCCCTCAAGCCCGGAGCAAAGTTCGTCATGGCGGATATCGTTATCCCAAGCCCGGACAAAATGCCAAAATCACAGGAGGTTGCCTTGAGGACGGGCATCGTCAGCATGCATTTGTTGTTCAACTCAGCAGATCGGGAATTGGAAGAGTGGGCAAAACTCTTTGCAGAAGCCGACCCTGGTTTTGACTTCAAGGGCCGAAGCCTGCCTCCTGAAGTCCGGGCTCAGGTTTGTGGATTCTGGAGGCGGAATGGAGATAAATCTGGAAACAGGGATGCTTGGGGCGCTTTCATAACGGTTCTGCCTGTAGGCAACTACATCGTGAGCGACGTGCAACCGCGTGATAAGTCCCTCCTGGTGTTTCCTGAAGCGCGTCTATAGTCGGCATACCCACGGAGTGTCCCAGGTGGCAGTTCGAGAAGGCCATTCCAGGAGATCGCCCCTCAAAGAGGTATACGTACAAAGACGTGTTTTCCCATGACGAAAAGAGGATGATCAGCGCCCCTAGACCTGGAATGTGGAACTATTATTGCTTGCTGCTCACAACTTCACTCGAAACAGACCTTTTGATGGGAACACTCACCTGATATGTTCTTCTGCTTATCGAATTTGCAAGGAGCTCTAGCCTGAGCCGTCTGGACCGTCTGGTTTCTTACCAAGGTTCCATTAGTGGCGGCTGGCGCAGCCGAGGAGAGAAGAGGATGCCACTTTACGTAGTATCGTACTCAGAAAAAAGGCATGGATATCCTTGACGCACCTATCTCGAATCTTAGGACACACCAAGAGCCGATTCGAGATGTTTCGTAGATCAACTGCCACGGTAATTAAAAATACCACTTAGCTGATGTTGTAAGATATGGAGTCCAATCGCATCAACGCGCGCGGATACGTGCAGCGTTGAAGTCGGCGCGCTCGGCATTTTGCCTCCACGCCGTCGCAGACATGACCGGGACTTGTAAGCGATCAGCGGCAAATCATTCACCAACGCCTCGAGATCCTACAAAATAAGGACGCTTCGATTACAACGGAAGCGCCTCATCAATTCACCAGTGTGACGAATACCGCGACCAAACGAAATTTCGCTGTGTATGCGCAAGGAAAATGCATTGACTCTGTACTGTAGAGGCGCGCTAGGGACAGGGAAATTAGGATTTTCTCCGACGCGCTAACGCGACGTGTACCTTTGTTTTCCAGAATGTTTCAAGGCAACTAGGGCTGTCACCCTTCTCGTTGGCTGGCGCAATATCTGGCCCCCTCAACCCATGTGGTTTTCCCTGCTTACCGTCCACCAGGGTGACAAATACAGGGATGACGGGGTGCGCCCTCACCGTCTGGCTTCTCGTGGCTTCCGGTTGCGGTAAAATAGCTCCGAATTTCCCGGTTCTGCCCCGGATAGCCCTATGCCCGCTTCGGGGGTGGGATACGACCACCGCTCCAACCTAACTCCTGATTTGTTGGATAGAAAGGGGCGAGGGGCTGGATGTGGATCTTGAACTTGAGCCTGCCCTGCTTCACATATTATTGACAGCGTCTTCTCCATTATGATATAGCTTTCTGCATTTCGCTTGTTAATCTCCAGCAGATTTCGCCGCCGACACGGCCGGAAGGTATATACACCTCTCGCCAGCGCCGGCCAGCGGTGGCCACCTAGAGACAGACATCCACAGATCTTGCTCGATCAGCAAGAGTCCTCAGGATGGACTCCCTTCTGTCTGGCGAAGAGACGCAAGCTGTTGCTTACCAGCTGGTGCCTCTCGTCCCCAAAGGATTCGGCCTCGCCGTCGAAGCGGTCGCAATCTCTCTTGGGATCATCGGCTTGATCGTCATTTCTCTACGAGCCTATGTGCGCTTTGGCTTCTCGGTGGGCTTGAGCAGATCTTGGGGTTTAGATGACATCCTGGCTGTCATTGGAACTGTGAGTTCACCTTTTTCAACCACGAATGTTCCAGATTAAGAGTCTCTCTTCCTTGATTCCTCCATGAAATTGACCATAGATTGTCGACTAGCTTGCATTCGCGGCTGCGATCGTGTTCGCAGTCTATGCCACCCGCTTCGGACTCGGCGCGCGGGATCAAGACCTTCCCTCTACACTTTATCAAATCCGGGCCGCCGAATACTCGACCTACTGGGAGGTTTTGTACCTTGTCTCCGCCAGTATGACCAAGTGCGCTATTGGGTTCGCTTGTATGCGACTGGATACGCGGAAACGATTTGTCATCCCGATGGCTATCAACATGTCCGTCATTGTAGTTGTCACCGTCCTGGCCCTGATTTATATCTTTGTCACATGCCGTCCACTGGCAGCGACTTGGAATTCCTCACTGTAAGCTCTGACCCCTTCGAAGCCTGCTTGACGAGCATGAAGTCGACGACGTACAGGTGCACCAAGCACGGAATTGTGAGCCTTCAGGACTGATTTGAATAGGGGCACATGTCAGGAAACACTGGGACAGGCAACATTCAGCTACCTTGTTTTCTTGACCCAGCTTGTGACAGACTGGATTTGCGTCATCATCCCATGCGTCATCGTCGCTGCAGCGCATATGAGACTCCACCAGAAGGTGTTGATATCTGGGGTCCTAGGCGTCGGAGTTCTCGCAAGCGTATCTGCTTGTTTCCGTGTGCCTTACCTGAGGTATATCGACGCTACTACCTACCCGAAGGATATTTTATGTAAGTCGCGGGCTCTGGACCTGTTTCGTATCTAGCACCCATGACTGATTGTGGTTGGACTTTCATAGACCATCTCGGCATGATCAACATCTCCTCAAATATCGAATGCGGCCTTGGAGTCATTGCCTGCTCCTTGCCTCCTCTTTGCAGACTGTTCAGGTGTTGCAACTTTTCTCATGACGGAAAATTCGACTATTCTGGCGAAGTAAGTATAATGTTCAGCTCACATCCCATTTCGTCGTCCTACAACCTCGGACTGAAAATAGCATGTGGCGGCTTCAATTCGGTCTGAAGTTTGGCTGACTTATTCGTGTTAGAGCGGGAGTATCCTGAGGAGCAAACATTCTGCTATCAAGCTTGACTGTTTGAACAAGCACCGGGGTGTGTACCACGCGTCGGCTTCACGAGCCTCGCGTGGACGAGAGCTGGATGGAGATGATGACAGTTCGAGTCTCAAAGGGATTATAAGGAGAACAGAAGTTCGTATAGTTTCATCGTCATGATCATCCATAATGATAATTTTGTTACTGCTTGCAGCCGTGAATACTTGAATTTCTGTTTAAATGGCCACGATTGTGAACGATCATGACCGATGCGGAGCAGTATTTCACTAGATCTAAATCACAACTCGCGCATTTCTGTCGAGTAATCCCCTCTATTCCCTGAACTGCATCCACATGAGTGAACTCACAGGCTTTAGAAACGGTGGATCAAGAGTTGCAAGCCTTAACCGAGGAGCCATTCAAGGGGCAGCGTATTTTGACCGATAAACGGGTGCCCATTACTTTGACCAAGATTTAATTTTCCAGCCCGAGGGTTTGTCAACTTGGCACTACTGCCTTGCTCAACTCTCGAGTAAGCTCTTGCACACAACCCGGCGGTGTATCGCCTAGGTTCGGCATGTTGGTTGATATCGGCAAGAGGGACCTTGTCGATGAGAAAAGCTAGATATGGACGCCTTCGGTGCGAACCGCAGCTACTGCTGTGTTGCCATTGATCTGATGCGCGGCGACCCGGACAGGCTTCAGATTGGTGGCCGGTAAGCATTGGCCTTTGAGCGACCAGTCGACACCACGATAGGGCATCACGCTTGGCTCGGTGGCGAACAGGTAGCTAATCTCCTCTACTTGCTCCAGTCTCCTCCGGGCCACGATGGGATACTATACCCAGGGCTGTCCGCCTAGCCAAGGCATGCAGCGCATCGGCCGCCCGTGAAGCATTCCGAATCTCACAGAAAGGAACCCGTATCGGCAAGGTCGTCATGGTACTACGGAACGCCAATCAATTTGGTATGTCTTCTTGTTTTCCACTCCCATGTCCCTTCTTCATGGGTTCTGCTCTTTTACAGAACAGGCACTGCAGTAGTTGCACCATGCTCGTGCCGCTATTGAAATTACCATTTGAGAACTGTTTGTTAACAAGCCGAGACGGCACTGCGAACTTCTCCCTGTTTCAATGCTACAGTGCATGCGATGTTGCATTTGAGCCAGGTCCTTTGGGCGCTGAGGCAGCCAAAATGCCTCAGCACTCAGCGGTATACAGGGAATTTTGCTCGGTTCACGACAAATCAAGGAGAAGATGTGCATTCGTACAACGCACTCCGCAGTGGGGGCGTAAGCTTGGGAGACAGCTCAGGTCCTTCGCTACGGGACGAATCAGACACAGTTACACAGGAGCTGGCAATCTAGGGGGGAAGCGCCCCCAGCCGCTGCAACCCAAAGTCGCTCCCTCGTTCACTGGTCCGATACAGACGGTCTAAATAGAACACGGAATGTGGTGGAACAAGAACTGGCAGACGAAGATTACTGTACACTCTTCAGTTGAATGCAGGATTCTATTCCAAGGTGTTGCATCCTCTTTATTAGCCTGATGTCCTTGCTCCGGTTCCCTCCCCCTTCACCTTTGTTCGTTGAGGCTTGCAATGTTACGTCTTGCACCATCATCGTTCAGGTCCAAATTCTTGCCAGGCTGCACTCTGTCCCAGCCTCTTGGCCTAGCTTCCACCGGCAAGAAGTCATTCCATAGGCATTCTTCCCACGGAGCCACACCATGCCCGGTACAACCCTCTTCCTAGACCCGGACGGGCCCGCGATGGCGCCTCTCGATGGGCAAGTGTCTGACTTTGATAACGGGGGCTCTCACGAGATGATAGAGGCAGCGCTTATAATCTGCGTCGTCCTGGCATCGCTCTCGGTCCTTTGTCGGGCTTGGTCACGTCTTTCATTGAAGCCGCGATTGTTCGGTATTGAAGAGGGCTTGCTGGTTTGTGCACTGGTTAGCAATGTTGGAAGGTGCGAGGGTCGTATGCCCATACGCTAGCGCTAGCCTATAAATAGGCTCCTTTTGAGCGTTTAATAGCGGGAGACTTCTCTCCTTTATATAATAATAATTAACTATTGTTTGCTTTATTGCTTTATTAAGTTGTGAGCTTAGCATTGCTTAAGATATTTTAAAACGTTGGGAAATATTAATACCCTTATTTTTATAATTATTTTTATATTTAAATTATTAGGATTTTAATATTGCTAGCCTTTGCTTATGTATTATTGTTATACCCTATGATAGCTATTATAATTAATAGTAACTTATGATAATTTAGCATTCTTGCTTTATTTAGTATTTTAATTATTTGCTTCTTTTTTTATTTATTTATTTGCATTAATTAATGCTAATTACTATAAATAAATAAATATATAAATATTATTTAAAATATGCTTAAAAATATGTAAATATTGTTTAAAAGATATTAAATATACTTAACTTTAAGCTTAACTTATTATTTTTCTTAAAATTAAACTTAAAAGGGGAAAACTTTTTAAATTAAAGGGTAATATAAAGTTATAGTTTTTGGTTTGTTGGCTTTAGTAAATATATTATAAGCGTTAAGAAATAATTAAATGAGAATATAGCTTTTGTAAAATGAGAAAAGCTTAATAATTAAGCTTTTATTATATTCTTAAGCTTAATATATTTAAGCCTTATAATATTTATTATATTATATAGAAAATCTTTTAATGCTTAAAAAATATTAATTAATTAATTTAATTATAATATTAATAATTTAATTATTTACCTTTTTTATTAATTAATAAACTTGTGATATAAGGATAGTTTTAACTTATAAAGCTATTTAAACGCCTTTTAAAACCTTTAAATAAAGCTTTATATTAAAATTTTAATGTTAAAATAGTTTATTAAGAGGTTAATAAAATTGCTTTTTAAAAGTAATAAGGTTAAAGGCTTTTTTTTTTTAATAATGTTGCTGGATATTATAAATAATGTTATTAATAATTTAAGCAGTTAAAACCTTATAATATTTTTTAAAATTAAACTTAAAATAATAAATATTATTTCTTATGCAAAGGTTAAATAATTTAAAGCCTATTTTATTTTTATTTAAAAGAAGTTAATACTAAAAGGTATGAAAAAGGTTGCAAAGTTTGCATTAATAAGTACTAATTTTATATTAAGTAATAAAGAATATACTTAATATTGTGTATAAAACTTTATATTTATTAGCTATTTATATATTAATTATATAAAGCTTATTAAATATAAGGTTAATTAAAAATAAAAAAAGGGTAAGAAATAAGCTATTATAAATTAAGCTATAAATAAAGAAGTTATTAAAATTTTTAATAATAATGAGAAAGATATAATAGTATTGCATGCTGATATTTTGGCATATATAGTAAAGTTGCCGATAATTGCAAGTACTTTAATATTATGGATTTTTAATTTTAATGCTTTAAAGCATATAATAAAATGTATGGAAGACTTTAGCTCTTTGTAATTATATTTAGGTATGATTATTATTATAAGCGGTAATTAACTTACTATAAAGGGCATTGGCTTTATAAAGATCTTCTTATAATTACTAAATAAATTAATTATTAAAAGCATTTTTATTAACATTTTATATAATTACGCGTTAAAAAATACTTATTTATTTAGCTAAATTATAATTTAAAAAAGGTTTTAATTAAATACATAGGGAAATAACATCTTTTTATTATTAAAAAATAATAAATTTTATAAAATATTATAAGCAAAGTTTTAATATAGAAATTTTAAAATTTAAATAGCGGAAAATAACTTTATGATATTTATAATATATAGCAAATTTTATAAAGCTTTTAGCTATAGCAATTTATTAAAATTAATTATTTAATGCTTATATAAAGATAAAAACGTTATATTAAATAAATCGATGGATTTTTATTGCAAATTATGTTAACTTGCAAAGTTCGTTAAGAAACGCTTATATTTATTGCCAAAATGATAATTTAAGCAGTTATTTAAGTATATTTAATTTAATTTATTAAGTAAATTCTTAATAGGATTATTAAAAGGTTCTTAATATTTTATTTTATTTATTAATAATTATATTTAATTTTATTAAGTTTACTTTATTGCTTAAAAGAATAACATTCTAAATATTATTAAGGAATTCTTAAATATAATTAAAATTTAATTTAGCATAAAAGTTAAGATATTTAGTTTAAATAATAAGGGTAAATATATAAATAAGATAATTATTATAATATTTTAAAGGTATAGAATTATTTATAAGAAATTATTTCCTTATTATTATAAGTTAAATAATATATTTAAAAGGTTTATATATATTATTATTATTAATGCTTATATAATAATTTATAATAAAGACTATTTATTCTTATAGCTTAAAGCAATTTCCTATATAACTTACTTATAAAATTAAAAATTATACTTAGCCTTATTATGCTAAATAATGCTATTTAAGGTGCTTTATAAATAAAAGCCTAATATTAAATATTTCCAACTATATTTTCACCCTATATACCTTTATATCCTTATTAAGGCTTGCAAATTAAAAATGAAATTATTAAATAAAGTTAAAAAGGCATACTTTATAGAATTTAAGGCTAAAGGCGAAATTATCTTTTATTTATTTATGCTGCTTTAAAAGGTTATTGTAATTATAATATTAAGCCATATTACTTAGTTTAATTTAGCAATAAAGATTATATAGATAATTAATTAATTAAATAAAAATATATTACCTAAGATAAAAATGTTATTAACATCTTAACCAATGGAACTTATTAATAATGCAGGGCTTGCAAATAAACTACTTAAAAGACCTATTAATAAACTACCCAAACCTGCAAAACCCATATAACTATATAGTTTTTAAGAATAATAAATTTAGCCTTTGCAAAAAGTAAAAGAAAATGCAAATATCATTATAAACTATTTTAAAGATTTTAATAACTTAGCATTAATTAATGCAAACCTTATATTAAATCCTGCATTAATTAATACTAACTACCTTAATTAAATCTTTATTTAAGTATTACTTGCTAGCGCTATAAATGTTAATAATATCCTTAATATATATATATAAGCTATAAAAAGTAGTAAAAGGGATGCTTAGCAATAGGCTATTAAAAGAAAACTTAAATTACTTTTAAATATAAATATATAAATTAAAGTGCTTGCTATTGCAAACCAATATATTATTAATTCTTGCTAAATATATGCAAAGAAGTTTAATGCTTTTAATAAACTTATTTGCTATAAAGCTTAACTTATTACTTGCAAATATATATAAATCCATAGTATGAATTATAACAATACTTATAGCCCTATAGTATGCTATAATAATTTAAGATTAATCATAGCAATTACTATTATAATAAGCTAGTAGCTTTAGCAATTTAATATTAAAACGGCATACTTATATAGCTATTTAAAATATAATATTTATATATAATTATTATAAGGATATTAAATATTATTTAATAATTAGCAAATTATTTTAAAACTTCTTAATACCCTATATAAATTTAAATAATTAAGCTGTAAATAATTTAGCATTCTTAAAGATAAATTAATTAAATATTTAATAAAAACGATATTTAACCCTTATATTTTTATTGGAAATTAAATTATTATTGCTATTTATATTAATGATATTCTTATTATTAAGAGTTCTTCTTAAGTTAATAAGTTTTGCATTAAGCTTATATAATGTTTTAAGTATAAAGATCTTAATCTTTGCAAATACCTACTTAAATTAAAAATTATATAAATTAATAATAAGATTTGCATTTCTTAAAAGGGATATGCTTAATGGATTTTAAAACGCTTTAATATAACCAACTATAATTAAAAACAAACTCTTATAAACCCGAATTTATTTTTATAATAAGAAGAGCTTAATAACGTTATAATAAATGCAATAATATATTAATTACTTACTAAATTTATTAATTTTCTTATTATTAAAATAAAACTTAATCTTACATTTTTATATATAATGTTGTTAATATTTAATGCAAAGCCCGCAATTTATTACCTAAATATTATAAAGAAAGTGCTTTAATATATTTAGCATATATTAAACTATGCCTTGCAATTTTTAAAATAAATATTATTATTTCAATTCGCTATACTTAATATATATGCTAATGCTTTTTATAATACTAATTTAAATAATTTAAAAGCATTTAATAAATATATGCAACTTCTTAACGGCGGCTTAATTACATAATTATTAAAGCGCCAATTTATTATTGCAAAATCTACTTATAAGGCGGAATATATGGCATGTTCTTTAGCATTATTATATTTTTATTAAATGATTTAAGCATTAAAGGATTTAAACATTAAGTACATTAAGCATTTGCCTATTTTATATATTAATAATTAACTAGCATTAAACCTTATTTAAAATCATAAAGTTAATGCGTAATTAAAATATATTATTATTTACTATTACTTTATTTATAAGGGAATTAGGAAAATATATAATATTTATTATATTATGTTTAAAGATAATCTCGCTAATATTTGCATGAAAGCGTTGCCTTACTTTGCTCTTAAAAAGACCTATATGAGATTAAAACTAAGATAAGTATGGGGTTTATATTACTAAATAGGCGTTTAAATAGTTAATTAGAAATAATGCAAGCGGAATATATAAATATTGGATAATGTTTATATAGTGATCTTGGTATAGATTATAGCAGAACATTTAGATTGTATTTTAGCTATTATATACTATATCCCTTATTATCATTAGATGATGATACTTGCAATGAGGGGTGTGTTGGAAGGTGTGAGGGTTGTATGCTTATACGCTAGCGCTAGCCTATAAATAGGCTCCTTTTAAGCGTTTAATAGCGGGAGACTTCTCTCCTTTACACAACAACAATCAACTATCGTTTGCTTCATTGCTTCATCAAGCAAGGACTTATCTATCCTATATACATACAAATCTCTGGAAAATCAGCTGACATGCCATCCTTCAGGGCACCTTTTCCGGCTTCATTTACATTGGCTATAAGATTGCCATCTTCCCTGGATTTTTCGTCCACCAGTGGAATATCAGGTTAAGAGATTTCGGCAATTTCACCTGGGTAAGTAGCATGAAAGATCCGATCCAACATGTATGTATATATATATATATATATATATATATATATCCGCCTGCTGATACGAGAGTTTGCCTTCTCTGCTGACCTTGAATAATGTTCCGTAGCGAGTCCACCTTGGTTCGATCTTCTACTGCCTCACGCTCATGTTGCTAAAGGTAGCTATCCTGATCGACTGGGCACACCTCTTCAACCCCCTGAAGAAACGCAACGCCATGTTCTGGGCGATCCGCATCCTTCTGGTCGCGAACATGGTCCACTACATTACTGCAACTTTCCTAGAAGCGTTCCGCTGCGGGCCACAGAGACGGCTCTGGGACGTCTTCTACAAAGGGGGTTACTGTCCCATCAATGTAGTTGTGCTGAACCTGGTCGCATCGTCTGTTAATGTCGTCTCCGATGTCGCTATCCTGGTCCTTCCCCAATGGGTCATCTGGAGGTTGAATATGACAAGATCCGCCAAGGCTGGGGTCTCGGTGCTGTTCCTGATCGGAATCTTGTGAGTCATATCTCCTGCCCCACGTCCGAGACGTCTTCCGATTTTGAACAAAAGGCAGCGGGGTGCCAACTGAGAAAACTCACACCGGACTGACATTATCACAGCGCCGTCGTATGTGCATTTTGCCGCGTGGTTTGGCTCACCAAGCTTCTGGACTCAAAGGATGAGATATACCTAGCTCCGATTACCGGCGCCTTTGCCATGGGCGAGATGACTGCCGCATTCCTGATCATAGGCGTACCCTCCGTTCCCAGGGTGTTCCGGACATTGTTCTCCCAAGGCTCGTCCGTGCGGTCCCTGATGAGTAGGATCAGGCTCCTGAGCTGGACCGGGAGGAGGCGTATCTCTGAGGGGCCGGATGGCGGCAGCGGCGGGACACTGGGCCGGCCATCTTGGCATAACCCGGCACACCACACGCCTCGCGGTCTGTGGGAGTTCAGCGACAATGACACGTTTGACCTGTTGTCAGTCTCGACCGCACACGTTGAGGCGGACCGGCACCCGGCTTATGATGTGAACTTCCCACAGAATTCTATCAAAAGAGACATGAGAGTAGATGTCGTCAACGAACGGATTGGCTAGGTGGTAATAATCTTGGGGAATATTGGATTTGTCTGCGTCTCTGTTGAGGAAATAAAGCAGCCAGAAAACCGATGGTCCAGAGATCTGATGTAGCATGATTCCGGTAAACTTTTGCGTCTTCTCCCCTAACACCCAAGACAGAACTTGGGTCTGGGCGTGGCTGAAGAAGAGGCCAACGCGTCGATGTCTGTCTTCCGTGCCTCACGGCTGATGTGGGAATGATGGTAGAGTCCTGCTGCGAACTCATAGTACCATCAACCTTCAAGTTTGAACTTACCTTGGTATTTTGCCTGTCGAGTCATTGATACTTAAGATCTGGAAGGCCTCTCATCGCCGTTTCCGACCCAACCGAGTTTCTCTCCTCAATCCTGACCTCGAGAGTAAAGTCGTCACAAGAACGACGTCTATAGTAAATGGAATAAATTCAGAGGTCTACATTTGACGGTCTGCTTTATGGAGAGCCGCATTTACATAACATGCCAGTCCTAATCCGTGCACCTAGCTTCTGCGCCATGGAGTAATAGCCGCACTTGTTGGGTATATAAGCTGGCTGCGTGGATGTCTAATTCATCGTTGCTTTCTTACCTTGACAGTATTACTGAGCCGCACAGACCTATACCCTGGGTTTCTAACTGTTGCTAGTGCATTCTCATCTCCTGACTCCCGGGGGCTCTCAGAGTTGGACAACTTGTTGCTAGTGGGTGGCAGCGATTGAGCAGCCAGGAAGCGGCCTGTGGTTGGTCTGCGCGGACAGGATTGACAGAGCCGGTCCGGTCCGAGATCGACAGGACTGATGGGGTGCTCCGAGTAGTACTTCCCAGTTGCAGGTGCCTCCAGAGCAACCTTATTACTCGGAGCAATCCATGCCGGAAGTAACCTTGATGGTTCGGGCTCTCCGGTTCCAAATGTTCCTTGCAGGATGCTGCCTGGGCTTGTGATGGCTTGACGCAATATGAAAACTGAATTCCCATTTTCGGCGGCATATGCATACCTCTCAGGATGAACTTAGTCTTCAGTTTATTGTTGAGAGGATCGGAGGACGTGATGGAGCGCTGAGCCTGATCCAATCCAACAGTGAATCGCGTGCCATTCTAAAGGGTGCGCTCGTCAGAGTGAAATGTGGCTGTTGCAGCCAAGTTGCATGGCGACATCTTATGAGCAGCTACAGCTACAGAAGAGGGGGTGGCACCAGTGATACTAGATACGATATCTAACAGCTTGCTTGGCCCCCAGGAAGTCCGTCTGAGGACCGCCGAAACTAACAGAAAGAGGTTGATTACTGGTGAGCGCTGAGATGGGATCATGATCACTCCACAGTAGGTCAGTGATGTGAGCGAAAGCGGAGGGAAAAAGCTCATCCTAAGGAACGAGACAATAATCATGGAAGGCTGTAGCATGTCGAGTTTCACAGTCTTGTGCAATATGCCAGTCAAGTATTTGCCGGGAGAGATTTGTAATCTCCATTAGTCGTGATAGCACAAGGGAAGCCATGCCCTCTAGGGCATCATGGTCGCTGAGCAAATTTCTAAATGTGTAGACTCATGTAACTGCATGGAGGCGCTGTTCACACACATTCTAGTTTCGTAGGGCAGTTCATGTTTCGCTGATCAGCTAGGATCATCTAGAGCCTTGTCACGAAACCCAGTGCTGATCCTGCGCCACCGCCCACAGGTCCCCCAAGGTGCTCGGCATTGAACACGAACAGAGACACGAACAGAGACACGAACAGAGACACGAACCCCCGCTATGCCTTACGGTTAACGTCTGGAGAATCGAGGCAGGCGTGGTGATTCGCAGAGCCATCTGGGCTTTTGGGATCGGACGCGCCCGGCCCAGCGGCTTGCACAGGTCAAACTTACTATTTCGCCAGATTTTTCGGATCAAAACGGCTGCGACGCGAGCGAGATCGTCTGAACGGCATTCTGATTCTTGGGTTGTCAAGGACTAGGGACGAGGCTAATCAGGCTGGCTACCGGCTAGCCGACGCATGGCCCGTGTCCCCGTTTGCCGGTTTCACAACTTCTCCAATCCTCTTGGGATGAATATGGTGGGCCTGATTTGGATGGTGTGACGTTTTCATTTTCGGGAAATGCCAAGATATAAGAAAGAAACAATTTGCACATGCTGTGGCACACGCGTATCCCAGTTTCCGGGCCAGATTTACACGGAAGAATAAATAATCATTTGAATCCAGCACTGAGCAGGCTCTCTTTAGCATTCATACAACCTGCATAAGCCTTAAAAAATAATCACACCATCAGATCAATACACTTCATCCGACCAAAGGTGTCCTACATCCAAACAATCCTTACAAACCAACTTCAACCAACATGAAGTTCATCACCGCCACCATCTGGTTCCTCGCAGCCAGCGCCGTCGCACTGCAAGACCCACGCGCGCCCGTCGACCAGATCCTGCCTCGTGCATCTGCAGCCGGGGGTGCCAAGGCCAAGGCGACAGGCCCAGCGGGTGCGAAAGCATCGAGCGCAAAGGCGTCGGGAGCAAAGGCAACAGGGCCTTCCAAAGCAGCGAGCGCCGGCGGTGCGAAGGCGACGGGAGGTGCCAAGGGCAAGGGCAAGGCCGGAGGAGCAGCAGCGGGAGGAAAGGGCAAGAAGGGAAAGGGAAAGAAGGCAAAGAACAATGCCTAAAACCTGTGTTTATTAAGAGTTTGGTTGAATTCTGTGATATCACGGGGGGCTGGCGCGGAGACTGGCGAATCTTTCGACGGCTATTAGACTATTCCCTGGGATCGCTGCGATTTCAGTACATTAGCTCGGGGCGTTGGGGTGTTTCGTAATTGTAGTCTATTGCGTGGAACATGTGTTGTTAAACACTCTTGACTTGCCGGAACATCTTTGTGTTCCGCACTCAAGCATATCTGCGGGTACCGAGTATCAATACACGAGTCCCAGAAACAAGAATTGCATACACTGTATCCGGGCAAACTGATGAATTATCGGTAACAATGACACGGTGTTTGTTATCGGGCTCTCGCGCAACAGCACTGGATACTCAGTCCCGAAAGAATGGGGCTGGACGTAGGCGGAGATATCGGACTTTGAGAAGATTCTGCTCAGAAGGAGACAGGTCAGACTCCCTTGCAAAGGCTGGAGGTTTTGACAACCAACGCGATTCTCTCTTTTACTCCTCACACGGTGCACAACTCGATTGAGGCTGGGCTCAACCAGTGACACTTTCCTTGTGAGTCCCTTGCACTTACTGCGGCATCAGTACTGCTGCACACGCACAGTTTTTACAGCCTGGAACACAACTTGTCCATGACCATAAGACGTATGGTGTAGGATGAAGACTGACACTCAAGTCTGGCAATCAAAGTAAAGTATTATATCCCGTCGCTGTTGCGATGACAGGCCGAGAATGGATTGCGCCGTGGGAATCCGCACAAGACACCGACCTCAGGACGCCTCAATCCTGGCTTCCTTCAGTCAATATCCACGCTACCATTCTCTTTCTTTGCAAATTTGCAGAATCCCTCCTCAGGTCGGAAACTTTTGCTTTCTGTCGAGCAGAGACACGATATCACAATTGCATCACAGCAAGAATGTGCTAAGGGGGGATGACTAGAGTGTCAATGGACCGATTGGTGGTACCCACCTATGCAAGAATATGGCCAGCCTTCTTGCAAGACTTGCTCAAGAATACAAGTGCGTTCAGGTGTATCCACAATCCTTCGCAGGGTGAATATGTTGTTAGCTTGGACCAGGCGTGGAAGATGCCGTGAGCGGTGACGAAAGACGATCGGGCCGGGATTGTTACCCACCCCTGGCTGCCCAGAAATCGGGCACACCGCGAGGACTTGAGCTCGACGCGGGGCAGCTCGTCCAAAGTTCTGCTCGTGCTCCGATGCGACCTCATTTCCTCCGCTCTGCCAAGTATTGAAGAGATGGGGTCGACTGTGGAGGGGCGAGTCAGGCGTTCAATGCTGGGTAAGCCTGCCCGATGCCGCACCTCGAACGATTCTATGGCCCGTCTATCGTGATAAAATATTTCTCGCTATTACTACGCAGCAAGAGCTAACATGCATGGACGCTCAGGGACGATGGCTGAGTGATTAGAGCGATCTACTGGCTTGCATTTAGCCCCACGGCTTGGCAGCGCGGAAAAGAGAGGCCGATGTTTAGCCATGGTGGCTGCATGCATGGCGGGCATTGGTGAGGCTTTTCGTGGGGAGAATCGGCAGACAGCAACCCATCCATCCCCACATTTCGGCATTCCAGAACTGGACAGAGCAGCTGAGGCAGGCCTGGCAGGGCCTAGCAGGGGCGCCCCAGACCTCACGAGGAAGTGGGTCTGGAGAAAGGGCAATCTGGGGCCGGGTGGATTTGTGCTGTCAAGCTCACCCCACGATCTCCGCGAAAAGCCAGCCTGCCAATCGTTCCTTTGGGGGCGCTTTGGCTGCAGCCGGAATGGTTTGAAACACTCATAATGAACCCGCAGCAAACACCACAGACGTTGTGCTTGACTATTTTATATCCGTCAATGGCACATCTACGAAGCTCAACCCCAGGAAAAGATGGAACTTCGACGTGGAAAAGGCACACCACCCGACGGCAGCGACAGTTGGACGATCCAGGCGGAGAAATACACAGGTACTCGCTTGCCCAGATTCGGTAAAGCATGTGGGCTCCTATATCACGAAGGCCCCATCATCTCGGCGCCTCTACGGCGGCACGAAAAACCACGCCGACGATTCCAAGGCGCGACCCCCGGACTTCTTCCACCCTCTGCTGTTGCATGACGACATCCGACATGCCACTGTGGAAGTGCCGATATCCTGCGAAGCGAGCGAGCAGAGAGTCGCCAGATTTCTCCGACCATCTGTCAGATGTGATGCGCGATCACATCTGCTCACAATCTTTTGAGTGATAAGGTTACCTGCCTACCTTGCAGCTCGACGCTCGCCCCCCCTGGCCTGTGTGCCTCGCATCCACCGCGTTGCTGTCGTGTCTGTCTGCCAGCATGCGGGAGTAGCATTCAACCGGCGATCCTGGGGTTGCTGATTCAGGAACCAGCGAGGGGGGGAATCCCTCCCGACCAGGCACATCCAGGTCTGCCGGTGCTTCCACCCGAAGGGTAAACTACGGTGCTAGACTGTCGAGACTGTGATGCCCAGGCTCTCCGGGGGGACCCCACTCCCATTCCAGACCACTGGGTTCCCCCACAGAAACTAGGGAATTAGACATCGGGCGAGAGTTCGTCTCGTTCGGTCACCTCTTGACCGCGTACGCCACTCCACCCCAATATCGAGTGACCTCAGTTCAGTATCCCGACCCGTTCGGCCCTTTTCCGTCCCCATCGCTCATCTGGGCACACATCAGGGACATCCACAGCAGCACAGCTGATCTTTGTCGGTTTTCTGCCGCGTGGGGCCGGTAGCCGAATGCTGCCCGCAAGGTCTGGTCTTCGGCAACATGTCACGCAGACGCAAAGACCTGGTCTGCCGGGCAAGCAGCCGGGGCCGCTCCTGCCCCCGTGGGTTGCGCGGGAAAGCCAGGGGGCAAGGACGATCGTGAGCTGTCGACCGGGTTACTATAAAGACGCAGAGGTCCCCCGCGTTGCATCAATCTGTTCTCGTGGCCCTCCAGCGCGACCAGTCCTCCTCAGCTCGCCATCAACTCAACCGTCATGGCTTCGTCCCTGCTGCTGTCAGCTGCCCTGCTGCTTCCCGCAGTCCGCGGCCAGTTCTCATATGTTCAGCCCTTGAACACCACCATCCTCGGCCAGTACGGCCATGTGGAGCCCCACTACCCTTCACGTGAGTCTCTGCAAACCTCCACGACGTCTCGCCTTACTAACTGGTCTCCTCAGCAAATGCCACTGGTATTGGTGGTTGGGAGGATGCTCTGGCCAAGGCTAAGGCCTTCACAGCCGAGCTCACCATCGAGGAGAAGGCCAACATGGTGACCGGCACCCCCGGACCTTGTGTCGGCAACATTATTGGCATCCCTCGTCTGGGCTTCCCTGGTCTCTGCCTTCAGGACGGCCCTCTGGCCATCCGTGTAGCAGACTACGCCAGTGTCTTCTCTGCTGGTGTTTCTGTTGCTGCTTCTTGGGACAAGGACATCCTCTACGAGCGAGGGTATGCCATGGGAGAGGAGTTCAGGGCCAAGGGTTCCCACGTCTTCCTTGGGTAAGCATGCTCCCAGCCCGCAGACGTCACTTGTTGAGATGAGAGCTAACCATGTGTTCAGACCTGTCGCCTCCCCTATGGGACGATCTGCTTACTCCGGACGTAACTGGGAAGGCTTCTCGCCTGATGCCTACTTCACCGGTGTTGCGATGGAGAAGACCATTCTGGCCGTGCAAGAGACTGGTGTGCAGGCCTGTGCCAAGCACTTCATCGCCAACGAGCAGGAGACCCAGCGTAACCCCACCTGGAACGAGAACGGAACTATCACCGACGTCCTCCAGGAGGCCCTCTCATCCAACCTCGACGACCGCACTCTCCACGAGCAGTACCTCTGGCCCTTTGCCAACGCAGTCAAGGCCAAGGTCGCCTCCATGATGTGCGCGTACCAGCGTATCAACGGCACCTACGCCTGCCAGCACTCCAAGCTGCAGAACGGCGTCCTCAAGGGCGAGCTCGGTTTCCAGGGTTACATCATGTCCGACTGGGGTGCGACCCACTCTGGTGTTTCTAGCATTGAGGGCGGTCTGGACATGAACATGCCCGGTGACCTCGGCAACTACGGCGCCACTTGGGGCAGCGGCAGCTACTACGGAGCCAATGTCACCGCCGCCGCCAACAACGGCACGGTTGACGTCTCCCGTATCGATGACATGATCATCCGCATCATGACTCCTTACTACCTCTTCGGCCAAGACTCCGCCGACTTCCCCACTGTCGACCCCTCCGGTGGCTACCTCAACACCTTCTCCCCAATGTCGAGCTGGAGGGAGGAGTTCAACCTGACCGGCCCGTCCGGCCGTGACGTCCGTGGCAACCACAGCGCCCTCATCCGCAAGCACGGTGCCGCTGGTACCGTCCTCCTGAAGAACGAGGGCGCTCTGCCCCTCAAGGCACCCAAGAACATCGTGGTCTTCGGTAACGACGCTGGTGACGTGACCAACGGCCTCTACGGTGACAACACCGAGGAATACGGCACTCTCTTCGCTGGTGGCGGCTCCGGAACCGGCCGTGCCACCTACATCGTCAGCCCTCTCGAGGCCATCAAGGCCCGCGCAGCTCAAGACGGCGCCCTTGTGCAGTATGTCCTGAACAACACCTTCGTCATCGACAACCTTGGTAGCCAGGGCGAGTCTGGCGCCCTTGGTGGAGTGCTCCTGATCCCTGAGGTCGCCGACGTGTGCCTCGTCCTCGTCAAGACCTGGGCTGAGGAGGGCGCCGACCGCACGACCTTCGCCCTGGACTACAAGGGCGCTGAGCTCGTCAACGCGGTTGCCAGCAAGTGCAACAACACTGTCGTCGTCAGCCACTCGTCGGGAATCAACATGCTCCCCTTCGCGGACCACCCCAACGTCACCGCCATCCTGGCTGCACACTACCCCGGCCAGGAGACTGGTAACTCGCTCGTCGACATCCTCTACGGTGACGTCAACCCCTCTGGTCATCTTCCCTACACCATCGCCTTCAACGAGACCGACTACAATGCGCCCGTCACAACCTCCGTCCAGACCGACGGCCCCGACGACTGGCAGTCATACTTCGACGAGAAGCTCGAGATCGACTACAAGTACTTTGATGCCCACAACATCAGTGTCCGCTACGAGTTCGGCTTCGGTCTGAGCTACACCACCTTCGACCTGGCCGACATCGCCGCCGAGCCCGCCGCCGAGGGCGTCACCTCGCGCCCCGAGGAGAACGAGATCCAGCCCGGCGGCAACCCCGCCCTCTGGGAGACCGTCTACAACGTCACCGTCGCCGTCAGCAACACGGGCGACCTCGACGGCGCCGCCGTGCCCCAGCTGTACGTCTCCTTCCCCTCGGGCAACGCCGCCCTGGCCGGCACCCCGCCCAGGCAGCTGCGCGGCTTCGAGAAGGTCGCCCTGGCCACCGGCGAGACCAAGACCGTCGGCTTCGAGCTCATGAGGAGGGACCTGAGCTACTGGGACGTCGTCAGCCAGGAGTGGCTCATCCCCGAGGGAGAGTTCACCCTCAGCGTCGGCTTCAGCAGCCGGGACCTCAGGGTCACTGCCAACATCACGCCTATCTCGGCTTAATTAATGTGATGCGAGCGTGGCATGGGGAGGAAGAGTTGTCTGTAATGAGATTATGATAGCATGTCTGTACATATTAATGGATGTAATCACAATGACCCAGAAACTTCAAGTTTTGCGAATGTGACCTGTTTGAGATTATTCGGAAGCTATTCAATGTGATCCGATTCTGCGCTGATTTGACTCGATTTAGCTTGTAGGATTTGAGCCTGTAGAGCAATCGATCTGTGACTAATTGTTCGAGAACTCCCACTTGATGAAGTCGAGAAAAACGTTGCAACAGCTTCTTTGGTGCTCGCGATTCCTTCTCAATCCGTGTTCTCCTCTCGTTGCTGCTGCAAGGCCTTGTCAATTCTGGCCTGGATGATCTGTTCCTCTAGCCTCCGTCTTGCACGGGTATCTGTAGCATGGTTGACGATGCATTGATTGCCACACATCCGGATATAATCCGTATACAGGTTTCCATATATGAGGCCAAGAGGTGTCCATTGGGTCGCGTATGATTGATCTTCGAGTATCAAGTCGGGGTCCGCACCGCGTCGCAGAAGGTCCGACGCCCTTTGTAAATCATCTCGCAAACAAGCCATGCCAAATATTGTCCAGCCACCGTCGTCGGAGTTCCAGACCGCGTTTATGTCTGCGCCTCGGTCGATGTACATGTCGACGAGAGAGTAGTGGCTTTTGTAGAAGGCGAGGTGCATCGGTGTCAGTCCGTGGTAACCGCCTTCATTGATGTCGACGAGTTTGTTGTCCAACAGATAGTCGATGATCTTTCGCTGGTTCAATCGCGTTGCAGTGTGAAGCGCGTTCCATGGACCCTCGTCGCAAGGACATGTTACTTTAGCGTTGGCACCTCGACCAAGTAGGAGCATGGCCGTCGACTCGTGGCCACGGCACAGGGCGAAAAATGCAGAGGCGTCCAACAGTTTCCATTGTCGTCATCCATCACGTAATCTGCATCTCCCAGGGTGCGACAACCCTCACAGGGAGGGAAGCACAGCTGGGCTTGGTTTTCACCATCGCCACACACACACAGCCCCTTGCCTGGTTTCTCAATGTCGGCACCGTGATCCAGCAGAAAGGCGACCATGCTGTCAAGGCCAAGAGCTGCTGCAAGTGCCAGTGGCGTGAAAAGGGACTGAGGATGCCAGTCGAAAACAACCGGCCAAGAATCCGCTGGCTGATCCTGATCCACGTATTCACGGAATATCCTATCATTGTTGATGTCGGCCCCATTCTCCAAGAACCTCGTCATGGTCTTGAAACGCTTGCGCTCAACCGCCCACATTACTGTGATAGTCGCAATCAGCAATGGCCGACCAAATAGTAAGTATTCATTTGCACATGGTATCGCTTACATGCTTGGCTGCCTTCCTCTTTGATATGCTTCTGGTAGAGGATGGGATTGGTGATGGTGTAGCATTTGCGACAGGTGGCCGCAAGAGCACCAAGATCACGCGTCGACAGGCCATGGTCTTCGACCACCAGGCAGAAGAGCTCAGTGGGCAGGCCGCCAAGGTTGTCTCGGGTTTCGGCAGCCATGGTGGCGTAAACTTGTCAGACGGTCATGTATCGTGGGGGTCGCGTGCAGGATCGGTCGGTGCAGTTCGATGTTCAATCGTGTCCGTAATGCACGCGAGGCAGAGACTGATTGTTGTGTCGGGACCAAGGTTTTGCCCTGCGTGGTCTGTGGTGGGACTGTCCCTTGTTTGCGAAGTGGAAAGTGGCAGGAGGTAGGTAAGACCTCCACACAAGCTCTCCCGCCCACTCTGGGAAGGCACGCAAAGAGCGATAACGGTCGGCAGCAGCAACCACCGTTTCGTAAAGCACTTACTGGCAGTTTCCAAACACTGCTCACCTCCCAGGCTCTTTGGTAATGTGCCGCTCGACACTCGTTCGTCCGTGATCGATTGAGTGCAGAACCCCTCGCCAAATGCATCACTGCATCCTTTCATAAATTTGCTTGCCGTACTGCGCGACATTCTAAGACTTTTCTTCCTAGTTGTTTCTCTTATTCTCGACATTCGCCCATGATTTCCAGTTGAATCAGAGAAAGGAAGCCCTTTTCTCTTGCACACGTTGCTCCCTCTTCGCGACCAGTCCTCGCAGCCAGTCCTCGTAGTCGAGCGCTTACGTCAACTTGGGCATCTGCAAAGCGCACAGAATTAGGCGTGCCAGGGTTCTAGAAGCGTTTACAGTCGTTCTCGGTGAGACTCTTAATTCTCCGTGGTGTTCCTGATTCGTTCGATCCTCGCGACCAGACTTCTGTCATGCATGTCATCATCGCCAGCCTGAGCTCGCTTAGAAAGGGCAAAGGACCGTCCTCCACTCGGATAGTTCTGTTTCCCCTTGCAGAGAATAGTTCGAAGGCCCCACCCCTTGTTCTATGGCAGCTTGTGGCTCGCTAAGACCGGCTAAAGAGCATGGGAGTCTACAACACTACCTGTGCAATATCTACCAAGGTAGACTAATATGCGACTCGGCACGGCCCATGCCAATCGGCCTTTTGCGGCACGTCAGAGCCTGCATATATTCGAAATTGAAATTCCCGCCAGTCTGGCCAGGCTTCTCGCCCAGGGTCGTGGCCCAGAAGTGAGGTCCCCAAGTTCCATGGTATAGTGCCTGCCAGTCATCAATAGCGTGGCTTCCCGCCCCATTCCAGCCGTCGCGGGGGGAACACCCTTCGGGTGATCGGGACGTCGAGGTAGGCTATTCGCTTGGTACGTCCGAATTAGAGGCGTACTATCACTTTTGAGAAGCTCGTTACTCACGCCACGCGTCCCTTGCTCAGCTATGCAGCCACGGGTGCGTGGGTAAGTGTGTGCTTCCGCCCTTCCCTCTCCTGACGATGAGTCTCACCGTTCAGGCCCAGACTTTTCGATGCTTTCAGGCTCTGTTGAGAGGATGATATGGATACAATCTGCTGATTTCTTGTCCTTGCATGAACATTCAAAACAATCCTATGTCTGAGGCAAAACTATCAGGATCATTCTTTTCAACCATCTCCCACGCATCTCCCCCTCCTATAGCTTACCCAACGGCACGGTTACTACAACACTTGCACACCTGGTTCCTCAAAATGCAGGGCCTATACTTCTTTTCTGCCGTATTAGCAGCAACCTCTGCTTCCGCAACCAGAATTCTGCTTCCCTTGTATGTTTACCCGAGCCCTCCTGGGTGGAACACGATCTTCGATGCCATTGCAACGCACCCATCTATCGACTTCCAGATCGTCCTCAACCCCAGTACCGGGCCCGGCGGATCAACTCCCGGATACAACATCCACTGGATCAACGCGGTCTCCACGCTCCACACCTATGACAACGTCGACACCTTGGGCTACGTATCAGCCGGCTACGGCGACAGGGACCTGGCGGACATCACCACTGACATCGACAACTGGGACCTTTGGAACCACTACACGGAAGCGGACATCACGGTAGATGGGATATTCTTCGACGAGACGCCCAACTGGAACGGCACAAGAGGTGCATATGACGTCTCTTTCATGGAACAGGTCAGCCAGCTGGCGGATCACCGGGGGTACAGCAAGGTATTCAACATTGGGCAGGCATGCAGTCATGACGAGTACTTCAACATCGCCGACACGGTCGTCGTTTTTGAGGACTGGGCTGAGCTGTACAATGACACCGTGCTGGACGATGTCGTGGCGGATGGCGTGGCAGGCAAGTCCGCCGTTCTGATCCACCATTTCGAGGACAGCAGCCTGACTTCGGGGTTTGCGGTGAGATGGGTTCTGAACATGGTCAACAAGGGGCTTGGCAGCTTTGCCATCGTCAACACGGACTGGACCCATGCGAATTCGGATGTTGCGCCGATGGGGATTGGGATACTCGCTGATTTGCTTGAGTCCGTTCTGGATCATTGAAACTCGGAGTAAGATGTCTTCTTTTCACAGAAAGAAAAGTCATTCTGGCCTCAATGTTTATGCTTCCTATGTCTCTGGCGACAGATCCAGATGTGATTTTGGTGACTTTCTCAATCGGGCGACGTCTTAGACAAGGTCCGTTGCCCGGTCATCGTCTATTTCCTCGGGCGAGAGTACCTAGCCGCATGTTGGTACTTTTTACAAGATACAAGGCCGCATCTCCGATATTCAAGTTATTTTTTGATATAGTAAAATTGTATGAAAGTTAAAAATTGCTCAGCGGAAACATCACAAGCCGTTTATAAGTTATGAGTCTTGTGTTGGCCAAGCGTAGGAATACAAACAGCATATGCCACAATTTGGCCCCACTTTAGACCTCGTTGGATAGAATCGAGTTGAAAGGGAAGAGAGACCATGCACTTACCTAACAATTATATGGGCATGGTCTGGTCCTCGGTCGGTACCGGGGCGAGTAAGGAACCCGCGGTAGGGGGCAGACCCACAATGCACATGTATGCCGCCGCCCGTGCGGCCCGTGATCTACAACTTCACATGAATTCTAAACATTAGCTGCTTTTGTATTTATTGGCAGAGTTTTGAACCTGCAAGGTAGCGTCTTGCGTGCTTTATCAGCCGAAGTGACTTTCGGTGGGGAAGTCGAAGGTAACATTGGAGACTCGAATCTCCATCACCCGGGCCAACGCGATGGCATCCACACCTAATTATACCCTGTGCCACGTTTCGCAATTATCGCCAGTCTACTACTTATGTCGCTAGTTTTCCTATCTTGGATCTACTCTTCCCGCCAACATCACACTCAGCTCAACTTCAGCACACTGAAATAGTTCTCTCCGATCGTTCCCCCTTCTCTAGAATCCACGCACCACTGAAGCCCGGACAATGGCAACAGAAAAACGCAAGACCACGGTCATTATCGCCGGGAGTGGCCTCACCGGCCTCACCCTTGCGCTCATGTTGCAAGATCTCGGCGTCGATTACCTCCTCCTGGAAGCCTACGACAGCTGTACTCCCAATGTGGGAGCGAGCATCGCTATCCAGCCTCAAGGACTTCGCATCCTACACCAGCTGGGCCTCCTCGAAGACATCCAGGCCATCTATCAACCCCTCGGCCAATTGATCAGTTGTGACGCAGACACGTGAGCACAAAAAAAAAAGCCAGACTCGGTTACTTCTCCAATCGGAACGCACTGCACTGGATAGAACCACGGGAGAGCTGACCAGAGCATGAAAAAAATCAAGGGGCAAAATGCACATCCTCGAAACAACAGAAATGCTGAAAGAGCGGCACGGGTATGACGTCGGCTTCTTCAACCGCTACGATCTGCTCTGCGTCCTGCACAAGCACATCCGCGAGAAGGAGCGCCTCCTCGTGAACCAAAAGGTTGCCCGAGTCGACACCTACGAGGACAAGGTGGTCGTGCAGACCTCGACGGGAGATGTCTTCGAGGCGCAGGTGATAGTTGGCGCCGACGGCGTGCGCTCCGCGGTCCGCGACGAGATGTGGAGGAACGCGGAGGTGGCGGGTGCTGTGCCCGAGGAGGACAAGAAAGGTCAGTGAAAGAGTGGGCTGTGTCTACCACCTCGTCACACTCACTCCCATATCACCTCCTTGCACAATATACTAACTCGAACCCGCAGAAATCATCTGTGATTGGGCCACCTGCTTTGGTGTGTCCACGTACGGAGCTTCACAGCCCCGCGGTCAAGCTGGCAGTGTTGTAGGGGACGGGTTCAACGCGGGATGGATGTTTGGCAAAGATGGACGTTGCTTGTAGGTTTGCCTGGTGTCTCACTCAACTGCGAGCGGGCCCCGTCCAGTGTTTCCTGGCATCTCGGCTAATCATAGAATCACCTGGGCATCACAGCACCTTCTGGTTCTTCAAGCTCCCCGAAGAGAACCGCAAGATTACACACAACGGCATCCCCCGGTTCACGAAAGAGGACCACGAGAGGGAGATCGCCCGCGCCAAGAAGCTCCTCGCCAAAGTCCCGAGGAAGAATGGACTCCACCTGGACTTCGATCAGCTATATGACCAGAGAGACCCGGCGCATTGTGGTATCACGGCATTGCCCCATTTCGTGTTGCAGAAGTGGCATTTCGGCCGCATTGTGGTTATTGGAGAGTATGTCATGAGCCATCCCAAGCTCTCCGGCCCCCTGCCGATGCTTAGAGTTTTACTACACTACTTTTCTTGTCTCTTTCTATGTTGTATTCCTAGACTGGAATTGGAAAGTATCATCCGCTAACACTGCCACAGCTCCTCGCACAAATTCAACCCGCTCCCCGGCCACGGCGGCATGAACTGCTTGGTCTCAGCAACCACACTCGTCAACTGCCTACAAGACTCCCTGGGCGACAAGCTCAAGAGCTCGCCAGTCTGGGACATGGCCCCGCTGGATGAGGCCTTCACCAAGCTGGCCGAAGCGCGGGTCGACAAGGTGAAATCGGCCGTTGACGCATCCGAGGACGCCGTCAACATGATGGGGTGGGGCAGTAGCTACCAGAAGATCCGCTACAAGGTCCTCTTGCCGCTCCTTCCCAACTCTGCGCACGCCGACGGCGCCACGAAGGTGATCCGGACCGGCCACGCGCTGAAGGGGTGGAAGGTCCCCGAGGTCCCACACACGGTGAAGTACGAAGATGAGGAGATGAGTGTGAAGGAGGAGAGGTCTGCTCTCCTCTCACCGGCGGCGCTGTTGTTGACTGCTACTGCGGCAGCGGTCGGGGGAATCATGGCGATGAGGGCTCTGCAGAGGAATCCTGAGCTGCTGGTCAACGGTTGGAAAACCCTGCAATCTATCTCTGTCTGAGTTGTCAGGGAAACTGGAAGCATTCTTCCATTCCTATCTCTTTCCTTCGCATAAGAACAGGGTCAGGGGAGACTGTATTGAGGGTCATTACTGCATGTGAGCAAATCTTGTCAAAGAGGGGCATATGGAGTGAATTTAAACTTGGACCTCCGTCATCTACTTTGTTGTCTTTACTTTGAATCTCTGCATTCTGACTTCCGAGGGAGTTTAACTCCTCCCCTGAAGTGTTCAGGAATTAGGTCTGAGCATGGCCCTATGGCATAACACTACTCATTCAATCTCTGCGGGCGATCGTAGCGTTGCTAGATGAGGGTCAAGTCCATTTGCTCCCAACGAAACGATGACATCTCACTTGGTGCAATGACATCCCCTAGTCCCACCCTTCGATAGGTCTGCTCCAACCCCTCGACAGGTTCAAGCACAAGCAATGACAATATCGTGCTCGAGTTACCTGTGCCCGGGAACACCAGACTAACTGGTAAGGCGACAAATCGGCTGGCCTTGCTCTTGTCACTTTCAGATGGCTCGTCCCGATTTCCATAATGAGACCAGGGTGCATATTCATGAGGAGGCCCAAACATCCACATGCACCCATCATCAACTGTTCCTGGCCCCCACGCTCGCGCGCGATCCAGAAGCACCCCCCGAGGCCAGCCGACCTGTGGCCGATCTAGCCATGCAAGCAGAGGTCGGGTATATCCACGCAAGGTGATGGACGCGGCGGACAGCCTTCCGTAGGGGTCGGACGTCGCCAGATCGATGTGATAAGAGAGCAGCTGCGGGCCCATGAAGGTCTTGAAGCGCTCGTAATAGTCTTGCCGAAGTGGAAAGTCGACGATGTTGTGCCGGGTGTCGCGCACCTCGCAGCGGCCGCGCATCGAGGCCCAACTCCACGACGGCGCGATGTATTCATCACCCTCGGACAGTTCTTCGTCGGATTCTGGTGCCTTTGTCCGCCAGTTGAGGCCGTATATCAAGTCCTTCTCCCATAGCCCGGCCAGGTAGGCGCCTAGCTCCGGGGTCTGGAAGGCGGACGCGAGTCCTGAGAATGCGGGCAGCTTGTCGGACCTTTTCGTGAGCTTTCTTTTCGTGAAGTCATCGATGCATTGGTAGAACGCGGCGAGTCGCCCTGTCGAGGGACCACCCGCTGGCATTTCCAAGCCTGGCTTCGGAGGCCATATGAAAGGCATGGCAGATACTCTCGTCCCGAGTACTCCGAGTCCATCTGATTCAAGAACGGCGAATCCCGTGTCTTCAGCCCAACGCTGGCTGACACACTCCCACATAAGCTTCTGGTTGCCGAAATGCAGGATTCGAGGTGCCATGATTCGCTCCTGCAAGCACCAGCCCCTGTCATGTAGCGGACCATACGCATCCATCGGGTCGAAAACATGATCCCGTGTCTGGAAGACGAATTCCTTGTGCCTGCCAAAGCAATGAGAACGCATAATGTCCCGCGGTTCCAGTATCCCGTGCTGGCTGTCTGGTGCTGCCACAGCAGATATCATCAGAATCCCGTTCCTATAGATCTCGGCCATGCAAGCTGATTCATGAGCCCAGTCCTCCACGCTGTCCTGAATGATGCATACGGCATCTATCCACAAGAACCGCAATCCCAATCGCCTGGTGATTGTAATAGCATCTTGAAAAGATTTCGGAAGATCTTGTATGTGAATCGTGCCTCGTAGCTGTTTGATGTTTGCCTTCTTCAAGAGAAACTTGACACCGTCAGGACCCCAGCAGTGACTCAAGGTGACGTAGTGGCCTTTTGCACCGGCAGCTGAGATGTACAGTCTACACTCTTGGCCTTCCTGGGGTACTTCGATCAGGCGGGTCGGAAGAGGAACCGCTGTTCGTGGGGGACAAGTTTCATGAGAAGCGCACCTTGCCAGCCAGCCCGCAGCCATATTCATGCAAACTTCCGACGATGGGTCAATCGGAATGGGTCTACGGGGCCCGACGAGGCTTGCTGCAAAATCAAGATCATGCTCAGCTACAGTACGGTGGGCATTTGCCCAGTCAGCTCTAGATCCAATTTATCCATGCAGACTGAGGACGTGGAATGGCACCTTGAACGAGACATAAATCCAAACCGCAAAGGCTTGTATCATTGCCGATGTCAATGGTCAGAAGAAACGGCGCTTGGATCCAGATCCGCTCATCTCGCTGCAAGGCATCTTCCACAGCCTCGGCGTCGCTGGCGTCCCGTCTGAGGACTTCGAGGAAGAAGCGACATCCAGAACAGCCGTTCTGCGCCGAAAGCCTCATGGAACTGGATCGCTGCAGATCATAATCCAACCGGGGACACTCTTCTAGATTGTTCATGTCTGTCTTCCAGATGACATCCGGGTCGATGTCCTCGCAATATTTGCAAAGAGCCATGGCCGCGTCCCAGGCAACCGGGTTCTCGGGTGTTTATCTCGCAACCAAGCTGGCCAAGGTTGACCGGATTGAGCGATGGAGCCCCAGGTCGTTCCGGAGCAGAATTATGACTGATTATGGCTAATATCCCACTACTCGACGGTGAGCTAAAAAGAATGGGAGGGGTAGCTGACCAGAAGTAAGCAAATTGTGGCGGAGCGAACTGTGCCACAGACCCAGAAAAGGCAAGTCAGCGTACGCCCACCCAGCTTCTATAATACGCCCACCTAGCTTTTAGCGTTAGCCCACCTAGTATAAGGAAATTAGCTGCATGCACTTTAAAATATAAGTATACCTTAAAAGCTAGCTTTTTAAAATTATAGCTACTTTATTATTTATATAAAGTAAATATTTTAAGTATTTTACTTTAAATATATACTTATTATATATTAATTAATATTTTTTTAAGTTATTTCTTTATATTTATTAAGGCTAATTATTAAAATAAATTACTTAAAATTATTAATAAAAGTATTATTAAAATAATAAATTATTTTATTTATATAAGGTATAAAGATAAATAAGCTTTATTATTAATATTATTAATAATTATTAAATAAATAAAAACCTTACTTAGCATTAATAAATAAATATTAATAAGTTAAGTTATATAATATTTTTTTTAATTAAGAAAAGATAATAAAGATTTATTTATAAGGTAATAAAATTCTTTCTTTAAAGATATTTAAACCCTTAACTTTCTACCCTTTTTTTATTTTTTTTTTCTTTTTTATACCTTTTACTTTTTATTTTAATTTTATAAATATATAAATTAAGTTATATTAATTAATATTAATTATTTAAAAATTAAGAAAGTATAAAATAATAATATAAGCTTTAAGAAAGTAAAGGTTATAATTATAAAGCTTAAAAATTAAAAAGTAATATTATACTTAAGCTATTATTTAAAAAATATTATATTTAATAAGTTAGTTAAGGATTTTAATATAAAATTATTAATACCTTTAAGTTAAAGCTATATAAATATTAAAATTAATAATTATAATAATAATATAAGTTATAATAATAATATAAGCTATAGCTAAAGTAGTATTATAATTCTTAATTTATTTAATAAATAGCCTTAAAGAAAGAATAAGTTAGCTACTTAGCTACTTCTTAAGGTTAATAAGTTTAAGCTTATACCCTCCTTAAAAGCTCTTAAGAAACTAGCTAAAATATTAAAATTTAAGAAATTAGCTTAATTAATTAATGCCTTAAATAGCAAATTAGCTAAAAGCAATAATATTTTATAATTTAAAGTATTTTATAATAATAATAATCTTTTTATTATTATAGCTTTACTAAGCTTATTTAAATACCTTAAAATCCTTATTAAGGAAATAAAAGTTAATTTTGCTAAGGAAAAGGTTTAATTAATAAAGTATAACTTACCCTTAAATTATAGCTTTTTATTTATTTATAAAATTAAAAATAAAGATAATAAAGTAATTTACCTAACTTAATAAGATTTTAAAAATAATACTATAAAATTTATTAAACTTAAGCCTTAAGTACCTTTAAATATAAATATTATGCAAAATTAAAAATAAATTAAAAAGCAATATTATTAAGTTATATTCTTTTACCCTTTAATAACCATTAAAATAAATATTATAAAACTTAATAAAATTCTTAACCTTAAAATTATAAAGCATATTTATAAGTATTAAATAATAATAAATAAGGTAAAATAAAAATAATGCTTAGCTAATTTAATTTTTAAATTAACATTAATTAATATAAATTTAAAATTATTAAATAAAATAACTTTAAGTTTCCCTTATTAGTATTTATTATTATTTATTTAACCTTATATTAAATAATTAATATTAATTAATATAACTTTTATTATAATAATTTATATTAATTAATACTAACTTTTATTTTAACTTTTCCCCCTTTCTTTAAAAATTTATATAAATTATTATACTTATATACTTATATTAATTAATATTAATTTTATATTAATTTTTCTTAATATTTATTATATAAGCTAATAATATTATAATATTTACTTTCTTTAATATTATTATTTAAGTTAAGAAATTAAGCTTTTAAAGTTACTTATTTATTTAGCTTAATATTAATAAGTAATTTAATAAGCTTATAAAAAGTTTTAATTAATTATAGCAATATATTATCTTTTAACTTGCTATTAATAACCTCTTATAGCTTACCTTAGTTATTTAAAATAATAACCTAAGTATAATATCCTAATTAAAAAGCATTAATATTAATATAATTGCTAACTTTATAATTTTATAATATCTTATATATTACTTTATTAATATTAAATTAAGCACTATTAAAACTAAGTAATATAAGTAATATAAACTTAATAAAGAATACTTATATAAGTTCTTATATAATAATTTATTTTATAAAATTGCTTATTATAATAACTATATTATATAGCAATTTATATTTACTAAGATAAAAAAGAAAAAGGTAGGTAATTTGCTTTTATTAAAAATCTTACTTAATAAGAAGATAATTATTTATAAGTTTGCTTATATTAAAGCTTAGCATTATAATAAATATTTTATTAATAATATAAATAATATAATAAAAGTTATTTTTATTAATAAAGCTTAAAAGGTAATTATAATTATAATAATATAAGTATATATCTTATAAAAATAATATATAAAAGCTAAAGCAAAGTTATGCTTAAAAAAGGGTTTTATTAAGAATAAAATTAAAAATAAATAAGTTAATATAAATTAAGTTTTTATAAATTTATATAAATATATAGGCTTTTTTATTTATATTAATATATATAATATTCTTAATTAAGAATTTAATATTAATTATAAGATAGCTTATTATAAAAATATTATAAATATTATAAACTATTTCTTTTTTATTAATTATTAAATTATTATAGCTTTTATTAAAGAAATTTATATAAAAAGTTTGCTTATATAGTTAAAAATTATTTTTATTTAAAATAAAAATATTTTTAAAAAGTTTAAGGCAATGCTTTTAAGTTATAATAATATTTAATAATATATAGCTATAAAAGAGCAAGAAGGTAAAATATTGCAATAAATAATTAATAAGGATACTTTACTTATAAATAGCTAAGTAAATAAATAATATTATAAGGATCTTAAGCAATGCTATGCTTTATTTATACTTATATTAAGTTAACTTCCTATAGCTATTAATTTTATTAAAGCCTTAAAATTTTTAAAATAATATAAGCTAAATATTAAAGATAATATAAAGTATATTAATTTATATATTAATTAATATAATAATATTAATAGCAGCTTAATTAACCTATATAATATTAATTTTATAATAGCTTAAATTATTAATAAATTAAATAAGCTAAATTAATATTAATTAATGCAAAGCTATGCCCTTACTTTATATTAATTAATGCTAACTTAGCTTATAAGCTCCTTATTTATATATTAGCTAATAAGGGTTTTATAAATATTATTATTATATATTAAATAATAAATAATGTATTAAAAAATATCCTTTTTGCTAATAAGATAAGCATAAGCAAGATATTAATTATACTTTTAAAGCAATATTTCTATCTTTTAAAGCATAAGGCTAAGCTTAAGGCAATTAGCTTATTTATATTTAATAATATTATTAAAGAGGGCTTTAATAAGATATAGCTCATTATAATATAAGCGTTTATTAACATTATTATGCAGCACTTTAATAAGATTTATAAGTATTTTTTAATTAATATTTTTAATATAAAAGTCTTTTATAAATTAAGAAGCAATATTAGCTATAAACCCGCCTTATAAGTAGTTATAATAATAATTAAGGAGCTTTTTATTTAAATAAAAATAGCCATAAAGCATAATAACTTATCTTAAGTATATATTTTCCTATAAGTTAGTATTAATTAATGCCAATTTATAGCCTATTCTTATATTAATTAATGCTAACTTATATATATATAATTAATTAATTATATAAAATATAATAAAGATTTAAATATTTTTATATTTTATAACTATTTTTTACTTAATAAAGAAAACTTATGTTATTATATTTATTATAAATATAAGTAATTAACTATATTAATAGGGTTTATGGAAGTATAATATATATAATAATATGCTTATAGTAAATAAAAAGTAAATTAATATTTTCCGTTTAATAATTATTAATATTTACTTTAAGGATTAAATTATAAGAAAGGCTGTAATAAAAAAGTATTTAGCCTTAAAGAATATAAAAGGTTTTAATAATGCTATTTATAATAATAAGGAAAATAACTTAAATTATATTTTTAGCGTTATAATTAAGGTTAAAGCTATAAATTGCAAGGGGTTTAATGCTAATGCTAATATTAATAATAAGCTTAATAAGCTTAATAAAGATAATAAAAATAATAAATTAATTAAGTTTATCCTTAAAAATATTTAAGCAAAGCTATTAATTAATTATATTATAAATAGCTAATTAATATAATACTTAAATAAAAAAATAAGCATAATAAAAAATATAATAATTTAATATATTAAATGCTATAAAATGATTTTTTATTCTTATTAATTTTATTAAAATTATATAATTTATAATAAAGCTTATTTCCTTTGCAAGGTTAATATATTATAATCTTATAAGCTTTAATTAAATATTAAGCTATTATATTAAGGCCTTAAGCTTAAGTAAAACTTAATAAGCCTTATATTAATTTTTATAATATTAGCTATTAATAATATTAATAATTATTATAATTTAAGCAGCTTATTTTAAAAGAATATAACGCTCTTTGCAAATTTTAATAATAATGCATTTAATAAAGTAAACTTTAAGATAAGATACCTTAAGTACTTAAGTAACTTAAGCATATTTAATAAGCAAAAGAAAGCATTAATAAAGGTAGCTATTATTAAGGGTTAAAAGTAATAATGCTTATTGCTTATTAAATAATAGTATAATATTATAATAAATATTAATATTAATAAAAAGATTATGCAAGGTATATTAAATTGCATAAATATATAGCAGGGAATAAATATAATCTTAAAGTTACTAAACTATATAAATAGCTTACCATAGCTAATTTATTTATATAATAGCATTCTTACTTATTATATTAAGTATTATAAGTTAAATTATATTACCTTAAAGCTTTATATAAATAATATTATAAATGCATACTTTAATAACTTAATTATTAACATTTAAGAGGCTAAGTTAATAAAGATTATAATGGCTATTCTTTATAGCAGCAAAGTTTCCGTTTTTAAAGATATTAATAATGGCAATAAGGCTATTAAGGTTTACCTAAATAATAGCTTGCTTTAAATTTTTAATATTAAGTTTATATATTAATTAATGCTAACTTTATTTAATTATATCTTTATATCTCTTTATATTAATTAATGCTAATTATATATATAATATAAGTTGCTAATTAATTATAAAATTTTATAAAAAATAATAAAAAAGGCTAACTTATATATATTATTTATTTATGCTAGCATATCTTTATAAGAAAAGATAATTATTATTACTAACTTTAATAACCTTAACTTTAATATTAATATGCTTTTAATAAATATTATAATAAGCTTTGCTGGGCTTAATTTACATTATATATATAGCTATAAAATTTAAGTATAAATGCCTTAAAGCTTTAACTATATTAATTAATATATTAGCTACTTAATTTAATTAAAGCAAATAAAGTTAATAATTTAAGTTATTTTAATAATAAATAACTTAACTTATAATTAAATTAAGCATAAAGTAATTATAAAAAAGGCTAAGTTGCTAAATACTTAATTATTATTTTAAGGTTAAATAAATAAGTATTAGCTTACTTATAATCTTGCTTATTATAAGGCGCAATATATTATATAATTTCAGCCCTTTTACTATATAATTTAAAAAACTTAGTACCTTAAGGAAATTTAAAACTTTACATTAAATATAATATATATAGCTATTAAATTTTATAGCTTATTTACTTAGCTATTCTTAGGAATTATTAAGCTATTTATAAATATTAAGAAGTTAATAAAGAGTTTTAAGTATATCCTTCTTATAATTCTTATTATATAAAATTATAATACTCTTATTAATAAAGATAAGATTATATAAAATTAGCTATAAGCGCTTATTTAAAGCATTAAATTTAAAAAAAACCTTTTAAATTAAGTAAATATAAAATAAATAATTATAAAGTTTAATATTAATTAAAAGTAATAAGTAATAAATATTTTAAGTAATAAGGTTTAAAAAGCTAATAAGCATAAGTATAATAATATTAATAATATCCCTTTAAAGAAACTTAAGTTTATTATAATAATTATTATATTTAACTTAAAGAATAACTTTAATATATTACCTTTAAATAATATATTTAATTATAGTAATAAATTTAATAATATATTACTCTTAAATAATATATTTAATTATAATAATAAGTTTAATGCATTTTAATATAATCTTAAAAATCCTATTTATATTAAGGTTAGCCTTAAAAAGCTATTTAAAACCATAGCTTAAAAACTTAAAGTTATAAGAAAGTATATAATAATATAGCGGAAAGAAAAGTAATATATTTAATAATAAGTAAAGGCAATAATTTAATTGCTTAAGGATATAAATATTTTATAAGTTAGCATTAAATAATATTAGCTATATATTTTTAAATTCCTTTTATTTATATTAATTAATATCAATTAATACTTAATAACCCTTAAATAAATATAATTAAGTTTGCTATTATTATAATAAAAAAGTTTTTTTGCTAAAGAAAAGATTTACATAAATATAATAATAAAATAATTTAAAAAAATAAGGATAAGATATTTAAATACTTAAATAAAAAGAATTAATAATTTATTATTATATAAATTATACCTACTTTAAAAATAATATACTTTATTTTTAATACTTTTATAAATATAAGAGTAAGTTTTGCATATCTTAATATGCTTTTTATTATTAAAAATGGCGGTTTTACTAGCATTTATATTCTTAAAAGCCTTAAAGGCAATAGTAAGGCTCTTAAAGGCAAGCTTATTAATAGCCTTAAAAGGCATTTTAATAATATTAATTAAAGATATAAAAAAAGTAAATAAGCTAAAGTATAAATATAAATAAATAAAGAATTTAAAGATATTTAAATAAGTAAGTTATACCTTTTAATATTTATATACTATAATATATTTAATTAAGTACTAAATATTAAGGCTTATCTTATAATTATAAGGAAAAAGAAAAATTAAATTTTACCCTTATTACTTATTTTAAAGAAGAAGAATATTTAATAATAGTTTTTATACCCTTAAATATAATATGCTTAGCCAGCTTATTAAGTAATATAAGAAAAATATTAATTAAAATCTTAATAAAATATATAATTAAAAGGTAATAAGATAAAGAACTTAAAAGGTATAAATTTCTTAATAAGAAATAATAAACTATATTATAAATAATAAGTTTAAAAGCCTTAATAATAATATGCTTAAAGATATTAAATAAGTTTAAGATAAATATAGCATAATTTAAAATATTAATATTAAGTAAACTTATTTAAAAATCATTATATATATATATTATATATTTAATTAAATACCGTAATACTATATTTTCTACTTAAAAACTACCCTTAATAATAATATAATCTTATATAAATTCCTTGCTTAATTCTTTTAATATATTAAGAAATATACCCTTTTTAATATAATATTTTTACTAATCTTAATTAAAATAAAAAATCTTATAAAATAATTAATTCCTTTTTACCTTAAACTTCTTTTAAATTTTTTTAAAGATTTAATTATTAAGATTTATAATAAATAAAGTATAATTATATATTTCTTATACTTAAATTATATAAAATAACATATTATTATTAATAGCAAACCCGCCTTATCTTTGCTTTTTAACTATAATCTTATTAGCTAAAGGCATAAAGTTAAATTCTTTTAAGCCCTTATAATACTTATTATTATTTACATTACTGCTATTTTTTATGCAATTTAGCTATATATATTTTTCGCTATTAATTTAACTAACTAACTTATAGTTTATAATATTTCCTATAATTAAGCTTTTCCTATATATTAATAAATTATTTAATAAGGCTTAATTTACTATAAGCTAGCCAACGTAAATCATATTAATGCGGGTTATAGGCTAATAATAAAGCTTATACCTTTTTTTATATTATGCATTATTAAGTCTTTTAAATATACCTTATTTAATATATTATTAAGCTTAATTTAGTTTATAATTAATAATAATTACTTTAATGCACTTTTTATATATTACTTAATTTAAAAAGGCTTAAGTTAAATAATTACTTAATACTACAAAGTTAAAAGGCAGGGTTTAAGGCCGAAGCATTAAAAGATTAAAAATAAGTAATAAAGGGTGCTTTAAAATGCTTAAAGGAAATAGTAAATAAAATTAATAAATAAGCTTTAGCGTATTGCTTAAATATAATAGCAATATTATTAAGTAATATAAAGATATATATTTTAATAAATTGCTTACTTTTATTATATTTAGTGCGCTTTATGCCATTTCTTTTAAAAAGTTAATATTTTAAGCAAGCCTTAATATAAAGCTATGCTTTAAGTCTTATTTATTAAAATTAAGCATAAAATTTAATAATATTTATATTATTTTAATTAACGGCATATTTAAATAAATAGGATTTATATATTTATATTTAAGCTAATGGCATTACTTATATTTCCTTTTAAAGGCTGCTCTTTTTTTTTTTATCGTTTTATTTTAGCTTAATAGCCGCCTAGTTAAGGCAGCTAATGCATTTAATTTATAGGTATAATAGTTTGCCTTTGCCCTCTTAAAACCATTCTTAGCTTACTTAATTCTTTTTTTCTTTAGTAATAAAAAGGGCTTTATTTTATTAAAAGGCTTAGCATTTATTTCTATATTTATATAAGCATATTAATTAGGATTAAGCTTAGGAATATTAAGCTTAGCTTTATTTAAAGAGATATATGCAATGTTAATAAGGTTGAATGGGATTAAGGATAGAATTAAGAATGGATTATTTAGCTTAGTTTCAAGGGTAATATTGCTAATAAAGAGATAATTAAGAATACTTATATCTTATAATAAATTACTTAATAAAGAGGGGGTAAAGTATAATTCTTGCATAAGCTTAAGCTTAAAATTAATGAGCTTATTAAGGTTTTTAATATTAATTTATGGTATTAAACTATCTTTTAATAATAAAAGCTCTTAAGAATATAATAATGGCTTTATAATATAATATTATAATTAATAGATAGATTTTTATATTAATTATTGCATAAAGGGTTTTAATTAATATTAATATAAATAAAAGTTAGTTAAGTAAAATGCCTTACCTTTTTGCATTATAACATTAACTTTATAAACATATAAGCATTTTATAATATACTAAAATAATTTTATATATAATATATTAAGTTAACTTAAACTCTTTAACTTAGTATAATAATTAATAAAAAGATTACTTATAATTTAAGATATTATAAATAATAAATTAGCTAAGAATATAAGAAGATAAAGTAATATACTTAATGTTATTTTTAATTCCTTAGCTAAAATATTTTAAAACCTTTAAAATAAAGCTATTATTAAATAAAGAAAGGCATTTATTATAATTGCATATATATATTTTTAATGGCTAAGCTATGTTTTTAAGTAGCAATATAAACTTTTTATAGCGAATATAAAAAGAATATTAAAGTATATTATATATAAAAAGTATGCTTAATAAACGCTTTATTAATGATAATTAAGCTAAGTTTTATTAATATAATAAATAGCTTTTATACTCTTATTAACCTTTATTTATTTTTATTAAAATAAGCTTTAAAGTTTTTTAAAGTTATTAATATAAATAGCATTAATTATAATAAAAAACTTTGCCTTTATTTCCTTAAATATTATATTATTTAAAATATATTAAATGGTATAAATATTGCATTTAAATGCTTAAAGGAGGTGCTATTAATATATAATAATCTATGCTTATAGAAATATTGCTTAAATAGCATTACTTTTAACAATTTTAGCATTTATTATTTAAAGGTTGCAATTAACCCCATGGCTTTTTAATATCTTAAGCACTTAAGTAAAATCTTTAATTATTTAGCTATTTATTAAGGCTAATAAATAAATATATAAGCATTATTAAGGTATTATCCTAATTATATAAATAAGTAGTAGTTTATATTAATTAATATTATAAGTAATATTTATAATAAAAAAGGGAGGGTTATTAAGGCTTTTAAATTATATTGCTTTTATAAAATAAAATATAATATGCTTAACTTAATATTTTATATTAATTAATAAATTAATTAAATAATTATTTTTAATTAAATTATTAATAAGGCATTTAATTAATAGCTAGCCCTTAATATTTTAATTATTAAGTAGTTTGCGCTAATTATTAATATTTTTAAAGGTTATTTATTTATATAAAATTATATAAAAAAAGTAAATAATAAAGGCACTTAATAAATATTATTATAGCTAAATATTATATTATTTTTAATAATAAGGTAAGAAAATAATTTTAATAAAGGAATGTTTTTTAAGGGTTTTAAATATTAAATAATTATATAGGGAAAAGGTTTTTATAATATAAAAGAGATTTATATATTTTAATAAATATATATAAAATATATAATTAAGTATATTTACTTAAAGTATTTATATTCTTTTTAATTATAAAGCTAAATAAGTAGTTTATTTTATATAAAATTAATGGCTTTTTTAACCTTTTTTGCTTAATTATTATTGCTTTTTTAATTTACTATTTAAAGTTATTAATAAACTTATTTATAGTTTTATTTACTTTTTCGCTATAATACTTTGCTTTATTATTAAATATATATTTAATAGTAATTTAATAGCAAGGTAAGTCTTTTTTAGTTTATGTAATTATAACTATATATTTATATAGCTTAGTTTAAATATTAAGTATATTTTAAAGATAAGGATTATACTTTATCTTATAAATATTAATATAAGAATTATGGTTATTAAATTGCATTTTAATGGGTAAATAATAAAGTTACTTAGATTTAGGTATAATTTTATAAATTATATTTAAGAAATATTTATAATTACTTTAAAGAATAAAGATAATATATTATAAATATTTTAAATATTTAAATTATTATTTTTAAATTATTATTTTAATTATTTATAATTATATTAAGGTTAAATTTAAGGGTATTAATAATAAAATAATATTTAAAAATAAGGGTTATAAAATAATTAATTTAAGGAGATAAAAAGAAATAAGCATTATTTTATAAATAGGTTAATTAAATATATAAATAAATAAGTAAAAAGTAATTTTATAATAAAGTTATAAGGTAAGTTAAATATTATATAAAGTAAGTAATAATAAAATAAATAAGTTAACTTAAAGTTATAAAATTTTTTTTTTATACTTTATATTAATATAATAAATATAAATTAAATATATTGCATAAAAAATAACAAGGTAAATGTAATAAAGCAGCAAGGTAGCTATAATTTTAAAAAGCTAGCTTTTAAGGTATACCTATATTTTATTAATGCATGCAGCCAATTTCCTTATACTAAATGGGCCAATGCTAAAAGCTAGGTAGGCATACTATAGAAGCTGGGTGGGCGTACGCTGACTTAACTAAGTATCAAGCTTGGCTCTACTTTATCACAAAATGCGACCTATAATCGAATTCACTGGATAATAATTGCGGACTACATTTGTTCCTCCTGTGGAACACCAAGATCTATGGAGTACCAGCTCGAGTACCAACATGATTTTTGCGTGCAGGGGCAAGCTGACCCGGAATATTTTCATCGAGTAAGCATCAAAAAGATCGTGCAGCCCTTGTCCAAAAACCCGTATGAAAAGTATATATACGGAAGAATTCAATCTAGTACATGAATTGAACGAGTTGTGCCTTGCCATCAGACGTGCCCGCGCGGTCTCATTCTTTTTTCACGAGGCAATCGGCCGTGAGCTCCACTGCGTCATCGTGCCTATCGACTCATCGACATTATTCCAACAGAACCGTGCCATACAGACGGCATCCCCTAAACACTGTTGTAAACAGCGACATACTCGACAAACATAGTCCCAGAAGACGCCGTGCTCGCAATAGGCGTCGTGCTCCCGTACACCTTATCAGGGAACGAACCCCCAATTGCCAAGTTGAGGAGGACAAAGTACGAGCCATGGACAGCGTCGGCCCAGACGGTGGCGTCGCCGACCTGCGCCGCCGTCACCTGGTGGTACAGCGTGTCGCCGAGGTACCAGCGGATGGCCTCGGCGGAGGAGTCGGTGCGGTCCACCTCGACCGTGTACCGCAGGAAGTTGCCCTGCATTGGCGTCTGCGGCACCGTGTTCCCCGAGATGCCATTGGTCTCCTGCAGCATTCAGAGTCAGCTATGAAAGAACCGAGGAAGCACTTCTATACAAATGTAGGGAGGAACAGGCCACACCGTGGCCATAGCCGGTCTCGAAACCTGCAGCCTGATGAAACCTTTCAGGTACAGGCTGCAGATGGGAGAGATTGCTTCTCAAGGGGGTTAAGATTGTATCTGAAAGCTACTAACATCACATGGGCCTCCCGGGTTGACTCCGCAGTGCAGCGTTCCGTACAGCCTGTTCACGGCGTTGACGTTCTCCATTATGTCGAGCTCGCCGACTTGGGGCCAGTTCCTGGCGGTTGAGAGCGTCAGTACGGACGGAATTCTCTTAAGGCCGCGGAGCAAGTGTCTGTCTGGACTGTTACTAACTGGTAGTTTCCCCGGAACTGCCCACCGAGCGCCCAGAACGCCGGCCAGTACCCAATCCCATTCTCACCCAGGGGCGGCAGCGAGAGGCTTCCGACGATCCGCAGCTTGCCCCCGGCGGCACACGCAAAGTCCGTCCGCTGGGTCTCGACACGGGCCGACGTCCAGGCGCCCGAGGCGTCCTTGCGCGCGGTGATGCCCAGGGTGCCGTTGCCGGTGAGGGCCAGGTTCTCGGTGCTCGAGGTGTAGGTCTGGATCTCGCCGGTGCCCCAGTTCGATGCGCCGCCAGGGTAGGATGTTCCCGTGGAGAAGAGCCAGTTGGCCGTGTTGGGCAAGCTATTAGCAGTGCCGACGAAGTCGTCTGACCACGTCAGGGTGAAGCCGTCGATGGTGGGCACGGCTGCCTGGGCCAGGGGCATGCCGGCTGCTGCGAGGAGGGCGAGGATTCTAGAGTAACTCATTTTGTATGATATATTTGGAATTGTGAGTGAGTGTTGGTGAGAAGACAGGAAGTGAATGGTACAGGTACAACCTGTATTTTGAAGAAGGAGGCTGAAGAGAAGGAAGCCTGTGATAGAAAGAAAGAATAGAAGACGACTGAGCGTTGAGTTTGAGTAGATGGATTCAGTATCGACACCATCATGGGAGTTTCCCGTGGTTTATATGGACGAGGGCTTCTTCCACCTTTGAACATGTACTCCGGTACCGAGAGCCGTTGAATCTATCACCAGGCGAAGAGCTTGCTACTCCGTGTCCCGAACATATTGCACACCTACAAGGGTAGCTCGCCGTGTGGGCCGGAGGTAATGCTTGTCAAAGGCAATAATAACAGACAAATAGGGCTTGACTATACGGTCCCCGCGTTTTCAAACAACTGCTGGCCCACATACTGCTTGAAAGAGCCCCACAAACCATGGCCTTGTGGGCAATTTCGACCTGGATATCGGGAACTAAACGCCTCTTATGGGGGGGGGGGCAGGAAACGGCCCGTCTCGAGAACAACAATATAATCGTCCAGGGTAGCTCCAGAGCTTATTCAGATTGGTTAAGGCTGACTTGATCCTGAGTAAGAGACCGTACAAGCACATTTATCGCGTTGGCGCCATCATAGTACCGCCGAGACGTCTGGAGCCTGGATGAGTCCGTGGCCTCGAACTAGTCGGTCGCCGGGAACCGTTGTGCTGGCGGGCCGGGATGCCCTGCCCAGCCCGTCTGACAGCTCACGGCGCCGAGTCCCAGAAATCGGGTTGTGCAATATTACCCAGGGGCAGCTAGGCAAAGCATGTAGATGGAGCGAGCCGGCCGCCCTACCCCTAGGCCCCATCCACTCGCAGAGGAACAAGCTCACGTCTAAGAATACCCAGGTGACGGGTGTGACCACACGCGTGTCCCAAGACCCGGGAGTCATGTCGGATTCGGCAGTGGTAGCGCGCGGTTGACGCGTTATGGAGGCCGTGGTACGACATCACCTGCACGATATCTGGTTCCGCGCCCAGAATTAGACATCATCGAAACGGAGTCGGCCAACGTCCTCCATGGATATTGACTCGCAGGGGAAGACGACGTTTTTACACGTATTGAAAGTCGCCCGCCCTCGGGCAGCTGTCCCGATTCGGTACGACTCGTCGGCCGAGCCACGCCGGGCCTGGGATCCCTGCAGCCTGCCCCTGAGGTTTCCCCGATTGTTTAATCTATCTGATGTTTTGGTGCTCCGGATGACAGCCGGGTTGGGGGAGGGTAAGCTGACCTCGGGATCGACATGGGACAGTTATGCTTATCTTGCACATCCTGTCTGCCTGTCCGTCCCCATTATTTGAGGTTTGTAATTATGAGTTGAAGAACCGTCAGTGCAACTGTCGAAAGACATCTCCACTAGGCGCTGAGTCGGCTGCTCTCTTGAGTCTCCCTGTCGTTGTGCCGCGCGCCTCATGTGTACTCTATGAGGTGACTGTTGTCGTAGCCAGGCAAAGACGTATCTCGGAATGCCATGGAAATGCAGAGCGATCCATGGGGTATCAAGAGACTGGATTGACAGTTGATGGATCCCACCAATGTCGTGCGGCCTCGTCAACAGTCTCGCAGTCAACATCAAGACAGCGACGTGGCTAGACAGTCTCGCGTTCGCTTATTCGACGCAAAACCTAGGCCGTCAGACGACATAGTATAGTCCACACAAACCAACGCACCAATCCAAACTCAAACCTCTCGACATTTACCCCTTTCGGCCAAAGACCCGTCCCCAACGGCATATTAAGCCGAACGGCGGCCCTTGGCTCTGGGTGGGGGCGAGTGTGGTACTTGTAAGAGTGTGGTAACAACCACCTAGTGGCAAACCGCGCCCGAGGCAGGGATGGAGGAACAAACCTGGGGGAAAGGCGCCAGATGCTAGCGCGAACGATCCGATATTAAGCTCGCATCTGGCAGCTGTCGGCTCGAGGCTGCCGCTGGGGGGTGATGCGGCTGGGATGATGGGTTCACGGGATCTGATGGCTCGGTCCCGTCTTCGGGCCTTCTCTGGTGCACGGGGATTTCTGGTTAATTTCTCCTGGGGTTAACATGGGTTCTTTTGCGGAGTTTGTGAGGCGATCCGGGGTTGGGGCTGATTTCGGGTCAGAGAAGTTGGTCCTCGTTGACGTGGTGATATCATCTGGCGTGTCTCAAGGTTGTGTGTTGAGGTGTTCGTGCAGCCTATGGTACTTTATTCTCGGTCCGTCTCGGGCTCTCGAGGTCTAGCTTTTGGTTTGTCTTCCTTGATCATCATAGAGAACTAGAGAGGCCATATTCGACTCACCCTCTACCTGGCTAATCTTGCGCGCGCGCTGGCTGGACGTGGTTGGCCCATTCCAGTCTGTCGCAACAAGCCGAACAACACCGGTCTACTCAAATCCAGTCAGTGGCCGGACTACCTAGGTAGACTACGTAGTCGGATGCACTACTTTGGGTAGCAATCGTTGACATAAATCTCATTACTGGGGATATCGCAGTCCGTAAAGCTCATCGCACCGTCTTCCCAGACACCCTTTGGCACAACCTCTTCATGAGCGGCCATCAGGGTGTCATCAACACCTGAATTTCTTCAATTTTGACCCTGTCAACTCCTTCTCGTAGAATCGAAGCGGATGAACTTTTCCCTGTCCGACCCCAGTGTTAGGCTCATCCACAAAGGAAATGTGTCGCCCCATACTCATCATCTTGTCACAGCTGGTCCTGTCGTTTGCCCACCACATCCCAGCCATTCCTGTCCTCGTGTATTCCCAGCTCGCCTCATAGAAAATTTGCAACAGCAGATACTGTGGTGGTAGGCCGACGAACAAGCCCGGGTATCTATACATACTGAAATCCCTTCGGCAATGTCCGGCGAATTTGATCCCGCTCTGCCTGAACCCCTCGCTAGCAACAATGGTGATGGCCGTGCTTGACCGTATGATCGAGCCAGATCCATGTTGGTGGAACGTCCTCCGGGTGAATCGAATTCTGTGACGAGCAACGAGGAACTCCGTCTCATGAAGTCCCAGGTGTCACTCAATATGTCTCGGCGGCGGGACCACCGATTCAAAAGTCATTGAAATGACCGGATAGCTCATTGACCGATGGAAGAAGAGCGGGATGTGGTCCAAGATGGCCCAGTCAACCTGCTGCGGTCATGCTCTTTCTGTTGTTGTGATTTGAAGTCCCGTTTTTTTGGTTCGTTGAGAGGTCAGATAAACCACGGCGCAGCAGTGTCGAAGCTCATCAGCTCCCACCACTTCAACGGCTTTGCTCGGTCACCGTCCGCCTGGAGGTCTTGCTGCTTCCAGTACTTCTCGATCAGATTCCTCAGGACGAACACATTCCCGATTTTCCGATCCGCATCCATGCGGTCCAGTGTCCGCAGGATCATGATCCTCTGGTCGTCCATCTGCGACTCGCAAGCGACCACGAACAAGGGCCAAGGGCTCGTACAGATTTCCTGGTTCTCGAGGACTCTGAAACCTGCCTGAAGCCACATTGGCGTCTGGTTCGTGGCGTCTATGTTGGGGCAGACGGCCCGCAGGTACAGGACGGCAGCGATTCGGTAGAGCTCGGCTGTCAAGCGAACCTTTGTCTGCTCCCTGGTCGACTGCATTTCGATTTCGGGTGGCAGCCGTTGATTCAGCCTGCTGAGCCTGTCTTGTAGGCCCTGGCATGTCCACATCACGGATGGTAGCTCGGATCTGCCGCTCTTCTCGTGGAATTTCTGTGCAGCTGGGTATCGCAGCTGATTGATGTGATGGATGATTTCCATAATCTCGACGGAGCAGCCAAGGGAGCCTATAATGAGGGTCTTGTCGCAATCGCTTCCCTGGAGCAGTTCCAGTGATGACGCGCCCTCATAATTGTGCTTGTGTGGCTGGCTGAAAGAGCCCAGTATTTCGTGATACAGGAACCACGTGTTGAGAAAGTCATAGTCGAGCGGGCCGCCTCTCATGTCGGCATAGCGGTGCAGCAAGCTTCTTGAGCCGTTCAAGTGGAGATGCCACTTGCCCTCAGCCTCGTCAAAAACCTGCCGAGGTTCAGCCTTGACTCATGACGAAATAATGACTGTGGGGGGTGAGGCTTACGTTGTACACGCAAAGCATCATGGAAGCCGCGAGTTGGGATTCAATGGGCGGCAAATCGGCGAAGGACTCCTTGTCCAGCGAGTGGGACAAGAGCCGGAGGGCCTGGATCTTGTATGGCAGGGCAGCCCCAAGGCCATAGCGGTGGTATGCTGACAGGGCGAGAATGGCACTGCGGAGAGCCTTGGCGGCAAAGCTGGGGCCGTTGACGGCTATGGGGATGAGCTCGAGGCGGAAACCGTTGTTGGCATCGACAGTAGAGATCATGCGGGAGATCTTGTGTTCGTCTGGAGGCGTGGTCAGAGGACTTTGGCGAGGACAAAACAGGGTTAGAAACCGACAACTCACAATAGCCGAGCAACTCGACTTCGTGGCCCACCAAATCGGGATGAAGCCTCAGGGCTTGCTGAGGGCGGGCGTGGTGGTCCTGGAGAGTTAAGGTGCTGACATCCTGACGGTTCTGCTCGATGTCGTCGAATGAAATGTTGAGAAACTGCTGGCCGTAATACAATCCGGACGCCTGCAGCTGGCCGTGCGTGTGGTGCTGCAGGGAGAGTTTGGGTGATTTCCTGCGGCCGTCTGGTATGTCAGGCCAGACGAGCCGGAGGCCATATCCCATGCACTCTCGGCCCGTTCTCACACAGTTGTTGCATGAAGGCAGGCCTTTATCACACCCGATTTTCCTTTCTATTCGCGCGAGTACGAGCCGGGTGTCAGCAGGAGCCCGTATTTGGCGACCAACGAAGCCAAAGCCCAACCAGACGCGATGACGGATCGCCGGAACATTGATGTGTGGAGAAGGGACAGGGTCCACCACCGGAAAACAGATTAGATCAGATCAATATCTGACCCCAGTGTGTGCGGCAAGGGCAGTGAAAGGAAGAAGCCGGCAGCAGGCGTGACACGGCAACAGCAACAACAGCAACAACAACCACCACCACCACCACCACAACCACAACCACAACCACCACGGCAAAAGAGGCAGAAGCGCAACAACAGCAACAGTAACAACAAAAGCAACAGTAAGCTCGAGGCACAGGGGCGATTACTCACTCTTGCATGTCCAGCAGCCCTGGCTTGCTTGGCCAGCCCTCATGCTTGTCAGTGTGCGCTGCTCGGAAATCATAAGCGGATCGTTGTGTTGGGGTTTGGGCGGGCGTAGGTTAGGTTGTGTGATGGGGATGGTGATGAGACAGCGCTTGAGATGTAGTGTTCTGCTTTGGCGGACTATTTTGCTTTTGTTTGTGGCAGTTCAGAGGTGGAACCTGTCAAGGCCGACCCGGGTTCATGGTATATCCCAGGGGTCCAAGGGGTCCAAGGGGTCCCAGGGGGGTGGGTGGTCGATGCTTGATGCGATGCTCGATGCTTGACGCTCGATGCTAGATGGGTGATGCGTGATGCCTAATGCTGTGTGTCGCTGTGCTGCTGTGCGCCCGTGCCGGCCTCTGGCTGTCTGGGACTCTGGGTGGCTATTCCCGGCTGGCTGTCATCAAGTGAACCGGATCCGCAGGTGTTTCCAATAATACCCGTGTCATCATGTAAGCGCCATCTCGTGGCAATGATGCCGTGTCGCTGGTGCGGCTGCTGGTTGGCGGCGGAGGGTGGAGGGTGGTGGAGGTGGTGATTGATGGATGATGTCGGTCGGGGTAATTGCACAGTTAGTCCTCCAAGGTGTAACAAGGTCTGGCGTCTGGTCTGGTTCTCCTGGGTTCTGGGCGAACGGTCTGCTGGGTGTGTCTTGTGTAAGGAGGGTGAGGTGTGTGCGCGTGTGCGTGTGTGTGAGTGCCCGCTTGGGTCGTCGGTGTTCCTGGCCCAGACCACCGGTATCGCCTCGCCACAGCGTGTGCAGGCATCCATGCCGTCCCCATGCCGTCCGACACTGTCCTGTCCTCCCCCCATCCTTTCCATCCTTTCCATCCGCATCGCACCCTGGTCGCTCATCGAGAAGGCTTGGCAGCTCTGGCAAAGCGGGGATGGGCCTCGGCGGGCAGGCGGGAGCATCCGCCAGGGAACGGTACCAGTCCGTCAGAGGGCTGGGGCAGGGGTGTAGAGATTGTTAGCATCCGGAAGGGCCCGCATAGCCAGCACTATCACGGTATACTTGGGGTTCCGTGGCAGGTACAGACGGACAGCTCAGCACGGCACGGCATACTAAGTAGACCAATAAGTACCTGTGTAGATGTAGATACAACGTCGCAGACAGGCCAGCTGGCTGACAGGATACGACAGCACAGGACAGGATAGGATAGGATAGACAGGACAGGACATGACATGACATGACATGGCGGACAGACAGACAGGCCAGACAGGGTGGGCCAGCAACAACTGGCACAGCAGATAGACTGCATGCCGGTGCCGTTCGTCCCAGGTCCCCATGTGTGCGACACGCCCTTGCTGCAGACTCACCCTCGCCCACCCTCCTTCGTGCCTGCCTGTCAAACAAGCACGAATCTTGTCGACTCTTGACGAATCTTGTCGACTCCTGTCCCATGGTCGACCTGCCCCGGGGTAATATGGCGTCTGGTGGTAGCTGCCATTGGACGCCTCCTTCGGGCGGGCTTTGACCTTATTTATCTAGTCTCCCTGGGCCCTGCCCGGCTTTTGGTCCGAGGCAGACCAGACCAGCAGACCGACAGGCACGCCCTCTGCCCTCCCAGGCTCTCACCTCTGCCACCTGCCACCTGCCACCTGCCACACCCCGACCGTGCCGTGACGGCAACGCGGCTGATGAACAGAGACAAAAGTGCTCGACCGGTCTGGTCCTGGTCGAACCCTTTGCGCCCGAGACCCTCCCTCTTCCATGCTCATGCTCATCGAGAACTGCCACCTTGCGTCTACGCCTGCGCCTGCGCCTGGCGCCCTCGCCCGTGGACGGCTGCATCTCACATACATGCCATAATCTGATCTGTCCCGCTGACAGGACAGGCCAGGATCGGCGGCCCGTTGTAACGATGAATCCACCGCACAATCAACCCTTTCTTTGCCCCGGGCAGCCCCAGGCGCTGCCAGTCGTCCCAGTCTCCCAGGTTCCCCGCAGTCTAGCGCCATGTAATACGGGCTGTCTCTCGGGTCCCAGAGTGTGGATGAGGCGCAAGATACGCCCCGCGACGTTGACGACTCAGATAAAAGCAACGACGTCGGCAGCGGGATCATTTTCGCTCTCATCCCTGGTCGCCTCGCCTCTGTCAATAACACACCGGTCTGCTGAATCCGGCTCCCATCATGCTCGCTACCCTCCTTCTGGCCGCCTCCGCGATCCCGTTGCCTGCCATTGGGCTCGCCCGGGCCCAAGAGCAAGCCCCCCAAGATGAGGCGCCCATGATCCGGGACTATTTCCAGGCCGGCGGCCACTACGCCGAGAACAGCGCAGGAGAGCACGTCTTCCAAGACCAGATCTACGTGGAGCACCTGGTCCCCGTGCATGGTGTCACCCAAGAGCATCCCATCGTCTTTCTACACGGCTCGGCACAGACAGCAACGGTCAGTGGGCCGCCCACAGATTGCTTGACATGAGATTACGCGTCAACGCTGACCCTCCGGAAGAATTGGCTCAACAAGCCCGACGGCGGTCGCGGGTGGGCGTCTCGTTTCATCGAGCAGGGTTACGAGCTGTTCCTCGTCGACCAGCCGTCACGGGGTCGCTCGGCATGGCAGCCAGATACCGGCCCCGAGTTGGAGCCGCCCTTTGCGGCTGAGAACCTGCAGCAGCGATTTACCGCCAGTGAGAGGTACAACCTCTGGCCGCAGGCAGCAATGCATACGCAGTGGAACGGCACCGGCTTGATGGGAGACCCAGTTTTCGATCGCTTCTACGCATCCCAGGTGCAGTACACGGCCAACCTGACGTTTCAGCAACACAAGACCCAAGCTGCGGGTTCTGCGCTGCTCGACCAAATTGGCAGGCCCGTGATCCTCGTGGGCCACAGCTCGGGGGGTCAGCTGCCGATAGTGATTGCAGACGCACGCCCGGGTCTCACAGCAGGCCTGATACTCCTGGAGCCATCTGGGCCGCCCTTCACGAACGCGGGCGTGCAGGGGAATGATTCGGCTCGTGCCTGGGGAGTTGCAGACATCCCGCTCACTTACGATCCGCCAGTATCCGACCCCGCCGTCGACCTGGTCAGGAAGATCGTCGCGGCGCCCGACGAAAATCACGTTGGCTGCACCCTGCAGGCGGATAGTCCTGCGCCGCGCAGGTTGGCCAACCTGGCTGATACGCCCATCTTGGTGGTGACGGCAGAGTCGTCATTTCATGCAGTCTACGACTACTGCAACGTGGACTATCTCCGGCAGGCAGGGTGCACTTCTTTGGAATATGTCGAGCTGGGCGCAGCTGGGATTCACGGCAATGGGCACATGATGTTCCTAGAGAAGAATAGCGATGCCATCCAGGCCATGTTGCAGGAATGGATTGCGCAGTTAAATTAATAGCTTGGTCATGTTGACGGCCGAGAAATCTTGAACATTCCTCCGGGTGGCCACTGGAACGTGGAATACCGTACCATCGGCGAGGAGTCCATTCTTCAACCACGAGTCTGTCTCGGTCCGCACCCCGCCATTGGCCACCGACCTCCATCGCCATCTCAACGGCAACGCGTCGGGAACAGCCTGTCTCGCCTTGTTATGTCTGCTCTCTTCCATCGTGCGATGCTCTGCGATGCGCGGAACTGAAAAAGGACCATGGACCGCGTTCGCGCAGCTCTGCGTCTCGTCTCTGTTCCCTCCCTTCTCTCTGCCTGTCGGTGTTATATAAACAATCGTTCCTAATTGCGGGCTTGCTGATCCAGCTCTCTTCCCGCCCTCTCGTACCGACCGACCGACCATTCATTCGTTCTTTCTAGACACCCCTTCGGTTAAGGCAACCGTTGACCAAGCATGGGGAGACTGCATACACTGGCCGCCGGCACCGCCTTGCTGGCACTCGGGGTGAAGGCGCAGTTCTCATACCAGGGCTGCGCTGCCCTCGACACCTCGACCATCAAGAAGACCACCGAGTTGTATCCTCATGGTCCCGCGACGTGTCTCGCATATTGCAATGGCATAGGCTACTCGTATGCGGGCTTGCAAGCCCAGTAAGTCTCACTCGTCATGGGCCTTGTACATTCCCCCTCCTGAGAAGCCTACTTGCTGACTTTGCCTAGGTTTTGCTCCTGCTGGGACTTCTCCCCTGTCGTCACCAAGAAGTACGCCGACAGTGAGCATGCGGACTGCTCGTTCAACTGCGACGACCCGTACAGCAACCAGTACTGCGGCGGCATCGACCTCAGCTCCCTCGGCTTCCTGTACAGCCTCTACGCGGGTGTTGCGCCTACTGTCATTCCTGGGCTCACCCCTAGCAGCAGTGTTCCAGGAGATGTTGCAACATCCAGCGGTGGTGTGATCATATCTCCTCCGGCGACATCTAGCTCAGGAGATGGTGGTGTTACTCCTGCAAGTTCCAGCGGTGCTGGAGGCGTCATTCCTCCCCAGAGCTCAAGCTCGCTTGGTGGTGGCTTACCAACCCTCCCGAGCACTAGTGCTGGAGAGGTTCTGCCTCCAACTAGCTCTGGGCTTTTGCTTCCTGCGAGTTCAGGCCCGTCTGGAGTCTTGCCTCCAGCGAGCTCAGGGCCATCTGGAGGAGTTGGTCCTTCGGGTTCAGGAGGAAGTAGCGGAATTCCTCCTCAGAGCTCTCTGCCATCTGGAGTCATTGTGCCCACTCCGACTGGGTCCGGCCCTGCGGGCAGCGGGACGGCCTCGCCCAGCTCCACTGGTGTCGGTGGCGCCCCGATCCAGACTATCGTGGTTCTGAGCCGCGGCCAGCCGTTCGTGATTACCATCGCCCCCTACCTCAGGGCCCTTGGCGACCAGGCGCTGTCCTACATCCCGTCGCCGCCGTGGCTCCTGTACAATGCCAACATCACATCATTCTACGGCACGGTCCCGGTCGACTTCCCCGTTGGACCACTCGTCATCACCGTGACTGCCGGCCAGCGCACCACGGGGTCCAACAACCTCGGACGCAGGCAGGCCCCGGCAGGAACATACACCTTCGCCATCGAGCTGCTCATCGTGTTACTAAACCCCGTCCCGACGCTGCCCAGCAGCCCAGTGCCGACGCCATCGCTGCCCGGCGTGCCAGGCATCCCGCCCAACCCCAGCGCGGTGCTGCCGTCGTACACCAACACGGTCTACCAGACCATCACGTCGACCATCACGCGCTGCCCCGTGTGCCCGCCCGAGGTGACAAAGTTCGCGGTGCCGATCGGCACGACCTGCGTCACGGCCGAGGTGTTCACGACGCCCTGCGAGATCACTGTGACGAGGACGCGCGCCGACGGCGTCGTCACACCAGTGGTGACCACCACCAACAGCTGGATCCCGTACAACCCGGCCGAAAGCACCGTCGTCGTCACCACCGTCGACGCCGTCACGACCAAGTACACCACCACCCTGCTCGTCGCCGTCACCATGACCGTGCAGAAGCTGCAGCCCACGGGCCAGGCGGGCGCCGTCCAGCCTCCTCCCCCGCCGCCTCCTCCTGGCCCTCCTGGCCCTCCTGCTCCTCCTGGCCCTCCTGGCCCTCCTGCTCCTCCTGGGCCTCCTGGTGTCCCTGCTGCTGCGCCCGTTCCCGGCGCGCCGTTCCCTGGCCCGGTTGCGCCGCCGCCGCCCAAGGGGGCGATCGGCACCGGCGCGGCCAACAACGGCTCCCAGCCTGCGCCCACTATGCCTGTCACGGCTGGGGCGAGCATGGACCGGTTCGTGGAGATGTTCGTCCTGCTGTGCGGTGTTGCCTTTGGGGCGCTCCTCCTGCTGTAGGATGTCTGTTCATCGTTGCCGTGTCTCGGATGGACCTAATATTAGTACATTCTTTCTTTTGTATCTGCTTGTATCTCTCGGTCTTCCGGGTGTTGGGCGCTCATCAATTGCATGGTTCTCCGCGGGGGGGGGGGGGGAAATAGGCATTAATAGGACCTCCATGTAACGAACATGAATATGACATCCCAGATAATGAGAAATTATACACTGATGCATGGCGACTGCGATTTGGGGTGGGACTCCAAAGTGAATGTCGAGACAGTGATTCCGTTCATGAACCTAGGAGTCGTCGGTGGGAGGGTTGCACAGAACACCGACTCCGACGGTAGATGATCTGCAATAGACCAATTGAGAAGTTGTACTTAGTGGGATCGTCTTTGCGACCAAGGTCAACGATTCACTCTCTGCTGCTGTGCTGGGCGTGTGCCGCTTGTGGCAGGCATGTTCATCAGACAACGTTGGAATTGCCGTGGCATGAAGGGATCAAGGGCCGAACCGGGTAGACCGCGCGCCACCGCAGTCGATGAGCCGAGGCTCTCGCCGTCTCGCGCTGCTGTGTCGTTGGCGTCACCGAGGCCGACCGAGACCGGACAACCGCGGGTGCAGCAAGTGGAGAGAAGAAGGGCAGCCTTCCCCTCTGCCAGGCGGTTTCCTTCTCCCATTCTCTCTCTTTTTAACTTCCTGTGGGATCAATTGCACCTCTCACGACCATGTCCAGAGCCCTGCTTTCGAGATGCGCCCGGCAGAGCGCCCCAGCACTGCGGGCCGGCGCCAGGCGAAACTACGCGGCAGCTGCATCCTCCGCGCCGCCTTTTGACTGGCAGGACCCTCTCAATGCGAAGAACCTCTTGACGGAGGAGGAGCTGGCCATTTCAGAGACGGCGGAGAAGTATTGCCAGGAGCAATTGCTACCCAGGGTCCTTCGTACGCACCGCACCACCCACAGGCCCTTCCCCGCTTGGCTTCAGACTCCTCTCGTCACCCCAATGCGCCCTTCCCCAGTTCCTGCACCTTCTCGAACAGCCGCTGACTTCTCCTTGAACATCCTACAGAGGCCTACCGCGATGAGAACTACCACCGCGAAATCCTGACCGAGATGGGCGAGCTCGGCCTGCTGGGCGCCACGATCGACGGGTACGGCTGCGCCGGCGTGTCGACGGTGGCGGGCGGGCTGATCACAAAGGCGGTGGAGCGCGTGGACTCGGGCTACAGGTCTGGCATGTCGGTTCAGTCGTCGCTGGTCATGGGCGGGATCCACGAGTTCGGCACGGCCGAGCAGAAGGACAAGTTCCTGCCCGGCATGGCGAGGGGCAAGATTCTGGGCGCCTTCGGCCTGACGGAGCCGAACCACGGGTCCGACCCGGGCAGCATGGAGACGACGGCGCGGCCGCACCCGGACAAGAAGGGCTACTACCTCCTCAGCGGCTCCAAGACGTGGATCACCAACAGCCCCATCTCGGACGTGTTCCTGGTGTGGGCGAAGCTGGCGGAGACGGGCAAGATCCGCGGCTTCCTCGTCGAGCGGGACGCCTGCCCCCCGGGCACCCTCGAGACGCCCGCCATCAAGCACAAGACGGGCCTGCGCGCCAGCATCACGGGCATGATCCATCTGGACGGCGCGCCCGTCGCCCACGAGATGATGTTCCCTGACATCGAAGGGCTGCGGGGCCCCTTCTCGTGCCTCAACAGCGCGCGCTACGGCATCGCCATGGGCACCGTCGGCGCGCTCGAGGACTGCATCGAGCGCACGAGGGCGTACGCGCTCGAGCGCCGCCAGTTCAAGAGCAACCCCATCGCGAAGTACCAGCTGGTGCAGCGCAAGCTGGCCGACGCGGCCACGGACGCGGCGTACGGCATGCTGGCGGCCATCCAGGTCGGGCGCCTCAAGGACGAGGGCAAGGCGTCGCCCGAGATGATCAGCATGATCAAGAGGCAGAACTGCGACCGGGCGCTCGTCAACGCCCGGGTGCTGCAGGAGGTGTTTGGGGGCAATGCCGTTAGCGATGAGTATGCTATCGGCAGGCACGTTGCCAACTTGTTTGTCACGCAGACTTATGAGGGCCAAAGTGATATTCACAGTAAGTTGAGCCTTCATATTTCTCGTTCTCACTTCCTCCATATTGGATTTACTAATGCGTTCATACAGGTTTGATACTCGGCAGAGCCATTACTGGTATCCAGGCCTTTGTCTAGGAACATGGTAACATACTTGCACACGATTTGAAAATGCGCCGGTTGTAGTATGTAGCAATCAGTTCGTATATATGCTGCCCATGATGGATGCCATATCTGTGCCCAGGTTCTAGGTTCTCAGAGACAACTAAGAAGCTCAACGTACTCCATGTAGACCACCCGGTAGGAAGTGAAGCAAGGGCAAGCCTTGAGTCTTCTGCCTTGCAATCCACAAGTCTATAGGTCTATAAGTCTGGAAAGCTGTAGACAGTTTAGAATGTTCCCACGTGGTTCAACACCGGATTTGAAAAAACCATCCCGTCCTGCCTCCGGGACCTTTTCCGGCCATGCCGGCTCACGATCGGAGCGAGCCGGGCCCCTTTCATCGATCCATCCCTGAACCCCTGACTTTAGCGCCCCTGGCGACCTGACTGACCGACGTCATTTTTGAGCTTGACGTCTCTGCTACACATGGTTGGGCATGCCAGGATGTCGCCCTTACCGGCAGACAGGGCAGTTAGGACGTGAATGGATTGGTGTTGGCCTGGATCCCGGAAGGAAGAGGCAGATGGCGAGGGCTGAGAAATCAACAACCAGACCTGCTCAGGCCCAGACCAGGCGATAAGACAGGTTGGTGGTGGCGGTGATGTACTATTGTGAGTGGCGTACTATATGTGCCAAAATCCGGGTGTGGGATACTTGGCCGTGTTTGTGAACTGCTGCAGCCCTGGCGGGTGAAATGTTTGTTTTCAGGTGTTCAGGTGCTTTTTGGGCTGCAAGAGTGGCTGATGGCCAGGGTGTTCAGACTGTGGATGAGGGAGGAGGGGCCGTGCTTTCAGGCCAGGCCAGGTCAAGCCACTGAGGCCTTTCTGCCTTTCACTTTCAGGGCATTGGGCAGGCGTCTTCTTTGTCCCACTTGCTTGGGCCCCATCCACTTGCAGCCAGCGCCTGTGCCTGTGCCTCTGTGGTGCTTGCCCAAGCGTGTCGGCAGGAGGAACTGGGAACAACAACCCAACCCACCTTCCGTGACTGCCTGACTGACTGACTCTTCTCCGATTTTTCTCGTCCACTACCAATACCCACCGTACCCTGCCCTGCCCGCCACAGTAGTAGTAGACTTTGCCGCCCATCACCGGACAGCTTCTTTCTCGCTCCCGACTTTCACTGTAATCTGCTCCGAACACCCCAAGACTGCGATACCATCACCTCACCCCGCCACATCACCCGCATCTTGTGAGTCGAGCCTGCAAACCATCCAACCTGCACACCCAGCCTGCAAACCTACATACCTGCATTCAGACACGACTACCATTACCACAATCACCTGCCTGCCTGCCCCGTTTGATGATTCACTGACCTTCTGTGTGTTTCCAACTGCTGACCCGAGTTAAAACACAACCTGCAGCCCGTCGACTTCTTTCTTTCTCTCCCAATCTCAATCACCGGCCACAGCCAACCACTCCGAGGACACCAACCTCCGTCATCCACAACCTCAACAACCCACACAAAATGGCGCTGAAGCGAATCAACAAGGAACTTACCGACCTGGGCCGGTATGTCATCTCGCCCATTATCCCTTTGGTCATTGTCTCGTCGCTCTCGCAGACCATGGTCGCACGCTGCAAGGTGGGGTGTTTGCTGCTACCGCTCTACTCCTGCTGCTGCTTTGAGCGGGGCATCTGCAGCGAACAACAGAACACCATCAACCCTCAGCCTTGCAGTATCCACGATGCGATCAAACTCAGCGGAGGGGACGAGAGACGCCAGACGAGTTCAAAACCCACGCAGAAACCACGATGCTGACATTTCATCGACAGTGACCCTCCCTCGTCATGCTCCGCTGGTCCCGTTGGTGAGGATTTGGTACGCACTGCCCCTCGCCTTGTTACCCGATAAGCGCCAACACCACTCGCAATCGAGCGAGCCTGGCACGCGACCCATCTCGCCGGAAGCGTCGATCATCTGGGCCTCTTTTTACTGACGTTTCTCTGGTATCCAGTTTCACTGGCAGGCCACAATCATGGGACCTGTAAGTTGACCACACTACTATTGTCCTCGATGCCACCTGTTCGAGACACCATCCCGGACACCTGTCCCCTGACTCGGACTGGCCGTCGAACGGACGGACCTCTCGAGCTCGATCCCCTCTAGCTAGACATGTCGCTGACCATGGCCTCACAGAGTGACTCCCCATACTCGGGCGGTGTCTTCTTCCTCGCAATCCACTTCCCAACAGACTACCCTTTCAAGCCTCCCAAGGTCAACTTCACCACCCGCATCTACCACCCCAACATCAACAGCAATGGAAGCATCTGCTTGGACATTCTGCGAGACCAGTGGTCCCCAGCCCTGACCATCTCCAAAGGTAAGCCAGCATCGTGCTTGGACTCCCGAAAAGACCTCAGATAGCCAGAACTAACCCCGCTGCAGTCCTGCTCTCTATCTGCTCCATGCTGACCGACCCCAACCCCGATGACCCTCTTGTCCCCGAGATCGCACACGTGTACAAGACGAACCGATCTCAATATGAGTCGACTGCCAGGGAGTGGACCCGCAAGTACGCCATCTAGCTTTCCCCCCTATAGGGGGACGGCTTTGCGTGGTGTGTTTGTGAGCTTTGGAGATGGTGGACGCATGGCGAGGACGAGGGGATCACTGTGTCATCCCCTCGGGCTTGCGGTAGATCAACATCAATACGGACACGTTTTCCTGCACTTTTTTCTGTGGCTGGCTGCTGGCGTTGCATTCCAAGTGATTGATTCCGGGAGAGGACCGGCTTGGTTGACGATTTGGGTCACGTTCTTCTCTTAACGACCAACACACGAGGCTGTGGGAGAAATGCTCTGCATACAGATAGTTAGACAGCAAGGGAAGAGACGCGGGTATTATGACATGAACAATAGCTCCAGGTTCCGCAAACTGTCACGTTTGCGAGGGCCATGTGTGATGAACTCTGGCATCTTGCCGGAGCCCTCTGTCCGGCGACTGCCAGGACTTCTTTTGCTATGGTTTTGGCCATTCCAAGTGCTTACTCCCGGAGCACATCTCAGACCAACAAGTGTTGATATCCAAATTCTTCGAATTCTTCACGGTACGTAGTGCATAATCTCAGGTTTCGTCCTAGGGAGTGTTTCCCAGCAGACTTCGTGGAACTCAGGTTATACCAATATGACAAGACAACAGCAAAATCTTGAAGCTGCCTGGAGTTGGGCCATCCTGCTTCCTGCAGGCGTAATGGAAGCGGATACCTCTAAGCTGCCCCGGGGCACAGGGGAGACCTACGGGGTCATCATCGACCATCCCCAGCCATGTGGAAGGCCTGGGGACGGGGGACATTTCCTCATGTGGTTGACCACCAGGAAGCAAGGACAACAAGTACAAGCTCCCGAGGCAAGCGATCAGGCAGTCGTGGAGTGAGGAGAAGTAGAGACCATGGCGAATGGGCAGCGGTGGGTCATGCTCATGGGCCTGGCTGGCCATGGAACGCCTTGCCTCAGTTTGGCTGTTGAAGGGGAGCTGGCATATTTGACATATCTCAGCTCTTTTTTCCTTCCTTGGACAGGAAGAGAGATAGGAAAAGGACATTGTGCACCGCGCTTACATGGGGAAGAAGCATGTCACGGCCGGGATGCTGCCGGGGATGTAGGCAGCTGCTCACACGCAAAGGACTTGTCCGGCATTTGCGGCCGGCCGAAAGATGAAGATTGATCAGTAGTCCTGTTCTCCAGTCGTTCTCGTCTGACAGCAGGCCCTGTGTGGGTCCTTCTTCTTCTGGGCTGGCACCCTGATGGCCAGCTGAGTGGCTATGTCCTCGTGGCTGGCTTGTGTTGAGTTGGATGCCCTAAGGCTTGTCTGGGCTTGGATACAGAGACCCACATTCGTAGGCTCTCAGCTGTGCATGAAGTCGTTCACAAACTCTTGTAGAGACAGCTGAGGGTCGTGACCGGGGGTAGGAGAGTCTGAGGGCGGACAAGACCGCGTGCCAACTAGTGTCTGCTCACCAAAGGGGAGGATGGTGACGTCCCTGAGGAGAGGAACTATCCTTTGAAGTTCTTCCTTGACACCCTTCTGCAGGTCCCGTCTCGTCATTTGCTGGTCTTTTTCTGCCATCTGTCGTTGCAGAAGGGGCACATGCGCCCCTGCTACCACTGTAAGGGCAATCTGGCCCAGGAGGCTCCCTCAAAACACTCTCCTGGACGTGGAGATCATTCGTGTTGACCAGAACAATGCCATCAGGAAGAATAGCGTTGAGCTGTGGTGGCTATCTACAAGGGTGACCTGCTCCAGAAATGTTAGATCCTCATTCAAGATGTGATAATTATAGATAGAGAGGAAGATCGGTCCAGTAAGCTTCACTGCTGCTAGATCGTGGATGGGTGTCGTGATTACTAGCCGTTGTATTCAATAACCAACTCATTTGGCCAGCCTGGGACTATACCTAAGAAAACTTCATATCGCAATATGTCACCATCACTGTACTGAATACCTAGGTTATGCTCTTCCGAGATCATCATCACTGACGTCCTTGTGTCTGCTATACCTCACCCAGACTACTCCCCCTCCATTATCAGCTTTGGTCTAGTGTAGATAGACGAGGAGACTTCTGGGAAGCACTCCCGAGCTAGACCCCGGCCGGAGGTCTATCCGAAATGCAGTCACACACTGGGGCTCCAGGGCTGAGGTAGCAGGTGTCGATGCCACCATCCTGCATCGCACACATGCCCTCGACCCATGTGATGTTGATGATGAATATTCCCCAGATGCCAGAAGCTTTGGCTTTTTATACGTTCTTCCACAATTTATGGCATTTAAGCTCCGAGAAGTGACATCCTGACATCGCCATCCGTTGCCGGAATCAGCCAAGTCATGATCTAGAATGTGAGAATTTAGATGAGCGCTGGGAGACACGAAAGGGAGAGTATTCTCCTCTCCAACTTCCATTGCGGCATCGTGATCAGGCTAAAGTCAGACTAAGCTTAGTTTGAGAGATGGTGATATATGTATATCGGTCAAAGGCTGTTCAATTATGAGTTCCTTCTTGTCCTAACAGGAAGAGAACCTCCCAGTAGACCCTTGTGCTTTCTCTCGATCAACATAGGCGAAAAACACATGCCAAAGTAGTTGGAGTGTGTCTCTGACAAATATTGTACGAGTTACTCTTCAAAGCCGTCCGGGCATTGGCTGCATTGCGGTGTCTACAGCATCAATATCCAACGAGAGGGAACAACGCCTGGCTTTCCGGTCTGCGTTTGCAGCTTCAAATTTCCCGCTTCGAGCAAGGAGATAGGCCACCTAACGAATACATGTGCCTATTCCCCAGCCCGGCCAAGCATTCCACCTCAAGGCACATGCAACCCATTTCAGCTTTCTTGCTGACAAAGGTATGTGGTGTAGCTGTCGTGCCCTGTCCTCTGGACAAGTTTTGGGATTCAGACAGTGTGCCATTCTCCTGAGGGGCTTTCAGGTCAATTGCTGGACTGATTAACCTGCTTTCTTGTTTTTGATTCTGGCGGTCATTCAGCTGTGAATCATGACAGGCCTGCTGCCTCAGATGATGCTAACACCTCTGAAGAGTCTCATCCTGTACCGGCTGGTCCCAAGTACTGCCCTGGAGGCAGCATGCATCATTGGTGCGGCATGTTGCCATAGTTGCCTTTCACTGTTCTCAGTTTTAATGGACTACTGACCAAGTTGAAGTGGATCTATTATTGCTCATGAAGAGGATGGTGACGTGTTTCGATTGGGGCCCTGTGGGATCACAGGAGGCAGTCCGGGATAGTATGCCTAGATATGGTGTGCTCTTTTTTCCCTTCTTCCTTTCTTGCCCCTCCGAAGGCTTGCTAATGCCCAGGCAGGGAACTTTTGCAACATTACCTTCTCGTAGCATATCCTTATTTGATTGGTATTGCTCAGACCTGAGTGCTGTGCTTACTTACATCAAACCTGATATTCACTGCGGAGCACGTATGGAGAAGGACGAGCGGCAGGCAGGTATGCTATAGACAAGACCTATAACTTTAATAGCTTCTGTCTGTGCTTCATGCTATACCGGTCTGATTTCCAGACAGTTGTGATGTATACTTCGCTGGAATGTGATCCTAGTTATGAATAGTCACACAGAGATATTTGACATGGTAGAGTGGCAACTCTGATATACTTGAAATGGGCCTTAAGAAGATCAAGGCTGAGATTGAAGACATATAGTCAACCTAAAAGGGCTGGGAAACCCCAATTCAGTCCATCTATCATATTACCCACCCATTTGCTAACGTTCTAGCCACAGTTACTTCAACAGGGATAGGATTAAGGCTTCCAGATCGGCAATACATAGCTCTTCTCCCAGAGGTTTCTTTCGGATGATCTCTTTGATTTATGCCCACATTGTCGTGAATGAATCCTCAGAGTTTATTACCTAGGTAGAGAGAGAGCTGGCCATTCCTTGCTGATATGCTTCGATACCGGATGGAGAACACATAGCTGATGAGATGAGACTCCATGCCTAATGCTGCTTCTGCTTGTCGCAAGTGAGACCTGGACCCCGTCTGCAACCCCCACCAAGTCCCACGCCACTCGACCGTGACTCGTGGTTGAAGAAACACCTGGCTTCAGATGCTGTCGCAGCGATTGACCGGCCCGGGGACGACGGAAAACACAGAACCCGCCTAACCAAGTGAGGGAGAGGGTGGGATGTCAAAGGACGGTGCCGTGGACCAAACATCGGCCCTTGAGGGAAACACTGACTTGACAGCAGTTTGGGAAGCATCGTGCCCGGGCCTCCTGGATGGTCACCTTTGACTCAGCAAAACCGTGGGATCCGAACTATCACGGTCAACTTCTGCAGGCCGAAGCGTCGGAAAATAGCCGAGCAGTGATAGTGACACAGTCATGTTGTATGTCATGATGATAGGGCAGTAAGGAGGCAGTAGTCCAACTCGGGACTAAGCAAGCCACTCGCACGATGGTCCGCAACATCATCAGCTCCCAGTAAGATCTCACACGAGGGTGGGATGGTCAACGGGCGGTGATGGAATCACCAGAAGATCGGTCCAAACAGCGCCAGTCAGCAAACGGCCACCTCCGTGGGGACGGGATCACTTCCGGGAGCATTCACGGAGTGCGATACGTGTATACGGATGCGTCAAGGGGGCGGGCTCCCGAATCATCGGTCGTGATTTTCTCTTGCATCCGCCACTCGGAGATCGTTTGGAAGATCAGCCTTTGAAGGGGATGATAGGACCAAATATCGGGCCAAACCATAATGAGCATCTCGTCCGCATCCAGCCTCGGTGGCAGTGATTGGGCGTGCAGCCGGGCAGCTGCGAACAGCGAGATCAGCATCAAAAACCCAAAGCAGGTGAGATCGGGCCAAACAAACTAAAGCATGACCGCTGGCCAAACATACGAGAAGGCTGAGAGTGAGACGTCCGGCCCAAAGCCCTTTTCGGGGTTTGGAAACATAGCCTTTGCTCGGACGCTGGCATTGGTTGCGTCCCCCATTTGGGATGATACGAACCAAACTCAAAGCGCGTGGAAGACTTGAGATGATGACGGGACTTGAACACTATTCCCACGTTGCGGTCCAACTGATAACGACACCCAATCGCGAATCTCAGCGAACACACCACAGTCTGATGGAGTGCAGACTGGCGAGCAGACCGTGGGCCGCACGAATGTGATGCCGTGCCAAGTTCGAATCTTCAAATCTGTGCTCCGCTTGGAACAATACTGAGAGCGCAACCTCGCCGTGGAGGCTGCAGGTCCCGTTCGTGGATAGAGGGCTGATACTTTCGATGCAGCCTGGGGTAGAAGGAAACTTTTGGGTGTTCTCTTGAACGACAAAACCGAACAAGCATAGATCCCGGCGCCTGGTTCCGAGAACTCACATGCGATTTATTTCAAGAACCCTTGCAGAGTGCCGCGTCCATTGAGCATGATCCAGGCCTTCAAGCGTACCACTGGGACACTTGAGGACACTAGGTATTTTGAGCAGCCGCAGCGCCTCAAAGTTGGGAGACCCATGTGTACTCGTGTCCCAAGCTAGCCCATGAGAGCGAAGCCGTACCTGGAGTTGTGGGTCACGACAACTCGAGCATTTGAACCAGCCCTGAGATCTCCTCACGAACCAATGGCTTCCACTCGGTTATATCGTCCCAAGGGTTGCATTCGATAGCGTGCAGGTTCTGGTAATTATTGACCGGGCCTTGGAGCACCGAAGAGAGGATATAGACGGTGATATTGTCGCCGCCCGGGAGAAGTGTGTCGACGGAGATTAAGCTTCAAGCGAAGCAATTGACATATGCAAGGTCTATTCTTGGGTGGATCTCTCCAGGGATCCCCACACCAACCTGCTGCCGACTGGGGCGTGGGAGAAATCACGGAGAGTTTGAGTCGTCGACACGGGACGGGAAGCGGGGTGTGGGCGTGTGACCCGCTGGACAGGACTGCCAATCGCAGATCGTGACTGACGAGGCTGGAGGAGGGCAGAGGGTGTGGCGTCGAGTCGAGTACGCGAGCAAGCAGTTGAAGTGGGCTGGTCGTGGTGCTACAGACAGCAACAAAAGTCGCCGAGAGAGGGTGTGTCAGAGTGTCTGGAAGGAATCTTGGCGGTTTGGGCTGGGCCGGGGACCCAGGCGTGGCTCTGCTAAGTCAGCAGGAACCGACCCGCATTGCTCGGCTCTGAAGCTCCGTGATTGGCCCAAGCTGGGGTTCCGTCAGACTTGTGGTTTCCGCCGGTTTGGCCCGTGTCGCAGGCTGAGTTTCGTCAGGGGCCGCCCCAAAGTCCACCACAACCCAACTACGCCAGCCGCCCACACGCCCTTGCCCACGCCCACTCCCACTCCCTACCACGGCTCGACTCGCCCTTCGTAATCTCCTCCCCCCGTTCGACGCGCCCAGGCTGTGCTACCACAGACTGCAAGGCCCTGATGAAGCACATGTGCCGCCATCCAGGCCTCCTGGCACGAACAGCAGGAGCAAAATCGTTCGATAACCCACCTTCCAAGGCCCTGTCAAACCGGTCGATCAACCCCAATCGCTGACGAACGAGGGCTCCCAAACACGGCTCTGCCGCTGACGGGAGACGGTGTCGGTATCACCCTAGAACGAGATGACGACGCTCGCCTCCTAACGTGCGCCTCGTTGGCTGCGTTGTGCAACCCTCGGATGCTGCCACTTGTGATGCAAATGCGATGCCGTCGAACCCGTGGCTGGGATGACTAGCCCGGCACGGTTAGCCTGGGCCATGAGCGAGAGCGAACGCCTGTCTGTCTGTTTGTTTTATGGAGGGTGGCAGGTGAACATGAGAACGTGAGAACATGACAGGAACAGACAAGACACACTTTGCCTTGCCGAACAGAGTAATCGGAACACATGCCAAAAGCTTCCACCGGACTGGAGATGGGTTCCAACAGTCCGATGAGGCGGTGATGGAATGACAGTGACTCCTTGCATCTGCATCTTGGCCTCTTGGCTGCGGCTTAACGCTGAGTTTATCGAGCTCCTAGCTTGAGAGTGGGCCGCGTGGTCTCCCGATTGAGGCTACCTCTGTTTCGACGACGCTCCCAAAGACAACCAGAAGCAGCACAGCTGGGCGGCTCGCGGAGCCTCACCTCGCCTGTGGTGGCCGCACCCCTCGGGGTGTGCATGACAAGCCCCCCACCGCGGCGGTCCGCCGCCTACTGCACCCGTCAGTCTGTGTGCCGGGCCAAGGATCATGGCCCATCCAGCCCATCTCCTGTCCTGGCAAAGCTGCCAGGGCCCTCAGACATGTTCGTTACACACCCTCTTCGCGTTCGAGGGGGCCCAAGATCAGTGACCCCCCTACAAGCCCCCTCCTCGGGCCCCTTTTGCCTGCTTCGACTGGCTTCGAGTCTTGGCCCATTCCGTACTTCTCTGGCTTCGACTCCACCAGGTTTCTACTTCATCTTATCTTCCCATTGCCATTCCGACATCGTGCGTGCCTCGCCTTCTCGCCGTACTATCAGGTATCATCCTGTCTTTCTCCCTCGGCGATCTTCCTGTTCCCGGCCACAGACCAGCAGTGCTGTCTATTCCACGGACGCTGTCCTGCCCCAAACTCACTATACCTAGCCTGGTAATAGCTGGATCTGTCTGCTACATGAGAAAGCGCAGACAACAGGCATAGCGTGCAGGTATGATCTACAAGATGACCCACTCTGTTTCTGGTCGAACGCCCTTGGCGTGCTTCATAACCCGATCACATCCCGCCGCACTTCCCTTCCACGCCTTTTCTTCCCACCTGCCACACTCAATCCTCTTCTTCTAGCCAGGTTCTACCACCTGTTGCTGTACAGTTTGCTGATCATCCGTCGTATTCTCGCGGCCGCAGCAGACACCGTTCACGCTCAGGATAGACGCTCAGTTCATTTCCCGACTATCTTTTATGTATCACTTTTGCTAGTTCAGCAGGCTCTGAATATTCCGTCGCTGGGCATCGACAGTTGGAAACCATTAATATTATTGGGACGATTGGCACGGGCATTACCATCGACGCCTTCGACGATCAACACGACGCCATCACAGTGGAGGACGAGTAGGAAGCTTCGGATTTCGGTTACGGGTGGGCCTGCGAGGAGTCTGCGGACAGTCTGCCAGGGAGAAACCGATATCTAAGACGACGACAGTCAACAAGATCCCACGATGAGCGACTTCTACGGCGACTCGAGGTATTCGGCGGGCTATGAGAAGCAGTCGGAACGGTCACGATGGACGCCACTCACGAGGATGTTGTTGTCGGGTGAGATGACGCAGGAGAGGCAAAAGGAGCTGTCATCAAGAGAAAAGTTCGACCGGTGGATGGTCAACGAGGGTTACCGAAGATTGTACGTGCTCGTCCGGGGCAGTTGATGAATGTGGGTATCTCTGTTGCACATGAAGCTAACCTGTGGCACAGTTTCGTCTTCGTCTTCGCTGTTCTACATGCCATGGTGTTCGCTTTTGGCTTCGTCAATTACGCCGTGAAGGACAACCTGCAAGTTGCTCGAGATACCTTTGGGCCAACTTATATGATCGCTCGTGCCGCGGCTTTGGTACTCCATTTCGATGTGGCGATGATCCTGTTCCCGGTGTGCAGGACGTTCATCTCCCTGGCGCGTCAAACGCCACTGAACGGTATCATCCAGTTCGACAAGAACATCACATTTCACATCACGACCGCATGGTCCATCTTCTTTTTCAGCTGGGTCCACACCATTGCTCACTGGAACAACTTTGCTCAAATTGCCGCCAAGAACAATCTCGGTATCTACGGTTTCCTGCTGGCAAACCTGGTGTCCGGTCCTGGCTGGACTGGCTACATCATGCTGATTGCTCTGACTGGCATGGTGATCACCAGCGTGGAGAAGACACGTCGGGCCAATTATGAGCGATTCTGGTACACCCACCACATGTTCGTCATATTCTTCCTGTTCTGGTCCTTCCACGGAGCCTTCTGTATGATCCAGCCGGACGTGGCTCCATTCTGTATCTCAGTGGGCACACAGGCCATCGGTGTCTTCTGGCAGTACTGGATGTATGGAGGCTTCATCTACCTTGCCGAGCGTGTCGCCCGTGAGATGAGAGGACGACACAAGACCTACATCTCGAAGGTTGTGCAGCACCCCAGCAACGTTTGCGAGATCCAAATCAAGAAGGAGAACACCAAGACGCGCGCTGGCCAGTACATCTTCTTCAGCTGCCCAGAGGTCTCAATCTGGCAGTACCACCCTTTCACCCTCACTAGCGCTCCGGAGGAGGACTATATCTCGATTCACATGCGTGTGGTCGGTGACTTCACCCGCGAGGTGTCGAAGGCATTGGGTTGCGAGTGGGACAAGAAGGACAAGGGTTCCAACGTGGTTGGTGTCAATAGCGACAACAGCGACGTCGACCCGGCCCTCCGCCGAGTGCTTCCCCGAGTTTACGTCGACGGCCCCTTCGGCTCCGCATCCGAAGACGTGTTCAAGTATGAGATCTCAGTTCTTGTCGGTGCCGGTATTGGTGTGACGCCATTTGCCTCCATCCTCAAGTCTATCTGGTACCGCATGAACTACCCTCAGACCAAGACCCGTCTGGCCAAGGTGTACTTCTTCTGGGTCTGCCGTGACTTCGGCTCATTTGAGTGGTTCCGGTCTCTGCTTCTGGCCATTGAGGCCCAGGACGTCGACCAACGCATCGAGATTCACACATATCTCACGGCCAAGATCAAGGCGGATGATGCGACAAACATCATGATCAACGACGCCAACGCCGACAAGGACGCTATCACCGGTCTGCGTGCCCCGACAAACTTCGGCCGGCCCAACTGGGATATGATCTTCAGAGGTATCAGGAAGTTGCACGCGCCAGCTGAGGCAGGTGTGTTCTTCTGTGGTCCCAAGGGTCTGGGTAGCTCGTTGCACATTTACTGCAACAAGTACAGCGAACCTGGGTAAGTTCTTCATTAATTGTATGCGTATCGTGGAAATGATACTGACTCCATAACCAGATTTGCATTTGTATGGGGCAAAGAGAATTTCTAGACACGCTACTTCTTCATGTTCCAACATTAATACCCATATACATGCGCATATATCCACGGCGCAAGAAAGAAAACACCGCCGCTGGCCGAGGATGAACCAGCCACGCACATCAAACACCTTCTAATTATCGGCGCGCCGGACGCAACTTTCATTCGGAGTAATCTGGTTGGCGGGATTGCCTTTGAGTGAGCGAACATCTCAAAAACTCAACTTGGAGTCAGGACCAGCTAGGACAGCTTGCGGGGAGCAGCGCCTACCAATGGCTGCCCAGGCGGACACGGACTGGCTTCGAGAGGTCAGCGCGTACGACGAGCAACACGACGTGATGATGCCTTGGGGGGAAAGAAGGTGGAAGAGGGGAGGTGTTTTCTGAGTAACAGGAGGGCGAGAAGGGTCTCTACGTCCACGGACGGGTGAGAGGCGAATAGGAAGATGTCGTGCATAGCTTGCGTGCTGATAATATTAGAAATCATCGCGATTACGACGTCCCGCTCTGTTTGCGGTCGACAATCTGGGAGGCCGCTAGTCGCCTACCCTCTTCTGCTATTCATTTTGTCTAGCGAGTATCTTACGAAAATAGAAGCTGTACATGATTCTTACATTCACCCATTGGCCGTCTTCTGAATTATCTGTGACTGCGTGCATATATGATACGCATCCGTCTTGATCTAACGGGGATCCCAGCCTTCCAACAGCCTCCAATATCACAGAGCCACCATCACGCCGCCTGACGAACCCCCGGGCTCTTTCCGAAGCCGTCACAGGCGTACGTACGCCACATCTGGAACAGGCCGCACAGCTCGAATCCACCGTGATAAACCAGCCCCCCAGACAGCGTATCTCACACTCCTACACAGGCATGAACCACTGCCTCCCCCCAAAATCAGCCTTCCGTTCCCACCAATCAGGCCCCAGCCTGCGGGTAGCCTGGTCCTGCCTCGTTTCACCGGGGACAGCCCGGATCGCCGAGTTGGACCAGGCTGGACGTCGGGCGGCTAGGCTGCACGGCACACGCCCCCCAGCCTGGCGCCGCTGTCGAAACGCGAAAGGTCTGGGATCGACGAAAAATCGTACCATGTTTTCTTCTTCTACATCGTCATACCTTGCCCTTTTCCCCTTTATCTTTCTCGTGGATCATTCCACGGGGGGGCATTTCACATGGACGGACTATTCGGACTGCGAGGGCTAGCACGAGGTGGTCGTCTCGCACTCCGCGAGGCCGACGATGTTGCGAATGGCGGGGGTATCTTGTCTTGTATCTGTCGGAGGGTGTATATGGGGTTCACTCGCCAGCCTGACTGGCTGCCTACCTGATAGCCTGCCTGCATGACGGTCGAGTAGGAGGCTATTCCTGGTCGTTGCATTCTGTGAGGGAACTACCTGTCCTTGATGATAGTGCCTAGTGGAGTTTTGCACGTGTGCGCCCCTGAACTCATGGTCTGTTGTTTTCTCTCTTCCCTGCCTGAATTCGGAAAGAGCGAATGCCAGGCCAGGCCATGGTTCGTTGTTCTTCACCGACAGACATGTCAGTCAGGAGACAGGACCTTGGCCCCGTGTGCGCGCGCCGAGAGGCTACCAAGAACACCCAAGCTCCTCCAAGAGCCCCCCTCCCAAGGGCTTCGCGTCCCCCAGCGCCCAGGAGCCTCAAACACTTATCGGGCCACCTGGGGCGACCGGGCTGGTGCAACTCGCCGGCCACGGCGCCTCTTGGGGTGCTTCTCTGTGGGCCTTGAGGTGCTTCTCTTTCGGGCTTGAGGTGCTTGTCTCTTGATCTCCCGTCACGGCAAAAGGTTGGCCGGCCTGTCGCCCGCGCCCCTCTCCCCACCGTTCCAGCCCAAAACCCACAAGAGTTTGCGCCGGCGCGGGTGCGGCTCTGCGTGTTCTTGGTATTATCATGGCCTGATGAAAGGAGTCTTGGGTGCACGTAAGGTTCCTGCCAACACAGGTCGGGCGCATCCCTGAGGCGGGAAACAGGCCGCCCTGTAGATCACACCCACACTGGATGGAGGCTAATGATCTTGGCTCTCACGGCGATGAGTGGGTGATTGATAACGGGCTGCCTTAAATCTGGTTTGGTTGTGGCCAAGCGTTCGTCCGTCCTTTCCTTCTGTTGATCTGCGTTGATGGAATAAGGCCAAGAACCTTCGCCCACACCCCTCCCCTCCTTTGATATCACGGTGCCATTATGTGGCCAAGCAGCCAAGATGTGCTGGATATGGGGAGGCGGTTAAAGTGGTGTGGCTGATGAATAGCGGGTGCTACATTTACGCACAGAAAGGAATGAAAAGCCCAATTTTACTCCAGTGGGCATAGGCATGCATGCATGGCTATCTGCGGCAGTCAGAGAAAGTGTATCTCGCGGTTGTCTGCCTCGAGCAGAATCGTCTCTCACTGCACAGATGTCGGTGCGCGGGACTGCTCGTAGGCGAACGATTAGGTTCGTTTGCTCGCCAATCTCGAAATCGGTAACGGCGGCGGGAATGCAAACCGTCTGTTCTTGCTTCGGCAGTGTGACGTGTTGGTGGTGAGTATGACTGAGTTCAGAGGCGTGTCAGCCGAACTTTGAGGAGGCATCCTCTCCCAAGGTTCTCTGCCTTGGCATCTCAAGGTTGCGGGACGCCCAGACTGACGTATGGCCTGAGCCAGATGCTGAAGTGCTTCCATCGAGTCCTTTCGACTGGAGAAGGTTGACGGCTGCAAAAGTGTGCTGAGTCACCTTGATCCGATCACTGGAAGCAGCGCAGATAAACATTTACCCATGAGTTCAATGTAGTCCCATTGCCTCCTCTTTACGGCGCTATCGGGTCATTCTGCACAGGATCGGAGCCTTTTACACTGAGAGACCCACCGAGTCGGGACCACTTAACGACGGGATGGGGCGAGATTTTCATCGGAGCAGTTCATGGACGCCGGCGCCGGGGGGAGGATCGACAGAGGGCGCAGCCGCAGACCGGCAGGGACGTTATCGCTGCTTACCCACAACTAACGGCAGTTACGTCTTGGCGGGCCGATCTGGGGCGAGGGCAACTTGTCACCCGGCTGACATAGCAGTCATAGCTGCTTCGTGAGGGGGACGAACAGATAAGGTAGGGAGACGCATAAAGGGAGAGACGGCCTTTCGTGGATTCGACGCCTTCGTGTGACCTTATCCGGCACTATTCTGAGTCGCCTTGGGGCTTTTTGTCGCGGTCCACCGTTCCTTTGGGTCGTAGTTTGAGCTCGACCCCAACTCCTCCGGTCCAGGACCGCGAACACACGAGGGAAATCGCCCGATCAACAGACTCTGCAGTCGGCGCCCGTGGCTCAGCAGCAGCAGTCGCAGCATCTGCATTATGAACTCCCCGGACCTGTCGACGAGCAAGGACCCGCTCAACATGGCGGGCACCGACAAGAAGTCTGAAGAAGCGGGGGTGATCGTGCCTCAGGGCACCGCCGTGGAGGACGTGGGCGTCGACGAGAGGAAGCTCGTCCGCAAGCTCGACCTGTACCTGATCTGGCTGGTCATGAGCCTCTACGCATTCAGCTTCCTCGACCGCGTCAACATCGGCAACGCGCGGCTGTACCACCTCGAAGCAGACCTGGGCCTCGTCGGCAACCAGTACCAGACGGCCGTGTCGATCCTCTTCGTGCCGTACCTCGCCTTCGAGGTCCCGTCCAACCTGGTGCTCAAGAAGTTCACCCCCCGCTACTGGATCGCCTTCATCACCACCGCCTGGGGTATTATTGCAACGCTGTCCGGGCTTGTCCAGAGTTACGGCGGCCTGATCGCGTGCAGGGTCCTCCTTGGCGCCGTCGAGGCGGGCCTCTTCCCCGGGCTGGCCGTCTACTTGACGCTCTTCTACACTCGGCACGAGCTCGCCTTGCGCGTGGGCTACCTCTTCGTGTCGGCCGCCATCGCCGGCGCCCTCGGCGGCCTGCTGGCCTACGGCATCGGCCACATGGACGGCGTGGCTGGCTTGCACGGGTGGCGGTGGATTATGATCATCGAAGGCCTTCCGACGCTCTGTCTTGGAGTTGCCACCTTCTTCCTGCTGCCCAACGACGCTCAGTCCGCATACTTCCTGAACGAGGCCGAGAAGAAGGCCATGGTCGTGAGGTGCGAGGGAGTACGGCATGACGGCGAGTGCCCAGGAGTTCTCGAAAAGTGATATGATGATGGCCTTCAAGGACTGGAAGGTCTGGGCGTTCTGTATTGCGCAGTTTGGGGCGGACACCATGCTATACGGTAAGTCAGGTCAAGCTTCTGTTATCAGGAGGTCGTGATGGCTGACTGGGTCTCAAACAGGCTACTCGACGTTTCTACCGACTATCATTAATGGCCTGGGGAGGTGGACTCCGGCGCAGGTGCAGCTGCTGACTATCCCGTGCTACTTTTTGGGCGCGACGACCTACATGTGTGTTGCCTATTTCTCCGACCGTATCCAGAGGCGAGGCTTGTTCTGTGTAATTTTCGGATTCGTCAGCGTCATTGGGTATGGCCTCCTGATATCAGAAACCCCCTCTGGAGTGCATTACTTCGGGTGTTTCCTTGTCGCCATGGGCTTGTATGTTGTTGTTGGAATCCCTCTAGCTTGGGTAAGACTGTCCCTGCAGCCCTTGACCACCACGACTCTAAAAACTGACGATGTGTGACAGCTCCCGAACAACTGCCCACGGTATGGGAAGCGTACCACCGCAACTGGTATGCAGTTGACCATTGGGAATGCTTCAGGGGTCATGGCTCCGTTTATTTATGCCACGGCTGAGGGCCCACGATATATCAAAGGGCATGCAGTGACACTGTCGCTCGTGGGAATGGCGACTGTCATGTATGGGCTTATGTCTCTGTGGTTTAGGAGCCAGAATAAGAGAAGGGAGGCCGGAGAAGTGCACACGGATCACCAGCATTTGTCGGACGACGAGTTGGCTGAGCTGGGTGATGAGAGCCATCACTTCCGGTATGTGAGGTAGCAGCTCTTATATCAGGCACTCGCAATTCTCGAGAAGCAATCCTGCTTGTCTAGGTACACCGTAATACAACCAGGCGGAGTGGCCTGTGATTGAAGGGTCTATGCTCGCCAAGACCGCACGCTGCATACATTCTCTGTTGGCCATACTCTAATCCAATTACTGCTCACCAGAAGTAGAAGCTGCAGACCGGTAACTCAGGGCAGAAGGAAGCTGCGCAGGGTTGAATGCGGTAGCTGCAGTGATGGGTAGACAACCACCCCTGTCGCTGATTGAGCCCCACTAAAAACGTCCATTTCGCCGCGTCGCGCTACTTACCCGTACTGAACGTTCCGCAGCGCGTCGACTTGGAGAAAGCTTGCGTGACATCACCAACTTTCCAGGCAGCCGAGCCCAACTCTCCCAAAGGCTCCCCTATCCTCCTCCTGCCCGCAAATTCTATTGCCTCTTTGTCCGAAGAATCAGGCCTTTCAGTCATACTACAAGACAGGCGACATCGCAAACCGGCAGGATGGGAATCAAGCAGCTCTTCTCCATCATTAAGGAGGAGGCGCCCGAGGCCGTGAAGGAGGGCGAGATCAAGAACCACTTCGGCCGCAAAGTCGCCATTGTAAGTGTTCAATGGCTCCTGTACATTATTTTGCATGGCTGATTATTCCCGCAGGATGCGTATGTAGACCGACGCGCAAGATCTGCGCTGCCCGCGCTGACAAAGTCACAGGTCCATGAGCATCTACTCCTTCCTCATCGCAGTCCGATCTGATGGCCAACAACTTATGAACGAGGAGGGTGAGACCACGTCCCACCTTATGGGAATGTTCTACCGCACCCTTCGAATCTGCGACAATGGCATCAAACCACTCTACGTCTTTGACGGCGCCCCACCAAAGCTCAAGTCAGGCGAGCTCGCGCGGCGATACCAGCGGAAGCAGGAGGCCAACGAGGGCCTGGAGGAGGCCAAAGAGACCGGCACAGCAGAAGACGTGGAGAAATTCTCGCGAAGGACGGTCCGCGTGACAAAGGAGCACAACGCAGAGTGCCAGCGGCTGCTCAAGCTCATGGGCGTCCCGTACCTGATCGCGCCGACAGAGGCCGAGGCGCAATGTGCCGTTCTGGCGCAAGCGGGCAAGGTTTACGCGGCGGCCAGCGAGGACATGGACACCCTATGCTTCAACAGCCCGATCCTGCTGCGCCACCTTACGTTCAGCGAGCAACGCAAGGAGCCTATCCAGGAGATCCACCTCGACAAGGTCCTGGATGGACTGAACATGGACCGCAAACAGGTGAGCGCGAATCAAAGGAGCCTCCCAGCTATCTATCATCTACTTCGTTGCTTACAATGCCTTTCTCCAGTTTGTCGACCTGTGTATCCTCCTCGGCTGCGACTACCTCGACCCCATCCCCAAGATCGGTCCTCACACTGCGCTGAAGCTAATCCGCGAGCATGGGAGCCTCGAGAAAGTCGTCGAGTCGATCCAGAACGACAAGAAGGGCAAGTACGTCATTCCCGACGACTGGCCATACCTGGACGCGCGAGACCTCTTCTTCGAGCCCGACGTGCGGTCAGCCGACGACCCGCTCTGCGACTTCAAGTGGGACAAGCCGGACGTGGACGGCCTGGTACAGTTCCTGGTCAACGAGAAGGGCTTCTCGGAGGACCGGGTGCGGTCCGGCGCGGGAAGGCTGGAGAAGAACCTCAAGAGCTCGCAGCAGAGCCGGCTGGAGGGCTTCTTCAAGCCCGTGCCCAAGACGGAGGAGGAGCAGAAGGCGCACAAGCGGAAGCTAGAGGAGAAGACGAGGAGAAGAGGAAGAAGCTCAAGGAGGAGAAGAAGGAGAAGGCCAAGGCCAAGGCGAAGCCCCGTGGCACCGCCTAAGTGCAGGGAGACCGGGTGCCGAGGTGGGCATGTCTTTTCTTGAGCCGTACGTGGTGGGAGATTTACGGGCCAGTTGCTTCTCTGCATTTTTTTTTTCTTTTCTACTGATACCGAGGGATACTTCCTTGAACAGGGGAATGGCGTTGCTACCGGAGTTTATCGTCGGAAAAGGGCATGGGAAGGCATCCCGACCCAATGCGTTGAGACGCGGCAGATATGGCTAGGACAGCAAGTAGAGCATTCGAACGAATAGCTGCAAATTACCATGAACCATGCATGGCATGAACCGAAAGGCGTCCGTCTGAACGGCATGCTCTAACTCTAAACGAGCTGACAGACCGGGCAACATTGCAGCGCTGCAACATTAGACAACGTTGAAGATAATCGAACCTTGCTGGCGATGCTCGGCTGGCCCTGGTCGGAAATTCAGAGTCCGGGGGAGTTGTTAGCGGGTCAGGGACAGTGCACATCTCCTGTGAGCTGAGCCTCGGCTTTTACCCGTTTCGGCTGCTGGAGAGGCCAGTCGCTGCGAATCACCCCTCGAACGATTGGTCGAACCACTCAAGGGTTGTCAATGATGTCAGCTTGACCCCCCGGTTCAGGCTTTCACATGCCAGCTCACCCAGAGCGACGGGTACGGGAACGGGCTGCTCGATGGAGAAAAGGTTAGAAAGGCACATGACTCTGTCTAAAATCTGAGAGCTGCATTGGTGCAACACACCACCGGCCTGCCGCCGCTAGAAGGGAGAAGCAGGGCCAGAAGGACATTCCTGATGCAGTCTTTTCCCCATGGTCCCAAGGTCCCCCAGAATTGCCCCACGGCACAGGGGGAGTAGACTACTGTAGCTGAAGAACTAGTAGACTAGATACAGTGTACGAGCAGACCAACGATGGGATTTGTGTGGGGTGGGCAGGGGTCCAAGGGTTGTCCTCGTGGCCCGTCTGCCCGTCTTCTCTGACGCTGGCGCTGTCCTGCATCCCTTCCCTCCCGAGCATGTGATTGCTTTCCTGTCTTCCCATAGCCGACACTCTGGCCGCTGCTTTTTTATTAACAGGAATGCAATAGGCTGACTGCTTGGGTCATTCTCCCGAACAACTCTTTTTCTCGTTCTCCTGGTGATCGCTATCTTCTTCCTGTAATCCACACCTTTCACAACACTTACCCAGTGATTTGTTCCCGCCCTCCCCCCTTACCTCTGGATAGCATCGCCCTTCAAGATGTCAAAGACGTTTAGCGCCAACGACGTCGCGTCGCACAAGACACCCGACTCGCTGTGGATTATTGTCGACGAAGATGTCTACGATCTGACAAAGTTCCAAGATGACCACCCAGGTAAGGACTCCGGGTGATCAGCCCAGTCCAGCCAGTTCAGCCACGGCGCATCGACTGCGCTCCCCTCGCACTCCGTCCGCCTCGGTTGAGAACGCTCCTCTAACCACAACACGCAGGTGGCAAGAAGATCCTCCAAAGAGTAGCCGGAAAGGATGCCTCTAAACAGTTCTGGAAGTACCACAACGAGGGCATCCTGAAGAAGTACAAGGGGCAACTCCAGGTCGGCAGCCTCGACAGCAAGCCAAAGGTAGAGGCGAAACCTGCCGCGGAGCCGATGCCTGTTGCCGCCCCCAAGTCCGCCGCTCCCGCAAAGAAGCCCGTCACCCCCAAGGGCCAGGAGGAGGCCGAGGCGCTGGAGCCGTTCGGCGCCCAGATCCCCTTCTCCGACCCGAGTTGGTACCAAGGAGTCAGTGTCCCACTCCCCTTGCTGCAGACTCGTCCGAGTTACCAGTCGACCGAGTCTACCAGGCTGATTTCACCGCTGACATTGGGGTGTTGCAGTTCCACTCCCCCTTTTTCAACGAGACCCACGCCGCTCTCCGAGCCGAGGTTCGCGAATGGGTCGAGAACGAGATCGAGCCCAATGTCACCGAGTGGGACGAGAAGAAGGAGGTACCGCCCGAGATCTACAAGGAGATGGGCCGCCGGGGCTACCTGGCTGGCCTGCTCGGCACGGCCTTCCAGAGCGACTACACTGATAACAAGATCAAGTCGGTGGCACCAGAGCAGTGGGATCTCTTCCACGAGATGCTCATCACCGACGAGCTCTCGCGCGCCGGCTCCGGTGGTTTCGTCTGGAACGTCATCGGCGGTTTTGGTATCGGCTGCCCTCCGCTGGTCAAGTTTGGCAAGAAGGCCCTCAAGGACCGGATCCTGCCCGGCATCCTAAACGGTGACAAGCGCATCTGCTTGGCCATCACTGAGCCTGATGCGGGCAGTGACGTCGCCAACCTGACGTGCGAGGCCAAGCTGAGCGAGGACGGCAAGCACTATATTGTCAATGGTGAGAAGAAGTGGATCACCAACGGTATCTGGTCTGACTACTTCACGACTGCCGTGCGGACGGGCGGCCCCGGCATGAACGGTGTTTCTCTCCTGCTCATCGAGAGGGAGGCCGGTGGTGTGTCGACGAGGAGGATGGACTGCCAGGGTGTCTGGTCATCCGGCACCACGTATATCACGTTCGAGGATGTCAAGGTGCCCGTCGAGAACCTCCTGGGCAAGGAGAACCAGGGTTTCAGAGGTATGCCACCAATCTCACTGGTCCGTTTGACCCAGTCAGTTAGCTAACACCATGCCCCAGTCATCATGACCAACTTCAACCACGAGCGCATCGGCATCATCATCCAGTGCCTGCGCTTCTCGCGGGTGTGCTTCGAGGAGTCGGTCAAGTACGCCAACAAGCGCAAGACGTTCGGCAAGAAGCTGATGGAGCACCCGGTGATCCGGCTCAAGCTGGCGCACATGGCCCGGCAGATCGAAGCCTCGTACAACTGGCTCGAGAACCTCATCTATCAGTGCGAGAAGATGGGCGAGACCGAGGCCATGCTGCGCCTCGGCGGGCCCATCGCCGGCCTCAAGGCCCAGGCCACCGTCACCTTTGAGTTCTGCGCCCGCGAGGCGTCGCAGATCTTTGGCGGGCTGTCGTACTCGCGCGGCGGGCAGGGCGGCAAGGTCGAGAGGCTTTACCGTGATGTCCGTGCCTATGCCATCCCTGGTGGATCAGAAGAGATCATGTTGGATCTGAGTATGCGTCAATCCATGAGGGTTGCGAAGATGTTGGGAGGCATGAAGCTATAGAGTTGAAGGAGGCAAGTTGGGCCTTGTGATCAAGATGGCCATCTAAGTGACTGGTGGCCGCTGAGGGCATCTGATAGGCCCTGCAGATTTAAGCCCCGGGGCCCCTTGGGGCTGCCATGACTGTCGTCAACTCCTCGGGGAGTATAGGCATGAGGGAGCTATGTGATATATGTATTGATGCATTTGAGACTAGATAAAGAAATATCATCTGTTATCTGATAGCTCTGAGTGTCTGATATCGAAATGGGAAATCATGCTCAATCTCTCCATGCGGCAGAATATAAGGGTTGATCAGATATCTCAGGGTACAGAGGCACGGAATTGTAGACTGGACATCTTGGGGAGTATATGCGTCAAGGAGCTATGTGATATACGCATCGAGACAATTTGGAGAAGACGAAGAAGCTTCATCTGTAGCAAGCAACCCTTGCGTTCTGTCGCATACTCAGATCCAACATGATCTCCCATGTACATTTCTTGACTTTGGACACTCAAAGCTAAGCTGTTGAGAGAGCGGAAATTCTAGCTTGTCAACCTCTGGGAGGTAGCTAATAGAGATCTATGTGATACGTGTCTTGACGCATTTTGCACAAGAAAAGAAACGTCATATGATATGCCTTCGTTGACAGTCGAACCTCTTCCGTAGGCATATGATGGCTCACTTTGATGGTCGACTCTGGGATACCGGCCCCCGGGAGTTGGATGGTCGCTTCCAGTGTGCAATGTTTCCTCCTGCCACGTTTTCCCGGGTTCTCTTCCAGCAGCGACGGCCGCAATCGAACAGGAAAGAGTTAACAGTCAGTGGAGCATGTCACGAAATTCATGGTCCTTGGTTTGTTATCACAGACTTATTTCCTCAAGCATCATCTTTCCATATTAGCATCTCAGCTCCTTGCTCCCTCTTCCAACCCTTTACAGCATAATACCCAAGCACTGTTAGATTCCGGAATAGCAGCCAACATAACCTACTCGAGCCCATTCATCTGTATTTGTTCGTCTTATCCTCCGTCCAAGATGATGCTGCCTGAAAACATTCAACCCTGGAGCTTGGGAACAGGTCACACATCCGCTGCTCCCCGCCTCTCTACAACCCAACATGCGCCCAGCTTACGACCCCCGATAAAATGTCAATCCGGGTCGTCTGACGACTTCTATGGTAATGCGCCTCCCCCATACTCCTCGCTCTCTCCTCTCGGAAGCATCGCCACGGGATCCATCAACGCCGAAGTGCCCGGTGGCACTACCCGCACTTGTCGTCGTGTCAGTTCTGAGTCTTGCACGTCTCCTGATCATAGCCAGGACGGTGACTTCCTGGCCAACATTGTTGCAATCCAGCTTCTGAGTGGCTGCACGACCGTTCCGAGGAGGCAAGGCAGCGCGCGGCGTCCTTGCTGTGGCACTGGATGCGACGGTATTTCCTGCGTGTGTGCTCTAAAAGATTTCCACCTACGCATACTCTCGAAAGAGCTCTCGAAACATCCCACTAGACCGCTCAGAATACAATCAACACTCCACGGTGGCGCAGACGGACACATCAGCCTGGAGTCTACTGATCGAGTCCGGATGTGCACATATTGTCACTCGACTCCAACGACACCGTCAGTCTCCCATGAACGGTTTCTGTCAGAGAATCTCGATCGAAGGCTTCAGTCGATTGAAAATGCCCTCCATCAAGATGGCTTCCCGAGTGAGACTTCCAATGAACGCTTGCATACCTCGGAAGTGTCAAGTAAGGAACAATCTCTCACCGCAGACAACACCGTTGATGTGGCTCACCCTCGCCATGGTCACGCCAATTTCCAGGAGATTCCTGTGAAGATCATGTCGCGTGGCATCTTAGGCACATTGCGAAACCTGCAGCACAAGGACCTCCGGAGGCGCTGGGTCGTCACGTCTCCCTCGCTTGACACCAGCAAAATGTCCTCACCATGTGAGGCCGAGGTAAGCCGTCGTATATAATCCAAAGCCAAACTCCTGCTGATAGACACTGGCAGGTCCAGGAATCCGGTCAACGCTCCCTCCTCGAGGATCGCTCAAACATGGTGATGCCGGAGTCCTTGAGGGACAGGATTTCCAAACGCCTCCAAGCTCGTAGCCTGTCGTCACGCTACGGTGACTTCACCTTTGACCCAAGTCCACGGCAGCGGCGACGCAATGGCAGATATTCATCGGTGTGCATGTCGTCTGCCGAGTCCACTCCTCTCTTAAATGCTCCAGCTCCCGGTCAAGGGCAGGTGATTGTGGACGCAAAGTCCCAGCCCAACTCGTGGAGGAGTACGATCGACCCGTTGGCAACATCAAGCTTGATGCTCGCCACCGGTGAGTTGGACAGATTGACGAATCGAAAAGTCTTAGACCAGAGTTCCGAGGTGCTCGGCAGTGGGCAGTCTTCAGCCTGCGGTGAGCCGCCGAACTCGCCTGCTATGAAGAGCTTGGCTCCAAGGGAGAAGCCATCGTCGAGGCTGAGTGCCACGAGCTGTGCCTCCGAGAGGTCTACACTTCCCATGAACCCCCTTCCTCTAGGAATCACCATGACGTCCGGCAACAGAATATCACAATCTACTACCCACGGTGGTCGCAGGCAGAGGATGACAAGCAGCCGATTTTCAGATGTTCGCACCCCTGAGAACATTATTGAAGCATCTGATGAGGACGTGTCCCCGCCGACCTGTACTCCTGGCGACTTATGTGTACTTCCAAGCCGGTGTCCAGGGAGCCAGCCCCTAAAATCTTCCATGACCAGTCCCACAGAAATCGCCAAGTATAGCTGCACAGCAGAGATGGGGCCGGGTCTTGCTTTTGTCCCAGTCGACCGAGTTGTCGAGCAGACACGCTCAACGCAGAACGACCCATCGAATTGCTTTTGGGCATCCACCAGTGGCCAAAACGAAAGCATGCTTAACGTCTACGACAACATTCCCCTCAATGATGGCGGACAGACCCAGGCTCGCAAGAGCCCAACCCGTCATCTTCACACTGGAGCGCTGACACCCGAGAACACACGCGGATTGTGGTGCACGCCACGAAAGAGCCCCTCGCCACCGCGGCGACATGCCGTATGGGCTCCAGATACATCGACTGGACATTCCAACGAGTAAATAATTCCAGGCATCTCCAGGCCACTTGGTTGGTTAGTGATCAGTGGGCAAGTAGTCTGCTCTACTAGCAAATTGCTCGTTGAGGTCATTTCCTGGTACGGTGTGGCCCGGTGATGGAAGGACGCTTGATGCGCTTGTCCAACCGGTCGTCTTGGGTGTGGATTGCGTTCAAATGGCAGCTTTGTGGTGATTCTGGGGAATCAGATTGGACATCATAATGTCTTTGTCACTCCTGAAGTCGTGATATTAATACACTCCAATGACGCCTTCCAGGACGCATGCTTCCACGGCTCAGCCTGCCCATATCGCTAAATGGCAAGACCGAGACTTTCATCAGCCGGCTACGCACACCGAATATGCTCTTCTACGCCCTGTCCATCTTCAGTTCTCGTTTGATGTGCGAATGGGTTTGCTGGACAAGTCCCGAGGTAATTTTCAATTTCACGCTTCCGAGCTTGAAGTCATACTGGAGATGGCTTCCAGACGCTGCATAGGAAGGGATCGAGTGTGTTTTATCCTTCGGCACTTCCCATTCGATAGAATTTGCTTGTGGTCTTGTCTTGTGTTGTTGTGTGCACGGGTGCAGTCCCGGGCCTGGGCCGGCTAGATTGCGGCCTTCGGATATCAAGTTGGTTCGAACAAGAATGATTGCGGCCGTCACTTTGGCCATGTACGTCATCGGGCCAGTATTATTCTGTCGAGCTCGCGACTGACTGCCGTCGACGTGGAGTTGCACAGGTCCGCCGGCTGATACCGATGACTTCATGTGCCGCCCGCGTGCAGCCCACAGAGGCCCACGGCGAGGACCGGCTCCTGCGCCTCATGGACGTTCCACAGGCCCAGCTTACTTTGTTACTGCCGTGGCTGTTGGGCGGATTCAGCGCGCCCGGCCAATTTTAGCACGGGTTGAAGGGAGGGCGCTGTTTCAGGACCGCATCCCGCGAGGCTCCCGCGGCACAGCAGAATCCTGCCGACGTTGCAGGCCCTCTTCCTCCATGCACATCAGATGTATCAAAATTGTTTGCCTACGCTCTCTCTCTCTCTCAGCGCACTGCTTTTAGCACCACCAACGGACCTTTGGGATCAGTTCTTACTGTAGATTAAATACCAAGCCCCGCTTATTTCTTTTCGGTTCCTGAACACCGCTGTTCCTGGGATCTCAGGCGGCCTGGAGTAATCCCCACAGTATTGTTTCTTTTCTTTTCTGTTTTCCTGCCCCACGTTGTCGCCTGCATAGCCTACATTGTCACATCGCAATCAAACAAGTCAATCCAAGATGGCCCACACCGACCTCGCAGGGAGCTTATCGCCGAGTCGAGTCATGGAGAAATCACCAATGCCCGTGACGCCGCCCGCAGGCTACCTGCCCGAGCGCCCATGCTCGACCATGCCTGACAACGACTCTCCGCCGGGCAGCCCTCCCAAGGACAGCTACAGCCGCCAGAACCCGTTTGGCATATCACAGCAGCAGCCGCCCGAGGATGACGAGATGAACACCAGGGGCGGCGGGCGGGACGGGAGAGGGGGTGGGCTCTGCGAGGTTCTCCTGGCGGCGTGTTGCTGCTATGCGCTCTGCGAGATTTGTTGCTGATTGATTGGGTACTATGTGGAGGTCGGACGGGGTGGTTATCTTCTTTGGAAAGGCGCACAAGGAAAGGGGTCATTTCACGGGCTTGGAAACGGCGTCTTTGGCTGGCTGGGGCCAGGGGCCGGGAGAACGGTGTCCCGGAGGGTCATGGAATGAGAGAGTTGGGTAGATCATGAACCTTGATTTGAGATGTCAACGACTGGATCTTCCCTGCCGAAACTAAAACAAATTGTTTGGCTTGAATCAGTGTCAACGACAACGAGTTTCTGAGTGTCCAGGCCGGAATGTGAATTCCATGTCCGCCAAGTCGTTCTTGTCCTCATGTACATAAATACATACAGCTGAAGTAGGTATGTTCACATGATACAAAAGGCCAGACTTGTGGTCTCCCTCCGTTACTTTTTGTGCAACCATGACAAACGAAGCTCGCCGCCTCTACAGGTCATCGACAAGTGGGCTCAGGCCCTGCGCGGTGCCAATCTTGTCCTCAGAGTACAGCTTGAGCCTCTCGACGTTGGGTCGGTTCGCCATAGACTGAAAGAAAGACGTCGGGTTGGTCCCGTTCATGTGCCAGGTGTCCGGGTAGGGAATGCTGTCGGGCACGGGGACGTCCTGGCGCACGCTCCAGCCGGTGGCCTGGTGCTCGGGCGAGAGCATCCAGTTGAAGAGCAGCTTGGCCGACTCCGGGTGCGGCGCGCCCTTGAGGATCGCGCGCCCGTCTGGGCCCACGAGACGAACTGGCCCTCCTCCGGGAACGCGGTGACGGTCGTGCTCGTGTTGCTCGGGGCGTAGGGCGAGCCGTAGGGCGTGAAGGTCGCGGCCTCGGTGGCGTTGGCGGTCGACAGGATGGTGCCTGGTGTCGCGGTGCCGCGGACCCATCGGGGGTTGAGGGCCAGGAGGTTGTCGAACCAGGATTCTCCGTTCTGTTGCATGCTGCGGTGTTCGTGTCAGTCTGGGGCGGTCCTAAGTTGATTCGCGTATAGACACTTACATCAGGTAGAACTGGTACAACACTGCGTCATCGTCGTTGGGGTATGTCAGGACCAGCTTATCCTTCAGACCCTCCTGGAGGAAATCAGGATACTCTGCGATGCTGATACCGGGGAGCTTGGCCGTGTTGTAGCTGATTCCCCACTGGATGAGGAACAGGCCATACCACGAAGCATCCGTCGACTTGAAAGCTGGGTGAATCTGGTCATAGCCCACCGGCGCATAGCTGAGAAGAGATCCCTGCTGGGACCAGCGGGGGAAGTCGTCAAGCGTCTGGAGGAAAGTAGCATCGACGAAGATTTTGTCAAAAGAGTGTACACAGCCAGGTAGAAGCCGATCAGATTATGAGGATGAGTCCACGGATGACTGAGAACAATGGAACTCCTCTCACACCCGGAGATAGAAAAGCCTGCTGACTTGTATGCATGCTACTCTCTTAAGGAATTAACTAGACAATGATGAAGCAATTAAGCAAACGATAGTTAATTGTTATTGTTGAGGAGAGAAATCTCCCCGCTATTAAATGCTTAAAAGGAGCCTATTTATAGGTTAACGCTAACGTATAGGCATATAACCCTCGCACCTTTTAATACACCCCCTATCATAAGTATTATTATCCTAATAATAATAAGAAATGTTTTGTTTTAATAGCTAAAAATATAATTTAAATATTTCGTTATAATTTATACTAAGACTATTATATAAACGTTATTTAATGTTTATATATTCTGCTTATATTATTTTTAAATAATTATTTAAACGCCCTTTTAATAATATAAACCTTATATTTATTTTAATTTTAATCTTATGTAAGCCTTTTTAAAAGTAAGATAAGGCAATGCTTTTATATAAATATTAGCAAGATTATTTTTAAATATAATATAATAAATATTATATATCTTTTTAATTTCTTTATAAATAAAGTAATAATAAATAGTAATATATTTTAATTAAGCATTAACTTTATAATTTTAAATAAGGTTTAATGCTAATTAATTATTAATATATAAAATAAGTAAATATTTAATATAATTAATATTTAAATCTTTTAATGCTTAAATTATTTAATAAAGATATAATAATATTAATAAATATATTATATATTCCACGTTATAAATGGATTTTGCAATAATAAATTAATGCTTTAATAATTAAGTAATTAAGCTACCGTTAAGGAGTTATATATATCTGCTAAATGCTTTTAAATTATTTAAATTAATATTATAAGAAGCGTTAATATATATATTAAGTATAGCAAATTAAAATAATAATGTTTATTTTAAAAATTACAGGGTATAATTTAATATATGCTAAATATATTAAAGTATTTTCTTTATAATATTTAAATAATAAATTATAAGCTTTGCATTAAATATTAAGAGCATTATATATAAAAATATAAAATTAAGTTTTATTTTAATAATAAGAAAATTAATAAATTCAGTAAGTAATTAATATATTATTATATTTATTATAATATTATTAAGTTCCTTTTATTATAAAAATAAATTTAAATTTATAAAAGTTTATCTTTAATTATAATTAAATATATTAAAGCATTTTAAAATTTATTAAGTATATCCCTTTTAAGAAATATAAATTTTATTATTAATTTATATAATTTTTAATTTAAGTAAGTATTTATAAAGATTAAGATCTTTATACTTAAAACATTATATAAGCTTAATGCAAAATTTATTAACTTAAGAGGAATTCTTAATAATAAAAATATCGTTAATATAAATAGCAATAATAATCTAATCTTTAATAAAAACGTAAGGGTTAAATATTGTTTTTATTAAATATTTAATTAATTTCTCTTTAAGAGTATTAAATTATTCACGGCTTAATTATTTAAGTTTATATAGGGCATTAAGAAGTTTTAAAATAACTTGCTAATTATTAAATAATGTTTAATATCTTTATAATAATTATATATAAACATTATATTTTAAATGGCTATATAAGTATATCGTTTTAATGTTAAATTGCTAAAGCTACCAGCCCATTATAATAGCAATAGTAATAATTAATTTTAAATTATTATAGCGTGCCATAGGGCTATAGGTATTATTATAATTTATGCTATGGATTTATATATATTTACAAGCAATAAGTTAAGCCTTATAGCAAATAAGCTTATTAAAAGCATTAAACTTCTTTATATATACTTAGCAAGAATTAATAATATATTAATTTATAATAACAAGTACTTTAATTTATATACTTATATTTAAAAGTAATTTAAGTTTCCTTTTAATAGCTTATTGCTAAGCGTTTTTTTTATTATTCTTTATAGCTTATATATATATATTAAAGATATTGTTAGTATTTATCGTGCTAGTAAGTAATGCTTAAGCAAAGATTTAATTAAAGTAGTTGGCATTAATTGGTATTAATTAAGCAGGATTTAGTATAAGGTTTATATTAATTAATGCTAAGTTATTAAAATCTTTAAAATATTTTATAATAATATTTATATTTTCTTTTACTTTTTGTAAAGGCTAAATCCATTATCCTTAAAAACTATATAACTATATGGATCTCGTGAATTTAAGTAGTTTATTAATAGGTCTTGTAAATTTAAACGGTTTATTAATAGGTTTTGCAAGTTTAAGCGATTTGTTTATGGGTTTATTTATAGGTTTTGTATTATTAATAGGTTTTATTAGCTAAAACGTTAATAATATCTTTATCTTAAGTAGCATGTTTTTATTTAATTAGTTAATTATTTATGCAATTTTTATTGCTAAATTAAACTAAGTAATATAGCTTAATATTATAGTTATAATAACTTTTTAAAGTAATATAAATAAATAAAAAACGATCTTGCTTTTAGCTTTAAATTTTATAAAGTATGCCTTTTTAGCCTTATTTAATAATTTTATTTTTAATTTGCAAGCCTTAATAAGCATATAAAGGTATATAAAGCAAAAATATGGTTAGAAATATTTAATATTAGGCTTTTATTTATAAAGCGCCTTAAATGGCGTTATTTAATATAATAGGGCTAAGTATAGTTTTTAATTTTATAAGTATGTTATATAGGAAATTGCTTTGAGTTATAGGAATAAGTAGTTTTTATTGTGAATTATTATATAAACATTGATAATAATAATATATATAAACCTTTTAAATATGCTATTTAACTTATAATAATAAGGGAGTGATTTTTTATAAATAATTTTGCATCTTTAAAATATTATAATAATTATTTTATTTATATATTTACTTTTATTATTTAAATTAAATATTATAACTTTTGCATTAAATTAAGTTTTAATTATATTTAAAAATTCCTTAATAACATTTAAAATATTGTTTTTTTAAGTAATAAAGTAAACTTAATAAAACTAAGTATAATTATTAATAAATAAAATAAAGTATTAAAAACCTTTTAATAATATTATTAAGAATTTACTTAATAAATTAAATTAAATATATTTAAATAGCTATATAAATTATCATTTTAAAAATAATTATAAGCATTTCTTAATAAACTTTGCAAGTTAGCATAGTTTATAATGAAAATTTATTAGTTTATTTAATATAATATTTTTATTTTTATATAAGCATTAAATAGTTAATTTTAATAAATTACTATAATTAAAAGCTTTATAAAATTTACTATATATTATAAATATTATAAAGTTATTTTTTATTATTTAAATTTTAAAATTTTTATATTAAAACTTTACTTATAATATTTTATAAGATTTATTATTTTTTAATAATAAAAAGATATTATTTCTTTATATATTTAATTAAAATCTTTTTTAAATTATAATTTAGCTAAATAAATAAGTATTCCTTAATATATAATTATATAAAACATTAATAAAGATACTTTTAATAATTAATTTATTTAATAATTATAAAAAAATCTTTATAAAGCTAATACCTTTTATAATAAATTAATTATTACTTATAATAATAATTATACTTAAACATAATTATAAAAAACTAAAGTTTTCTATATATTTTATTATATGCTTTAAAATATTAAAATTAAAAATTTATAATATTAAAGTATTTATAATTACTAATAGCTTTATTATGTATATTAAAATATTAATATATAATGCCATTATATCTTCCTTATTATTATTAAAAATTTTAATAACTTCTTTATTTATAGCTTAATTTATAATAGCTTATTTCTTACCCTTTTTTTATTTTTAATTAGCTTTATATTTAGCAAACTTTATATAATTAATATATAAATAATTAATAAACGTAAAGTTTTATATATAATATTAAGTGCATTCTTTATTGCTTAATATAAAGTTAGTATTTATTAATATAAACTTTATAATCTTTTTTATACTTTTTAATATTAACTTTTTTTAAATAAAGGTAAAGTAAGCTTTAAATTATTTAACCTTTATATAAGAAATAATATTTATTATCTTAAGTTTAATTTTAAAAAATATTATAAGGTTTTAGCTGCTTAAGTTATTAATAATATTATTTATAATATTTAGCAGCATTATTAAAAAAAAGGAGCCTTTAACTTTATTACTTTTAAAAAGTAATTTTATTAACCTTTTAATTAATTATTTTAATATTAAGATTTTAATATAAAATTTTATTTAAAGATTTTAAAAGGTATTTAAATAGCCTTATAAGTTAAAGCCATCCTTATATTATAAGTTTATTAATTAATAAAAGAAATAAATAATTAAGTTATTAATATTATAATTAAATTAATTAATTAATATTTTTTAAGCATTAAAAGATTTTCTATATAGTATAATAAATATTATAAAGTTTAAATATATTAAGCTTAAAAACATAATAAAGGCTTAATTATTAAGCTTTTCTTATTTTATAAGGGCCATACTTTTATTTAATTATTTTTTAATGCTTATAATGTATTTATTAAAGCTAATAAATTAAAAGCTATAACTTTATATTATTCTTTAATTTAAAAAATTCTTTCCTTTTAAGTTTAACTTTAGGAAAAATAATAAATTAAGCTTAAAGTTAAGTATATTTAATATTTTTTAAATAATATTTATATATTTTTAAGCATATTTTAAATAATATTTATATATTTTTATTTATTTATAATAATTAACATTAATTAATATAAATAAATAAATAAAAAGGAATAAATAATTAAAATATTAAATAAAGCAAGAATGTTAAATTATTATAAGTTATTATTAGCTATGGCAGCTATTATAAGGTATAATAATAATATATGGGTAAAAGCTAATAATATTAAAATCTTAATAATTTAAGTATAAAAATAATTATAAAAATAAGGGTATTAATATTTCTTAATATTTTAAGATATCTTAAGCAATATTGGGTTTACAACTTAATAAAGCAATTAAGCAAACGATAGTTAATTATTATTATTAAGGAAAGAAATCTCCCCGCTATTAAACGCTTAGAAGGAGCCTATTTGTAGGCTAGCGCTAGCGTATGGGCATACGACCCTCGCACCTTCCAACAGACAACAGACGAACCATCCAGCCCCTTAGCAGGCCACGTCCTTCAGTGGGCCTGGTATAGCATCGCCTCGCGCCGCGAGCGTCGAGATGGAGTACCGGGGCTATCCTCATCACTCAGCATTGGCCAGGTTTCCATTTTATTGCACGACTGGAAAACCTTAGAGTGGGCATGGCATCGATAAGCTTAAGTGACATAAACTTCCACATTGCATGGCACTCTGCTTTGGGCCATGACCCCGGGTGATACCTTATCCATGGCCCTGCAGGATCTCAGCCGATCACCCCCTAAGCCTCAATCTCGCATCCCCACCCTGGGAGGCATCATCGGGGCTGTACTTGTTCATCGGATGTTGGTGCGGTGGGTATAAATCTTCCGGCATTGTAGGGCTGTACTATAACTGCTCCGGCTAGCATAGTTAGCCAGCGTGCTAGGGAACCAAACCGATATGAGATGAGACGTTCGAACCGCTGGCTGCTGCACAAGTGCAGGGAGCGTGCCTCCTTCCCTGGTAGGCGATGATCTCCCGACCAGCCCCAGCGGTTATTCCCGAAGATGACAGCTGCATCACTCCTGGGTTATGTGAAGCGTCCAATCATCTAGGCCAGCTTGCTCTGTCACTGCACTTGAAATCGTCCCGTTCTGCTCTCGTCGAGATCCTCGAGCCATCCGCTCAGTCTCTGCACATGTGTCAAGCCCATTTCGTGACAGATTGCAGGGTCTCTCGAAGGAAGACCTTCAGTCAACCGTGCCGCACTCGCAACCTGGTCTTGGCCAGATGCGGCTGTCAATCCGCTGCAACCACGCGGAGATTTGCCGAGGACCCCAGAGAGACGACATCTGGGCACAGCAGTGCGGGTGTCACTTTCCTCGAGTAGAATGTCACATCCACAGACACCAAAGAGCACCAGGGGCAGCTGGGACTGTCACCCTTGCGTTGGCTGCCGCGACTCGAGGCGCGCGCCTTTGAACAATGGCAGATGCCGGTGACGTGATGCGCACGGGAGATTGGAGATAAACATCGCGTCTATCAAGGGGCACCAGTGACCCTATCCAGACATGAATGGCGTCTCAAGAGTGATCTCTGCTCCAAGCCGAGGACGTGTTGTTGGCGTGGGCGCCGCCATCCATGACATTCTTGTTAGCATCCACGCACCGTAGGGGAGGGGGATTGACTCCTTTACACTGGCTTTCCGTCACCTTTTTCTTGCTTTTTCTCGCTAGACTTTTCTGTTGCCATCCTACTTCTTATTCCTCGCAATGAGCTGCGACGGCGCATATCTCGACAGCCTTGGCCCGCTTCCTACTCTCGCATTCTCAGAGGTGACAATTATGGCAAGTGCCTCGAGGCTCAACTGCACGTGGCTGAGGTCGGCCTCAGCCTGTCCTTTCGCTCGGACGCAGCTACTGTTTCGGTCGTCGTCGTTACCTACGCAGAAGGCAAGACCAAGCCCAGTGGCCGCTCTGCTAGGGAATGGGCCCAATGGCTTAGATGACGCGGTCAGTATTGAAAGCGCCGGCTCATTGAGGATGGATTCGTTCCGGTTGAGTGAAGATAAAGCATAGTATGCTTCACTCACCGCTGACTTACTCACCCACTGACGATTGGCCTCAATTGTACAATTTTGTTGGTGACGAGAGTCATGCTCTTTGCTTTCCTTGTTAAACGGTTGTCCTCCAAGGAAGACCCTTACGCTCATGTACCCCGGACTCTTCTACCGATCCAAGACGCCTGCATGGCCAGATAACAAGGGCTGCAAGACTCTCTTGAGCACATTTGCTGACAATGGAAAGCTACAGCATGTTAGCCAATCCTATTGTGTGCTTGAGAGTCAGCCATGCTGAATTGCACGCCCAGATCTCACAAGAAGTCCCTGCCATCGTTCCCCAAATGCAGTTTTTTTTTTTTTTTTTTTTTTTTTTTTTTTTTTTGCTTTTCTTTCACATCGCCGACAAGAAACAAATATGCACATTGCCTTTTCAAACTTGACATTTCTGCCCAACTCATCGCATGCGTGAACCGGCCCTCTCAAGAGTTTCCCGTTCTGCACCGAGGCCAATGGATTCGTCTCATTGTTTCAAGCGTGCTCCGGTAATGGCGTTTGTCTCATAGTGGGGCCGTTCCACGTCATGCGAACCGGGAGGACGGTAATGTAGGGAAAAGATAGGCAGTCAACGTGGTGAGGCACGAAGTGATGTGTCGAGCGGAAACAAGCTCAGAGTTGGGGTTGGGCTCTTCCATTGGCCTATTAGTGTTTGCTGATAAAACTCTGCCAGCGTTTCAAGCCTGTGATATTAGTCCACGATACCCGGCAGCACTACGCCTGCTAACGGCGACCCACATTGTTCTGGTTTGGTTAAGATACGATATTATGCAAGCCGAACCCCGGCGCCGGAGGCTACAGCCGAGTTTATAACGGCTTGGCTCGTGTTGGGCTGGCTTCACCGCGAAACACTCACCGCATCCCATGTCGACTCCTCCATCTGGAATCGACGGTGAGTCGCCACGCCTATTCACATCAGCGGTCCTCTCAATTGCCATCCTCAGTCACCGGCCGCCATCCATCGAGAGGGTCAATGCAGGCGGCAAACGACCCGGCTCACCACGCAGTGGCTTGCTGCGGAAGTGAATCGGAGTCACACGGGAGGTATAAAATCTCAGAGGATCTGGGCTGCGACGACGATTTCGGAGGAGCAAAGATCCCCATTGCATCGTGATCATCCGTCCTCGGAATACGATAATTGATATTCGAGATTTCCCCCCAGAAGTGCTGAACATACGCGACCACCATGGGATGCGAGATACCCTGCGGAGGTTGCAGCAGCGACTGCAACCCGACCGACATCGAGGACTACGAGAGGGAGCTGTCGGAACTCCAGAAGAGGACCAAGGAGGTGGAGGCGAAGCTGGCCCGGCTCAACGCGAAGAAGCCGGAGGCGCCCAAGCCGAAGCTCTTGCGCTCGTCCAACTGGTTCAGCCGCAAGGACGACCTCACGATGAGCGCCCTCTACGTCGAGCGCTACCTCAACTCGGGCATCACGAGGGAGGAGCTGGTGTCTGGGAAGCCCATCGTCGGCATCGCGCAGTCGGGCAGCGACATCGCCCCGTGCAACCGGCACCACCTCGAGCTGGCCAAGCGCGTGCGCGAGGGCATCCGGTCGGCCGGCGGGGTCGCCTTCGAGTTCCCCATGCACCCGATCCAGGAGAGCACCCGCCGGCCCACGGCCACCCTCGACCGCAACCTCGCCTACCTGGGCCTGGTCGAGCTGATGCACGCGTACCCCTTTGACGGCGTCGTGATGCTCACGGGCTGTGACAAGACGACCCCGGCTTGTCTCATGGCTGCTGCGACTGTCAACATCCCGACTATCTGTCTTAATGTCGGGCCCATGCTGAACGGCTGGATGAACGGGCAGAGGGTCGGGTCCGGGTCGGTCGTGTGGCAGGCTCGTGAGCTGCATGCGGCGGGATATATTGCGGATGACGAGGTTGCGGACTTTGTTGCGAGCGGCACCCCTTCCCCTGGGCACTGCAATACCATGGGCACAGGTAAGCTTCTGGACTTCACGCAAGTGACTCTTGTCTGCTTCTTGATGGCTAATTCCGAATTCTGGTCATAGCATCCACGATGAACGCCCTGGCTGAAGCCTTGGGAATGGCTCTGCCGGGCTCGGCAGCGATCCCAGCGCCGTACAGAGAGCGTTCACAGATGGCCTACAAGACAGGCACTCGCATTGTTGAGATGGTCCACGAGGACTTGAAGCCATGTGATATCAGTAAGTCATTATAGTCTTCACTCTATCTTCTTAAGTTACACCAAATTCCAACTGCATTGTTCATTGGTGCGGAATGTTCCGAACCCCCTTTTTGACAGGTGCATATGAGGAACCGCAGCTTGTCATTTGGTGCAGTCCCCTCACACCTAACGACACTTAATGAGTAAGTCTTATACATACTGACTTGCAGATCAGTGACACGACAAGCCTTCGAGAATGCCATAGTCGCCAACACCGCCATCGGCGGCAGCACCAACGCACCCATCCACCTCTGCGCTGTTGCAAAACACGCAGGAGTGCCTCTGGACCTCGACGACTGGGACCGGCTCGGCTTCACAATCCCGCTGCTGCTGAACATGCAACCAGCAGGAGAGATGCTCAGCGAGGACTACTACCGCGCGGGCGGCCTGTCCGCCATCCTGGCCGAGCTCCTCGAGGCAGGGAGGCTGCCGCACCCGGGCGCCCTCACGTGCAGCGGCAAGAGCATGGAGAAGAACAACCGCGGCAAGCTGACGTGGGACCGGCGCACCATCAGGCCGTTCGCCGACCCGCTCAAGGAGAACGCCGGCTTCCTCCACATGAAGGGCACCCTCTTCGACTCGGCCATCATGAAGACCTCGGTCATCTCGCCCGAGTTCCGCGCCGAGTTCCTCGAGGACCCAAACGACCCCAACGCCTTCGAGAGCCGCGTCGCCGTCTTCGACGGGCCCGAGGACTACCACGCGCGCCTCGAGTCCGCCTCGGGCGCCGGCGCCATCGACCGCCGCACCATCCTCGTCATGCGCGGCGTCGGGCCGCTGGGGTACCCGGGCGCCGCCGAGGTGGTCAACATGCACGCGCCCTCGCGCCTGCTCAAGCAGGGCGTCAAGGACCTGCCATGCATCGGCGACGGCCGGCAGAGCGGCACGTCCGCTGCGCCCTCGATCCTCAACGCCACGCCCGAGGCGGCGGATGGCGGCAACCTCGCGCTCCTGCGGGACGGCGACCGCGTCAGGGTCGACCTTGAGGCGCGGAGGGTCGACGTCTTGCTGCCCGAGGAGGAGCTCAAGGCAAGGCGGAAAGAACTGGAGGCCCGCGGTGGGTACCATGGCCCGCCGAGCCAGACACCTTGGCAGGATATCTTCCGGCGTGAGGTCGGGGGTTTGAGCGAAGGCATGGTCTTGAAGCGTGCTGTTCAGTTTCAGCGTGTCGCGCAGGCGCATCCTGCTCCTAGAGATAACCACTGAGGTGGCCAGCGCTGGGTGGTTTCTTAGCGATAGCGTGCGGATCTGAGCTTTTGCTAGGCATAGAAAATATGAGCTAGAGCATAATCATAGACACGAAGAGCGAATTGATAGATGCCAGACATTGCTTCCTCGGTGCTTTACTTGCTTGAATCTTGTATCGTTTGGTGCGTGGTGGATTTCACTATACGAGTGGATTAATGTGGATTCCACACAGGAGGATATCAACGCGATTTTGTGCAAGAGAGTGTGGGTGTTACCAGCCTTAATGATTGTGATAGTCTGTTACATAGGAAAAGAATCCAGCTCTCCAAGAACCCCCCCCCCCCCATCCGGCTGAGCTCTCCCAGGCCGTCGTCCAGGGAGCAATGTGCAATCTACGCGCTCATCCACGTCAAGCTGACCACCACTTTCCAGGAATCCTTGGCTTCCCAGTAGAACCTTCAACCTGGAATCGGTTTGCCTCGAGTGGATGATACTGATCAGGTTCCGGAGGTGTGGAACAGTGGTGCCATCTTCGATAAGTTCCAGCCCGTCCAAGATGATGAGCAAAAGTGGTGTGCGGTGTCGCAGAAGTGCCTGAATAATCTCCAAAGCATTCGGGGTACTTTTCTCCCCTCCGTCCATGGACTGAATGGCATCCTCAAGTTCACATGCGTCCTCAAACGTCTCCGGGACAAAGCAGAGCAGCTGATGTATGATGGAGTACAACAGCGCGATCAGCAAGATGGTACATCGTGTCTTCCCATCTCCCGGAGTATGTGGAAAGGCAGAGGTTGGCGTGCAGCTGAATGAGACACAGGGTAGTCTTGCCGATGTGGTGATGTCGAAGATGTGTGAAGCTGCGAGGGTGGCTTCGTTGCCGAAAGGCGAGTTCGAGCCGATGATCCAAAGAAAATCAGATCTCGGCGAAGCGAGCCATTCCTTGAGCCTGACCACAACCAATCCTGATACTGTACGAGTTGCTAGATCTCTGATGCCTTGACTGCTTTCCCCTGGGGCTGTGGATGGATAGTACGCCTGCAGGTCTCCAGACACCTGTTGCAGACTTGTTCGTGTGAACACCAAATTGCCTGCCAATAGTGTCGGAGTGCCAAAATGTTGAGTCCCCGATTTTTCGGATGGGTTTCCAGGGCTGTTGCTAGGCTGAGAGCCTTCGACTCGTTGGTCGGCCAACATACCGCGACAGACAGCCAACTCTGCCCCTGACGTCGAGTGAAGTGGCAGAGATAAGGTCTTGCGCCACTCACCAAGAGCATTGGCAACATCCGCGCTATATAGCAGGTTTTCACAGTGATCTACTACGTGATCCCGAGAAAGCTGTCCGATCCCTTGCGTCAGTATTTCCAGGCTCTTGTCGATCATGTCGAGACGGTCTGCGACAATGTTGTGGTAGAAGTCAGCTCTTCGTGCGGACTCCTCCACGGTTGGACCCAGGGATCGAACCATTGCCTCGATTCGTTGAGTGGTTATTCGTGTAATCAGTGAGGCTTCTTGTTCGATTTCCTTGGCCACGCTCCGAATGTCTGTGACCATTTGCTGGACTTCTTTCGTGTAGAAGTCGTTGCGCAGCGAGGAACCAAACCGCTTGAAGGAAGAAGATAAGTACCAGGTCATAAAATGACAGAAGAACTTCGCATGCCTGATATACAGACGCATCACCAGTCGTTCCATCCTCTTTGTTCGGTGTGTCTTCAACTCGTGAGTGCTGAAATTCATTTCTTTCCCGATTTCTTCCAGAGCTGAGGAATAGCCTTCGGCGATCTCCTTTTGCCTAGCAGCAGCCTGTTGAATTCGACTAAAATGTCAGCGATTATGTGCGTTCGAGGGCGAGACACAGAAATCCGGAAGGACATGCCTTGATTGTAGTCGCTACGACCCCTGTGAAAAGACCGATACGACCACATCCAGGGCCCATGCCACCACCGATGCCGCCGGGTCGGAAGGATATAAATTGGCCCAGCCTTGTAAGTCTAAAGTGGCAAATCAAGGGACCTCCCAGGAAGGAGAGCGGGCCCTGGGCGGAATACGACAACCTCATACCAGGTCCGCACAGGCGGAGTCTTGAGCTCACCGACGATGTGACCGGGGAGAAGGACATGTCGCGCTATCTCATGTGTCCTCCATTTGTGGTTGGCTTCGACTTGAAGTCGAGACAGTGGCGTGAGTAGTATCCCCAGTATTCACGATACCTCCGGATTCCAATAACTGGGACCCTTGTAAGCTAATCGGAGTGGTATAGAACTGTTTGATGTTGCCTGCTGTTATGATGTTGTCTTCAATCACGACGCCATTGACAGTGTCGTTATGAAGGAGGAGAGGAAATCGGTCATCAGGTCCCTCGTGAATCGTTACACTGCCGTAGACGCCCCTGCCGGCGGGACTCAAGTCCCAAAGCCCTGGACCGCGGACTTTATCAAGAACAAGGGGGAAGGTCAGATCTTCCTTCTCCATGGCAGCCCGGGTGTAGGAAAAACCTACCCGAGTCAGCGACCACTTCCATCTTCCCCAGCTGCATGTTCGTCGAAATGTGTACTAACAATGGGGCTGCCCTCTTCAAAGACGGCCGAGTGCATTGCGGAAGCAACACGCCGGCCGCTGCTGTCTTTGACATGCGGCGACATAGGCACAGATGAAGTCATGGCTGAACGGACACTATCGAAGTGGTTTCGTTTGGCAGAAATTTGGGGTGCAGTGATGCTTCTCGACGAGGCCGATGTGTTTCTGGAGAAGAGAACGATATCTGATCCACAGAGGAACAGTCTGGTCTCAGGTCAGTCATTCCACCAGATCTAGTGCCGAGGGTTGCCTCAATTTGGCGCCACATTGTCTTCTCTACCTCCATCTGCGATTCTGAGCTATTGCCTTCACCATTCACATTTACGACCGCAGGTCTGCTATCAACTGCCAGCTTCACAGTGTTCCTTCGTATCGTCGAATATTACCGCGGAATTCTCTTCCTGACCACTAATCGGGTCGGCCAGTTTGACGATGCTTTCATAAGTCGGATCCATACCGTGATACACCATGAGAACTTCTCGAATGATGAACAAGACCGCATTTGGACCCAATTCTTCAAGAAACTGGAAAAGGAACGGCGGAAAGACACAAGGATTGATCGTAGCGCGTGGAAGTATGTCTTCGAGAGCAAGGACTTGCGGAAGATTGAATGGAACGGGCGACAGATTCGGAACGGTAAGTCTTGCAGCCAGATAAATCGTCCGGGTCCAGATTTATGTGCATTAACCTGCTGACGGTTTTGCTAACTGTAATGTCTCTGTTCTCAGCATTTCAAACAGCGGTGGCGTTTGCCGAGTATCGGTTCCTGCAGCTGGAGGACAAAGAAGAAGGGGAGAAAGCGTCACTGGAGGACCAGGACTTCGCAAGAGTATGCGAGATGACCATTGCGTTCCAGGGCTACATGACTTCGGTCCACGGCGGCGACGAGTCGAGGAGGGCAAGGAACGAGCGCATCCGCGACGACAAGTTCAAAGATGGGTCGAGTTCCTTTTGATCTAGAGATTGACAGAGCTGCGACGTTGGCATCCATTGCTTGAGGCGCCAAATTCTTTGTGCTGGGGCGCCATGCTGAAACCTAATATTACAAACAACCACCACGGGATCGTCCCCACAAACCGACCATGTTCATGGCCGCCGCTTCAGTGCCTGAATCCAGGCCGCCTTGCGGATCATCATGCCCCTCCTCATGGCCAGGAAGTAGAAGGCGGCCCCGAAGACGGCGCCGCCGAGGTGGGCGGCGTAGCCGGTGTAGGAGCCCATCCAGTTGGCATGCTTCTGGCCCGACTTCTTCTCCTCGTACAGCCGGTACATGTCGTAGCCGACGAACCCGGCCATGACGCCCCAGTACGGAATGGAGATTGGGATAGGGAAGACCATCATCTAGGGTTTCTGTCAGCACATAAACTTTCTCCCACTCCTGCCACTGGACCGAGACATAGTGGCGTTCCGTAAGGAGGAAAGCAGAGGCCGGCTCAGACTCGCTCGACAAGAGAAGAAATGTGCAGACTTGGAAGCGCTTACCGGCCACCGCGGCTGGGCGAGCATAGTAGCCATCATGACACCCTCCACCATTCCCGAGGCGCCGAGCCCGCGCGTCTCCGGGAGCCCGGCCTCGGCGGTCTTCTGGTAGTCGTACAGGGCCCCGAGGGACCCGCAGACGGCGGAGCCGAGGGCCAGGGCAGTCAGCCGGACGGGCCCGAGGCCTATCGCCCCGGAGATACCCAGAGATGCGGTGCTGTCTTTTGTTTTTCAAATGTCATGCATGGTCAGCGCGTGCCCCAAGTGTTGGTCTGGATTGCCACGATGTCGAGGATGGGTATGAAGACGGGCTCGCATGCTTTTGACGGGGGGATCACCCACGAAGAACAAGCATGTTGATGCCAAGGTGGGCCAGGTTGACGTGGCTGAAGGCCGCGGAGATGATGGTCCACCAGCGGCCCTCGGCGACGTTCTTCCGGGAGAGGGTGTAGTTGTCGTTCATGTACTGGAGCTGCTTGCGCCTCGCCATTTGGTAGGCATGCGATTCCCTCCCCCTGCTTTATGGCGTGCTCGTCCGGTACGATATTCCATTTGGCGAAGACGTAGACGTTGGCGCCGATGGTGGTCCAGAGGAGGCCCTTTGCCACCCGTGAGGTGGCCATGGTTTTTCAGGGTGGGCGGCTGTGAAGAACGAGGAAATACAAATGGGAACAGTATGCAGATTAGCGGGGATGGACGATATATCGCGCATAGAGGTGGGCGGTGGCGGTTGAGGTGAGTTTTGTGTGCTGTCTGACATTCACTCACGGGAGGGAAGTTGGGGATGGGCAGTTGATACACACTGCTCGCTCACCCCTGCATCATGCGTGCTGCCCAGTTGGTTCGAGCACAGTGCAGACATTTCGATTACACGGCGACGCGCACTGTCTGCGCAGAAAAGCAATATCGAATGGGCCATTGCATCACGCCTTGTCATTCAACCTTGTACATTTCATTTCTCGTTACCATGTCTTACTGACCCGTCCTCTCAGGCACTGCCATCCTCGCTTGTGCATAAACACCCAAGCTCACCATGCCGCGGTCTGATTCCGCGTCCTTGAAAGCGCCACCCCAAGCCCGGGCACTCTGCCCGCAAATATCTATCCCATGCCCTGACAGAGTTCTCAGCTGCATGTCACGACGGTCATCAGCACGACGTCAGAAGTCGGTGTGGCAGCAGCCTCCGGCTCAACATCACAGGCAGCATCATCACCGCTCGCCTGAGTGGCCGACGCCGGCGCAGCAGTAGCAGCGGGAGCAGCAGAAGCAGCAGCACCGCCACCGACAGAGCCGTCTCCCATGATGGCATTCCACGCGTCAGCGGCGGACTGGTCCTGAGTAGCCGCCACGGCAGCCGAGCTGGCCTGGGCGCACGACTGCTGCGTGCCCGACGGCGCGTTGCACGGGCTCCCGAGGCGCTGGCAGATGAACCCGGCGATAACGGCGATGTTGAGCGCCGACCCGTGGTTGAAGTCCTGCTGGTTGGCCGCGATGAAGGCATTGGTGTTGCGGCCGTCGAGCCCTGCCTCGAAGAGGATGTTGGCGTTGGAGCAGGAACCCAGGTCGAGGGCGGCGCGCTTGGGCAGGGAGGGCCTCACGTCCCGGGTGTGCCGCTTCTTGAGGTTGTTGGCGGCGTGGCACTCGTTGTTCTGCTGGTCACACTGCGACACGCCGCCGGAGAGCTGGCCCGAGTTGGCAGCGCGCGCGCACGCGTTGTGCTGCACGTCGCAGGACCGGCCCAGCGCCGCGCCCGAGCCCACAAAGGTGTCGCCGTTGACCGAGAAGGGCCGGTCGCCAGCCGATGAGACCACGGGCGGGGGCGCGCCGCCGAGGGTGCCGGTGAAGGCCTGGACGTTGGTGCCTGTTGTTGAGGTCAGCGTGTGTGTTTATGTGTGTGAGTGGGAGAGACGCTGGTGACTTACCAGTAACAGGGGCTGTCTGGACACTGGCGGCGGAGGAGGTCAGGGTGGACATCATGGACACGGCGTTGGTTGCCAGGACCGTCGCGGTGGTGGTCGTGCACGACGAGGTGGTAACTGGCGCAGCGACATCGCATCCGTCGTCGTTGGCGGCCGGGGCAGCCGAGACGATGGCCAGGTAGCCGGCGAAGAGGGCGGTGATGTATGTCTTCATCTTGGACGATGTATGTTGTTCTTGAGCGTTAAGATTATGTTTGGGATAGGGATGTGGTGAGTGCAGTCGATGCCAAGAATATAATATTAAATCAGATGATCCGTAAAGAATGGAAAGAGTTCGCAGAACTCGTAAAGAATGACTAGATGGCAGCAGGGCCGGGAAGCAAGATGGGATGACAGTGGTGATGGGTAGACTGAGGCTGTCAGGAAGGAAGACACAAACAAGAGAGAGATCAGCACAGGCTTATATATACCAAGGCGGCTCGAGACTTGGGACGAAGCCGATCCTTGGGAGATCATGAGCGATCATAGTTCGCGCCGACTATGGTACACTACAGCAACTCTTCGTCGATCATGACCCTGGCAATATGAGACGTGATGGCCCCGTGTCCTGGGCCCAGAACAACCTCACCACGCAGATGGCATCGAATCCGGAGGGCGTGGGCGGCTTCTGTGACGTCGCTTGCGCAGCTCGGGGCGATGTTCTCGTCAGGTTGCCTGACGCAGGGCGCCGCACCGTCAGGGTCAGCCCTGTCGCGAGTCTGTCAAGCATGGGATGTGCTGCATGTTGCATGTCGTCGGCGACCCAGCTAGGTTAGTGACAGCAACGTCTCTCACGCACGAAAACCGCGAGGGCGGCAGTCCGGGAGCGCCTCCCTCGGATCGAGCCCTGCCATGCTTGGAGAGCTGGCGACTGGACGGCGACTGCAGCCGAGGTGTGATGAGGATCCGCGTCAAGGGGCTGCCCATAGGAGAGACGGCAGAGTTTCCGTCCAATGTGACCACCATGAAAAAGCTTATCGCCGCATGTCGCTTGGGGGCCGTCGAAGGAGGTGAGACGAACAGAGCCGCAGATCCGGGTTTCAGCCGCATCGCGAGCCCTACGGACCCCCAAAAGAAGCTTAGCCCCTGTGCGCTAGGCATGGGTGCTGCCGCCTGGAGCCCTGGTCTTCACACGCCCCAGCAGGGGCTCTCCAGCATCCTGGATTTTCTTGCGGAGGAATGACAGCACCCCCTTGGTGATTCCGGCCGCCCACGATCCCGAGGACGTCTCGCGCCTTTCATTGTCTCTGCACTGGAAGACCTGACTTCTCTCGTTGCTGTCAGTCTGCATGGTAATCTTAACATTAACTCTCCGATGATCCTTCGAGTTTCGTGTTATTCTGTTCGATCAACAGTGCTGACGAAATCCAGTGGTCCGTATTCACTGGCGGCTGGAACCTTGTGGAGCGATAGTCGCTGTCAAAAAGCTTGGCTGTGAGCTTAGATCGGCTCTACCAATATTTAACAACGTGACTATTCGGTTGCACAGAGGTGGTGCTCCAGTGAACCAATCGGACCTCGGACGGATCCATCATGACTGTGACCCGTTTTCACTTCTCAGAACCACTGTTGATGTCATCTGTTCTACGGGATTCGAAAAAAATTCAAATTGCGAGGGTCCTGGACGCCAGAACATGGGATGTGTGCTGTGGAAGATCGTCTAGTGCGTAGCCCGTTCACCTAGGTGATTTCTGTTTGCATCCCTGGGAGCTGCATGTTCAACATTTTGCAGCATGGTCGAGATCGTTCCCCGACACTCATCTTGTCTGCTTGTCCATGGAGCCTTTGTCGGTCACTTTCGTTCTGTCCTCCAACCTGTGGGCCAGACCTTGCAACGAACATTTGAATCAGACAGCATTCTCCCAGATCTCACGTGCGAACTGGGGCCCCTACTACCAAGCCGGCATCTGCCCAGTTGCAGCCTAAGAGCGGGTGCTCTCGATGCCCATTCAGGCCCGCGCTCGTCCAGCACTTCTCGGCCATTGGTGACAGCTAGGACACCATCATCATCGCATCTCCGGCCTCGACTGAGGCAGAGACCAGTCATGTCTAAAACTACGCCGCCTCAAACCAAGTTACTTCCTGGTTGTTCTCGACAGCTTAGACATCAAGTGGTCATTACGGGATTTGACAGGCCTTTCCCTTCAGGACACTTCAGACACGTGGTCGTGGCTGCAGTCGTAAGTATGTCATTGAGAAACCAAGGTTTTCTCAAAGCGCCCGCATAATTACTGCCCGGGCCATGAACACATACCGAGTGACTTGCCTTGGCTACTACGGCGTTGTCAGCTCATCAGCACGTTCACTTTAGGTCGTGTTAGGTGTCCTCTCCACAACCAAGTCCCCAAGCCCATGGCAAAGCCAAGGTGATGGCAAATGGGCTGCGACGTCGAATTTGGATGGTCTGAGCGGGGCCAGTGGCCAACTGGAAAATATGGTTTCTTGCTGGGATTCGGGGGTAGAGCATCAAGGTTGGTCCAGGGCAACTCCCCGATCTTCCCATGGCAGCCGTGCTGCTGTAGTATCCTCACGCCGTCGACCAGCTGGTCATTCATCTCTGTTATGCCTGCTTCCTGCAGGACTGCCTCGGGAGACAGAAGGCATCGATGGAGCCCTAGTCCAGGAGAGCGGCCCGGTGGAGGCTTGAACTCGAACGGTGCATTTTGGTCCGCCCGGACACCAACGATGAACAGATTCCGTCGACTAAGCGGCAGGTCGAAACTGGCGTAGTCGTGATAGGCAAACGTGGCCCGGTAGCCAAGTGCCTCCAGTCCCTGCACCGTGTGCACCGCGAATCTGTGACTTTGTGTATTGGTGGTCGGTGGCCCGTGGGGGCGGCCTCCGCCTCGCGAGAAATGGGCAGTACCGACCAGCACGATTGGAGGGTTTTTGGCTTCCACTATCTCGGGAATTCTGATCCGGCGGGGATTCCCGTTTTTTCAAGTTCTGATTTTCTAAATCGAAGAGGCAACCAGGCGGTCAGGAGGGTGTGGCCAGGTATATGCTTCAGGTGGACTTGGGTGATATCCTGATGGTCAAGTGGCAGGCCAGACATGTTTGAGGCGTGATTACGCTTAAAGGTGGTGCGGTAATCAGGATCCGGCTCGTTCGCATAGACACACTTGAGTCCATGCTTTTTGAGCGCCAGGTGGAACGCCCCAATGCCGGCGAAGAGACCGATGCAGGTGGGAGGCGTGTGGTGTTCCCGAGCAGGCCTTTGGTTGGAACTGGGAGTGAGCGACAGATGTCGTCGTTGGTTTGGACCAGCGTAATGTCCCTGTGTGGGTGCCTCCAGAAAGAAGCCATGGTTTCCTGTCAAGATGTTCCATCCTCTTTGCCGCCGTCCGGCATGAGTGTTGGTTCTCAGGGGTCGACCACGGCGTATGCTCGGTTTGGGTGCAGACGGCAGACGCCGAGACTCGGCCAGATATGAGAGTCTTGGAGCTCTGTGTAGTTCCCTGAGCTGAGGGTGTTGAGTGCATGAGTCACCCGGCCTGGTTGATGGAGACGATACAGAGAGAGACAGCAGACAGTGTATAAACGGAAACAAAGCAGAAGGGGCGGTCGTCATCTAATAAACCATGGCATGACCAGACGCGTGCATGAGCGAACCAGGCGCGTTGAGAGATGGCCCCCTCTCCTCTTGTGCAGTCGTCCAGGGTGTTCAGCCAGGGTTAGGGCTGAGACGCAGCGGTTGGACCATACTCCCAACTACAACTACAGTATTTCTTTTATCTTTTCCTTGCTCTACAAAAAAGTGCGTGCATTCAGGCTTAGACTATTGACTACATCTGAAGTCCTCTTGGTACGGTCTGTGGAATTTCAAGAAGGAAGAGCCCTCAACGGCCCGTGTCACTCCTGCTTGACACTTTGACACCCAAAGCAGACCAGCGAGATCAAGTGCCCCGAACCTCGATCTCAATCGACCTCGCATTCCCGACCTGGAACATGCCCGACTCGTTCTCGCCCGTGCCAGGCGCATTCACGTCGTCAAACGCAAAGGCATACGCCCCGGTGCCCACCTCACCGGGCGCCACCACCTCGTGCACGATCCGAGTCGCAGACTTTCTCCAGGGACCCGGCCGGCAGCCCGGCGTCGCAGAGCTCCTCGCCGTCGGCTGTCGTGACCCTCATCCCCAGCGCCAGCCCGACCGAGTCGACGTACGAGAGGTCAGCCGCGAGCTCGATGTCTGACCACGCCAGCTCGACGATGCCCCACGCGAACCCGTAGTTGGCGTCCGACGTGTCCACGGGCGACGGCTCGACCAGGTTCCCCGACGGGTCCTGCATAAACGTCATCTCCGCGGCGCCGATGTACACCCGGCCCGAGTTGAGGTACTCGGTCAGTGTGACCGTCGTGTCACTGTTGCCGCCGACCTCGACGGCGAGGTTGTTGAAGCTGGTGTCGACTGCGCCGTTCTTGCTGGCTGTCCCGTTGGACGCGCCGGAATAGGTCGGGTAGTACCAACCGGCGGCGCCGTTCTGGTAGAAGACCTTCTTCCCGTTGGTGTAGTCCTCGCCCATGATGTAGGCGTACATCTTGTCCGATGCGCTATTGGTGATCTTGATCTCCAGGCCTGACCCCCCCGAACCAGCAGTGGTGGATGCAGTGGCACTTGCGGACTGTCTGGGCGTGATATCGCGGCGGACCCGATCAGGAGTCAGGACGCCCTTTGTGTTCGACGTGCCACTCGGGATAACATAAGCGAACGACTGTGTGGCAAAGATCGTGGCACCAGCCACGGCAAGTATGAATGAAGACAACATGCTCCAGAGCACGTGCAATGAGGAAACGAAATGGCTATCTGTGAGAATGGAAAGCCATCATGATCCCTACTCTTCACCGAATATCGGTGAACTGACCTCTAAATAGGCACTGGAAGCCCTCATCTAGTCCATAACGGGACAAACCATCTACCCATTTTTACTGATATGGGGTGATGGTGATGGCTTGCATGGCCAAGACCCATTTCCTACTTCGCATGGACGCCTCTGAGCAAAGGGAAAGATCATGAATATTGCAAAGGCCGACTTCAGGAGGTCACAGTTGCGCGGCCGAGCTTGTTGTATAGGGTGACAGGCTTCGGGAAACATTCTAGATGACGAAAACGCGTCTAATGAGAGGTATTTGTGGAGTGGCTTAAGTGTCTGCCTGCCTCATGTACATGGTAGACCATATGACGACCCGGACTTCACACCAAAGTGAGTTTGTTAGTGTTGGCAAGTATAACCCTCGCACTTGGAAGGCTACTTTAGTTATCCCCTCCGGGGCACGTAGCTTCTTAGAACTTAGATAGAATAACAATAATATACAATTGCTTCCCATACAATTATCATACATATAAGAAACCTATTAATATTAATTAATAGTTATAAGTATTATAAATTAATAAGGTAGAAAAAACAACCCTATAAGGATTTCTCTAACTTAAAAATCATATCCTCCTTATTAATAAGCGCTATATAATAATAATTACTTCTTTAAGCCTTCTTGCATTATTAAACTTCCTAAGTAAACATTATAAAGATTAAATAAATTAAGTAGCATTCCTTATAATATTTATATATATATTTATTACTATTTAAGAAATATATATTTATTATATATAAAACTTCATTAAAAATAAATTTAGTTTTAAATCCTCTTTAAAACCTAGCAAAACTTAATAAAGCTTCGTTTTATTAAATAAATAAAGCTTATAATTATTATAATTGCTAAATAAATAAAGCTTATAATTATTATAATTATTAAAGCTAATGCAATATTATATTATAAATAAACGTAAATTATATATTATATTTCCAGCTAATATAAAAAGACTTAATAATAAGAAAAAGCCCTAGCTTTTAAAGCTTAAAGAAATTAATAACTTTTTCCTTTTAATAACTATAACTTACTTCTAAATATTACTTATTTTATTAATATTTCTTTATTTTATTAATTTTATTCCTTATAATATTTATTATAAAAACTTATAAGCATAGCTAATAATGCTAAAAAGCTATTAACTCTTATTAAAGAGTATATAATTAATAAAATGCTTACTTAAACTTTAATTAACTTAGCTTATTATGGATATATTAATTTAAAATTATAATTTATAGCCCTTATATAAAAAGCATTAATAAAATACTTAGTTACTTATTTAATAAATACTTTAGCAAGCTATATATAATAAAATCTTTATAATAATAACCTTTTCATTACCTATTATAAGAATTATATAATATAAATATAAATAATATTTAAAGTATTATTAAATCCTTGCTAATAATGCTTAAAAGTTTTCCTTTAAATGCAAAGCATTTATATAAAATGCAATAACTAACCTATAGTACTATAATTAATTATCATAGCTTAAATTAAGGAAAGATTAAAATAAATTAATAATAAGCTTTATAATACCCTATTAACCTTAAAATTAAGCATAAATAAATATTATATATAACTTTAAAAATAGCAATTATAAGCATAACCCTTATAAATATTATAAGTAAACTTTAAATAATAATAATTATTAAAAAGATAATCCTTAAAATAACTTTTATTATTATTATTAGCTTTAAGCATGCAATTATAAAACCCAAACTTAGTAATGCAATTTATTAAAAACTAATATAGTTAGCAAGGCTTATTATTATTAATAAAAAGATAGAAATAAAGCTTATATTAAAGATATACTTTATACTTAGCATAACCTTAAGTTATTCTAAAAATACCTTTGCTAAATAAAAAGTATAACCTATATAAAACTCTTTCCCTATAATATATTTCTAATAAATGCTTAAATTTAATAAAATTAACATAATTTATAAAAACCTTTAATAACTTTTATAAGTATATTAAAGAATTATATAACTTATTAAATAATAAGATAAAGATATTTTTTAATATTTATTATTATGCTAAAATCTAACTAAGTTAATTCTATATAGTTTTTCCTTAAATGCTTAAAAATTAAGCTAAGATATATTATCTTTATTTTATAAATTAAATTAATATATTTATAATAATATACCTTAAAATTAAGATATATTTTAATATAAACTTTAATTATTAATATTATTATATAAATTAAATAATAATAATATTTATAAAGATAAAAGCATAAAACTTAAATAAAGACCTGTATAAGGTTTTATATTTAATACTTAATAAGTTATAACTTTATTAATAAGCATTAAGCTAAGATTATATTAAGAAAAATAACTTAAAAATAATAATAATTAAAGCTTATAAAGGAGTTTTTAAGCTAAAAATAGCTCTTTTTAAGCTAGCTTAATTATATAAAGAATTATTTTTAAACTTAAGATTCGCAATAAAAATATAACTTAATTGCATAATTATAATTTATATTATAAATAAAGTCTTAAATTAATATTATATTAATTATAAATATAATAATTAAAAGCTAAGGGGAAAATAATAATTATAATTTTAAGCATTTTAAGAAAATTAAAGATTTAGCTAATTAAATTTAAGCTATTTAAGCTTTAAGTAGCTAAAATTCTATAGTATTAGCTATAAAGCTTAAAGTAATAATGCTTATAAAAAAGAAGGAAAATAACCTTAAAAGAAAAAATATTATATTTATAAAAAGAAGGGATGCTAATTAATTAAATATTTAATTAATAAGCAATATTTAATAAAAAGAAGCTATTTAATATAATATAAATATAAAGATTATAATAATAATTTTAATATTTTTTTAAATAAATTTAAGGGATATAAGATAAATAATAAAGATAAATTTTATAAATATAAAAATAAATAAAATTAAGATAATAATTATAATAGCAATGCTTATATTATAAAGGTAAAACTTAATAAGAAAGTTTATTATATAAATATTAATTTCCTAGCTAATAAAGCGTTTATATATTAAATTATTAAAAATAATATCTTTTAAATAAAGATAATTATTATAGCTAGTTAATTTATCTTAAAGAATAAATATAATTAAACTTATTTTTAAGGAATCTTGCTAAATATAAAAGCATTATTAATATTTATAGCTAAATATAAGTAATTTCTTGCATTATAATAAAAAAACTTAAAGTATTAAATTAATATAATTATTATAAAAAAAGCTAAAGTTAAATTTAATAATAAAATAATTATTAATTTACTTAATATAATGAAAGTTTTTACTTTAATTAATTATATTAACTTTTATATTATTTAAATATAAACCCTATTCCTGCTTTACTTAGTAAATATAAATAAGCTTTAAGTATATTATAATAACATTATAAATAAAATAATTTCCTTTAATAATATAACTATTATATTAATATTTAAAAAATAGGATTACTTATAGTTTTTCTTAAATTAAGTAATTAATGCTATATATTTCCTTTTAAAAATAAAAATAAGGAGATTTTATTATTGCTTTAAATACCTATTAATAAATTAATTATATTAAATGCTTAAAAAAGTTAATAATTTAAATATTAATAAATAAGTAATAATAAAAATTAAGAAGATATATTATTATTATTAAATAAATAAATTTATGCTTAAGCATTTTAAGTTTATATTATGCAATAATTATAAATTTAATTATAAAATCTTAATTAATATAATATATTTAAGTAAACGCTTAATCCTTTATATTATAAATTAAGCTATGGCTTTTTAAAAAGTAAAATTTTTAAAATTTATATTTATAAAAATTGCATAATAAATATTATAAATGCTTTAAATTAATATATATTAAGAACTATTAAATATCATTAAATATAATATAAAAATAAACTTTATATCCTTAAAATTCCATTTAAAGGCATAAATAATAAGAATTAAATATAAATAAATCCTTATAAAAGTATATTAATTTATTAAGAAAGTTAAAAAATATCATTAAGCCCTTAAATAAGCATATAAAATCCTATATATTAAACTATATAATAGCATAAATAATAATGCTATTTTATAAATAACTATAAAAGCTATTAATAATACTATTAAACTAAATAAATTAATTCCTATACTCTTAATTTTTAACGCTTACTTATAAGTATTATATAAATTATTATTATTACTATTAATATAAAAGCAAGTAAAAGTTATTTTAAAAGCTATAAAGATATTATAAAAAACTATAGCTAAATAATAAATATAAAATGCATTAAATATTAAGATTAAACCTATCTTTAATATAAAATATTTATTATAATATAAAGTTTATATATAAAAAGAGAAAAAGGGATAAAAAGGTTTATATAAGGTTATTACTATAAATAGCTATAATATAACCTTAAATATACTAAATAAAGCCATAATATTTAAGTTAATAATTATTTAATTATATTATTAAGATAATAATAAGGAAATATAACCCTTATAAGCAAAAAACTTAACTATAAAACCTTAAATGCAACCTATTATATAACTATCGTTATTAAAGATAAAAAACTACATTATTATATTATATATTTTAAAAAAAGAAAATAAAAATTATAACTTAGTAATTAAATTAAAATAAAATAAAGTTATTATAATATTAAGCTTATTATTTAAAGAATTTAATAAAATAAAAATTAATAACCTTATTGCTAAAGGTATCTTTTAAATTAAAAAATAATTAATAAAGTAATATAATAAATATTATTTCTTTAAGTTTTGCATAATATAAGAGGTAAAAAATAAAATTATAAAACCTTATAAGAAATCTTAATTTATTATTTAAGATTATAATAATAATAAAAAGGGATTAATTTTAATATAAAGCTTAATTATTTAAAGAATAAGTTAATAAATAATC